AGTACCGACTCCCGCTTCAATTGCTTAAATTGGCTTAAATTATCCTAAGAATGAACAAATGTAGGTACGGTCAGTTGGAACATAATTGAAATAAGGATAATTTTTAACAATTAAGAAAAGTATTTCGATGGGTGAGGTACAAGGAAATGAATACCTACACATTAGAAATATGTATTAGTAAATGATCTAATTTTTTTATTAAAATCCTTGCAAATAAGTTATAAGTAGTTTTTAAAATAATACGCTTTACTAAAAGATTTCGCTTTTTATCAATTAAGTATAATGGGTCTTGTAAAACGAATAAAATGAGTCTAAACTAGAAGGTTTTATTAAAATTAAAAGCCTTTGAAGATTTGTACTATCCACCTTCTCTCAAGGGCTTCATCTCAAGTAGATTAAATCAATGACGAGATTTGATTACAAAGGTAGCTGATTGATTACAAATGAAGCTAATAAGTGTCCTATATATTGACAGCATCGGAATACGATTGTAAATACGAAAGTTTATGTGTGTATCATGTATGTACATTTGCTACTCCTTCACGCTGAAAAGTTTGGACGGATTTTGATGTTTAGTTCACAGTAATACATCCTACAAATATTATATCCTACTAATATTGTAAACGCGAAAGTTTGTAAGAATGTATGTATGGATGTATGTTTGTTACTCTTTCACGCAAAAACTACTGAATATATTTAGATGAAACTTTGCAATAATATTGGTCATACATCAGAATAACACATAGGTTACTTTTAATCCCGTTGAAAAATACGGTTCCCGTGGGTTAGATTTTCGCTAGTACATATAATAAAATTGTAAAAAACATGATATTATTTTATTAAAAACAATGAAGTTTTGTCTGGAATGTTTTTCTTATTTGTCTGTGTATTTGTTTGCTTTTATGCAAAAAGTACTAAGAGGATTTTAAATAAATTTCGTGTAGTGATAATTTATTACTTGGGTCAAAATTTAGGTTACCTTTTACTACACACAAATCTCTCGTTCTCACGGGAAAACAAAATAACAGGTCCTTCATACACAATTTTTAATGATTCATTAGACAAAATCTTTTAGTGGCAGGGTTATAATTAATATATCTTAGTTCGGTAAAATCTTTCATTTCCATAGGAAAATGCAAAATTTAGTTCGAACGCAAGTCGCTCATCTATATGATATACGAGAATGTGTCTCCAAAGGTACACTCACAATAACTATTTTTATCTACAATATAATACAATTCTGAATCGAATCTGTACATTAAATATTTTTTTGGAAAATCATATTGATAAAATCATTATTAATAATAGGTACTAATACTAACCGTCAAAACGAACGTACCTAGGGACGCATCCGAGCGTAGCGAGGGTAAGTCATCAGTACAGTATAAACCACTTAAGGTTTTGTTAGCTATTAAACAAATCGACATAAAAAATAAATGGCTCACTAAAATGAAAATTAAAGCAATGACATAACAATGACTTTCTTGATTATAAAGTGCCTTTACAAAGTAGGAAACGTTGATTTAAATTATAAAGTACTAGCGACTGACTCTCGCTTCGCTCGGGTGCCTCTCTAGGTAGGTAGGTCTTATTTTTATTTGTCATCCATGGTTCTTATTGCCATTCATTTTAAATATTAGGCAGCGCACAGCGCGACGGTACAGCATTTCAATGACCAGTTTTTTCCATCTTCAATTAAAGTTATTATAATTTCAGACAATAAAAACATTTTTATAACTTATAGCACTCAGCGGTAATATAGCTTCCTATTAGTGAAAGTATTTTCAGAATCGGACAAGTAGTTTCAGAGATCAGAGAGAGAGAAGAGGACTTACAAACATAACCTTATTATAATAGTAATGTAGATGTTTACATTAATATATCCAAAAAATTCTAAAACTTCCATCCATTTTACCGATAATATGAGTATATATCAAACAATGCCGCTTTGCTTGAACCCTAATGTACGAGTACATACGTCATAAATTATATCGGCTACCTATCTATTTATTTATTACCCTACGTGCTGTGCTAGCAGTCGCGGGTTCGAGTCCCGCTGGGGCCATTCATTTGTGTGATGAGCACGAATGTTTGTACTCCAGTTATGGGTGTTTATATTTATAATATGTATATATTTAAAGTTATATATGTGCAGTGTATCAACTGTCTGGTATCCATAGCATAAGCCTCGTAGCTTAACATGGAACTAGATGGTGTCCCATAATGTTTATTATTCAAAGTGGATTTTTGGAGACGGGACAGGAAGGGCAGGTACCTTAATCGTTATAGTTACAGGAAAACGTTCCTAAGAGACCATCCATAAATTTTTTAAGATATTCTGAACTGCATTCACAGATTTTGGAAAAAAATTACAGTCAGCAAAAAAATGCTAAAATACCAAAAAAAATATGTCAATTGATCCTATTTCATGTAGAGATCAAAATACTCTATGGGACCATTTAAGGGAATAGTACTAGAAATGACCGAAATCGCCAAAAACTTTTCCCATAGGTATATTTTGTAGGAAAAACGATGATTCAACTAGAAATATTATTTTTTGGCCAAAAGATCCTATTTCTTACTGTTTTCAAAAGGCCAAATGGCTAATATATATACTAGCGGCTCGGGCTCGCTTCGCTCAGGTTTGATTACGCCTCTAGAAAAACAAAAACAAATCTACCCCACGGGAACCGTACATTTTTTCGGAATAAAAAATAGTCTATGTGTTATTCTGATATATGAGCTATATTATTGTAAAGTGTCATCAAAATCCATTCAGTACTTTTTGCGTGAAAGAGTAACAAACATACATCCATACATACATTCTTACAAACTTTCGCGTTTATAATATTAGTAGGATATAATATCATTAATATCATTAGAAATTTCAATATCATTATAGAAATTTATTTATTATTATAACACAACAACAATAAAAACTATAAATTAGATAACAATATACATTTACATTTGAAATAAAAATTTACATATAATTAATTGATTAATTTAAAATTTATTTATTTATTTATTTCAAATCTAATCAAAATTTCAAATTTTGTGGTTGAGATCCCCTTTTAAGCAAATAATTTGCCTGTATTAGGAGACCCCGCCCTTTCATAAAAAAGTAATTTTATCTTTTAGCTGATTATAATATTATGGGTGATACTACAAACTTAAATAGATCAATTAAGACAAACAAAAAAATAAAAAATAAAAATAAAAATTAAAAATTAGCGTACATATATTTGTTTGTGTATTGTGTGTGAGTGTGCGTGTGTGTATGTGCGTGCGCGCGCGTGTGTGTGTGTGTGTGTGTGTGTGTGTGTGTGTGTGTGTGTGCGTGTGTGAGCATTTAATGAATATGTTCTAACAGTTTTTCCGTATCATTGTAACATGTACGTACTTATTAAACATTATAATATACAACAAATTATATCTACATGTTACTTATGTCAATTAAATATTGCAATTAGAATTTACAATTTTAGGTTATTTATTACTAATTAGTATTACAATTAAAAAAATTAGTTGTATAACATTGTATAATTACGCAATAAAATCTCCCATGTAGAATGTAGAAATAAAACTCAAAACAAACAATTCAATATGTAGATACGCGATCGATTACTGCTTACAGTTAGTGTATGATTGTATTGATACATGCCTTCTTTATAGACATAGACAATCGGTCATACGGGCCAGCATGTATTTATCGCCTTATTTTCTAATTGTTAACCGTTTAAGCATTGATACTACTATTAGTATTCAGATGGAGTACATTACGGTACTGTGTGTAGCATTGTTTAGCTCGGACCTTCGGCCGCCAGACTCGATAAGGGGAAAGTTAAATTTCACCGAAACGGAAAACAACAGTGAAACCTTCATGTAAATCACTTCCTTATAATATTCTGCAATAAGACAGTTTTAAATTACACTTTTTTTCTGTTACAATTAGAGCTTTAAGTAAGTCACATTTTAAATTACAACGAAGTATAGTCATTTAAGAACACTAGCGGCTCACCCTCGCTTCGCTCGGGTTCGCCTCTATGAAAACAAGAACAAACCTATCACACGAGAACTGTACTTTCCCGGGATAAAAGTCTATGTGAGACTATAATCTATCTCTGTGCCAAATTTCATCCAGATCCGTTCAGCCGTTCTGGCGTGAAAGAGTAACAAACATCCATACTCATAAACTTTCACATTTATAATATTTATTTATACAGATTACCACACAGACCTATTCAGTCGAAATATCTTATATTATGAGTATATATTGATAATGGCGTCAAAGGAATTTTAAAGGTTTGCACTGATGTTATTTGGTGAAAATACTCATTTCAATTACTTCATGGTCATTTTACGGACAAAATAATTACTCCAAAAGGTTAATTAACTGAAATTGCTGAAAAATGTTTTATTGCATCATTTATATTTAAACCTTAATTAAATGTATCCTGTTTATAGTGTTCAACTTTGCTATGTTTTTCATTTAATCAGACTATAATTTATAATAATTTTACCTTGACATATTCACTTAATTTTTTGTGACATATCTCTGTTACTTGCCAAAAAATTCAGATTCATTAAAGATAAATCAATAGGAATCAATACGAGAAAAGTGCTTTAATGCAAAATCCTCTCTCACACTCTCTGAGTCACATTCTATCCAGATATTCTTGTGGAAAATCCCCTTGTTACTTGCAAATAATTCTAAAACTTATTTTTACGTGATGACAAATATTGTCCTTTTCATTAATTGATTTTTTCGTTATTTTGCCATATATTGAGGTATTCCCCTTAAAATACCTAATACAAAAGTAAAGTACCTCTTTATTAAAATCTGAAAGGGTTAAAAAATAATAACGCAAATTATTGTATAACAATTTATAATAAATAGCTTATATACACTAACAAGATAAATAAATTATATAAATTATACTGACTTATTTATAACCTAAATGCTGTAATGGCACGCAAATTGTCTTTGCAATCGTTTAGGACTCCGTGTTCTCTCCGGACCTGAAAATAGATTTTTTTTGTTATAGGTACAATATTTGATACAACTCTGACGTCATCTATGTTGTGTGTTTTTATTAGAACATGAAGTTCAAGCTATATTAATTTAAGAGTAATCAAAAATCGTTTTTGTATGGAATCAAATATTGAGGTGTACAATTCTCAGTAAAGCCCGCGCATCATGCTTTATATAGGTAACTTTTAATGTTAATACCTAATCTTAATGTAATATATATGTTTTTAACAAATATTTGATTACATATCTCCTGCAACAGTTTCTAAAATAAACAATCAGCATTCTATAAATAATCGCAAACGCGAAGTGATTATTTATTTATTAACTAGTGACTCACTCTCGCTTCGCTCGGGTTCGCACCTAGGTGATTCTTTAAATTAACATAACTTTTTTATTTAGGAACCGATTAAAATAAAACATTACATGTGACGCTTACCACAATACGCTAGTGAAAACTGCACCCGAATCGGTTAAGCTGTTTCTGAGATTAGCACGCACAAACGTACAGACAAAAATTCTAAAAATCATTGTTTTTGGGTTCTACTGCATTAATAAAGACCCCTAATAATAGTTTTTCTCTAATATCTTCCATGTACAGACAGCGATCAGTTACACTTTTATTATATGTATAGATTTCAATTATTACTTAATTTTCCTAGCTGATATATAAAAATAATTAATTAGAACCTATTTTTAACACGCTACTTTGTTTATTGTATATTCAACACACTTGCTTTATTCACCTACGATTATATTAGATTAAAGCTAATAATACTACTTTAATGGTATATTAGTCCATATGTAGGTACCTATTGTATACCAGCAAATGCATACTTTATCACACTGTTTTGTTTAATGTTCGTAAGCATAACATTTGACACCTGTTAGATAAGATACGTAATAATAAGCCTAAACCTACCTGAAATAAGGTTGAAAGTCATATATGTCGTCTATGACTCTACGTACGCGACACGTGAGGCCGCAGTCGGGCCGCTGTCGCCCGTACACGTACATAGCCCGCTCTAACAACTGCTGTGCGGATGTTAGCTCCACTACTAAAAAAGTATAATCATCACATTAACACAACATAAAACTATAATAGAAATATTATTATTATGGTATACATAAATGTTATGTTTAATAAGCTTTAAATTAATTTTAGTTAATATTTTCCACTTACTATTATTATTTCCAAATTTTCGTTCATCTTCATCTGTACCCGCACCATCTTTATCTTTCTTAAAAGTGATCAATTTTGGTATAACTAGTAACATGCATACCACAGCGATCATAGTCACGATTTTCTTAAATATAAGGAACTTCAGCATTAACTTTGCAATTGTTAAAATATCTAGTTTCAGGGATAACTTATCAAAAAATCCAAGTCCTGGAGCTGTGTAAGGCACTCCGTACGAGGGTTTCAAAGGCGGACCATAAATCGGTGGAGGTAACGGTTTGTGAACAGGAGGCCCATAAACTGGAGCCGGAGGTCCGTACGAGTGGGAAGGAGGACCATAACTATGCGTAGGAGGTCCATAATTCGGCGCAGGTGGCCCATAACTATTTGGCGGTGCATTATACGTGACATCCGATTCAAATTTCACGGGTGGTCCGTAACTCGAAGGCGGCAAATAAGTGTTCGACGAACCAGAACTAGGGTAGCTAGAAGATCCAGATGAGCTGAAGCTATCGCTGCTGGAGTATGGAGGTGAATAATCATATCCAGAGTTATAACTATCGTCGCGATTTGATATCTTCTTCTCTCCGTCTTTCGCTGTGATTATCACCACACCTTCCTTCGCTTTTTCGGCATCTACACGAGATTTTGTGTAGGCATCGAGATATGTATCAGTTTTCGTTACTATTACAACTTTAGAATTATTAGCGGATGGGCCGAGTATAGCCGTAACGCACACAGCTAAAGACAAAAGCACGAAAAAGTTTCGATGAAGCGCCATTTCGTTATCCTTGAGCTACCGTGTCAAGGAAGTTGTCTCCATCGATCGCGGCTGACGAATGACGAGTAACGTCGAACCCCATTCAGTTTTCACTTTTGAGTTACCGTAAAATAGCCTAAATATGATAATGGAACTCAATTAAATTCTCCAAGTGACCCCAGTGTTCCGCATTGCTCATTGTAAGTAGGCGGCAAGACAACCCGTGCATGCTAATGCTAAACTAACCTTCTTGGATGAATGTATGACTTACAGCCTTTCATCGCATAAAGAAATCTTTAATAGATCGCAATTTGCTCGGGAAAGTTACGCACGCAGCTAAACTCTAACGTGACCTCTTACCTAAAATTTTCTATAAAAATATATATTAGATTGCGATTTGCGACTGCGAGGATCAAAAACAGTTTCGTAAATTGTCTCATAACAAATAAAATCACGTTCTTAAATTACCATATATTGCCGATAAGTATCTACTTATACTAGATTAATGTATCTATCTTAAGTACTTGATATAATTGTATAGGCAATATGAGATATATCAGATATAATTGTATAGGTAATACTTTGTAGTTATATATTTAATATTTAATCAAAATAAACAATGTAGATTTCGTAAACCCAAAACTCTCTTTTGGAAGTCTACCAAAATAAAAAATGTGTATACCAACGGTATATGGTAACGTCAATAGCATAAATTGCATTTAAAATTTGCTGATTTCTACTGCTCAATGCATTTTCACTTAGTGAGCTAATCGATAGTATAGGTTCGAACATGCTTAACATATGCAATTTACATAACAAAAACTTTTATTCACATGTCGACAATATTATGACGACGCACAATCTTCCACTAGTTTAATATTAGCAAATCATGTTATAGTAGGTAAGTAGGTACTCTAAAATTTTATCTCAGACTGATTTATCTTGACGCAGAGTGACTGGCTTTGCTTTTTGTGTCAAAGATGGCGGGTTCAATCTCCTAATGATCAACCCTTCATATCAGCGCTGATTAATATCGCTTTAGAAATATCACCACCACCACCTCGAAAAATAGCACCTGATTTTCCGCAGTAATTTCTCCCAGTAAGTGATACATTTAAAAACAATACGGCCAATGGCATAGACATATGTATAAATAAGTACCCGACTACCTCGTTGATCTATTTGCTAGCATGTACTATTTCCTAGCCTACCTGGGTACCTACTGGTCCTGGGTTCGAGTACCGGGTCGGGCTAAGTTATCTTACGTTTTGTTGTTATATTACATTATACTGTCAATAGACTCTCAATAATAAAGCCAAGGTAGTAGGAAGAATAGGTAAAGCCGCTGATCCTGTATGTATCCTATCTTTCACTGGAGAAGTAGAGTGAAGGAAACAGAGAGTGCACTTTTTTTTCACGCATAGTTGTACACTGTAATATTTTCTGTACACATGGCTGCTCTTTATGAGATTGGCCGCCATGGCCGAAATGGGATAGTGTATTAGTATTATATGCACATAATGACACTTAATAATTATTATTATTAAGTTTAAATTATAATCTTATGTTGTAATATATGCGTATTTGTACGCGTGAAATTTATAATTATTTATGCAAACACATTGTGGATGCCTAGTAGTCCTTTATGGATAATACAATTATTATTAAAAATCACACTGACGGATTTGAGTTGCCAATATGTCTTGAATGTTTTTTTCATCCCAAGGTTTTCAAGAGACGATTACAACAATATAAACAAACAACTTATGTTTCAAAATAATAGGATATTAAATCTATATCTATACATATAATAAAATTGTAACTAAGCCGAATCTGTACATTAAACATTTTTTGGAAAACCTTGTTGAAATAGACACTATTATATCGATACAGAGGCCGAATCTATAGTTTTTAGTATTTTTGTCTGTTTGTTACCGCATCACAGATAAACCACTGGAGGGATTTTGATGAAATTTGGTATGGTGATAGCTGGTTATCCGGGTCAGCATATATATATCTCATTTCTGAGAAAAAATACAAAAACTGCATTGTAAGAGTATACTAATATGTAAAACCTAAGAATTTGCTTTTTGGTCATCTGAACGCGGGCGGAGCCGCGGGCAATGCTAGTTGTTAAATAAAACTAAAACATCTAAGTAATTATTGTAAATATTTTTTTTAGTAGTATAAAGATACATCAAAACAATGTACATAACATTGTTTTGATGTATCTCTTTAGATTTAACCAGCAAAGAGTATGTAAATGAGTTAAATACCAGCCGACAATATTTTAAGATATGAATATCTAATAGCTAAATAATAAATATGTATTTTAATTTTTACCTATCGAAATAGATTTGTTTTGTATCGGCTGGCACTGACTTTGAAAATATCTGATTATTCTAAATGAAACCCCCCGTTTAGTTTTTTTTTACACCGTTTAGTGCATGGAAGTCGGTTTTTATTTTCTATGTAAATAAGTAATTACGACGATCGCTGCTGCGCAGTAGTATAATTAATTATATACTGCCTTATGTGGGGTTACAGGTTCACTTACATTAGAAAAAGATGAATAAAGAAAAAAGGTATTTTTCCCAGTTCTAGGCTTCACCTACTAATATTATATATATGTAGATGGTTGTAACTCTTTCGAGCAAACACTACTGAATAGATTTTAATGAAACTTTACAATAATACAGCTCATACAATAGAATAATACATAGGCTACTTTATATCCCGGAAACTGTGCGGTTCCCGTGGGATAGATTTGTTTTAGTGTTTAATAATTATCTGCTTAAAAGATAAAAAGGAAAATTCTATTTTTATAACCTTATTTAATAGTGCTAAAACAATTACACATTCTTATCATCAAAAAGATTTCATCACAATTTATTAATACATCCACGCGCCAAAAAAATACATTATTCAAAAGCATTGCTCATCGTCAAATATCTCTCTTCAAAGAATTTGTGTAGTTTTCGTTTCTTTTCGTTTCTTGGGGAAAAGAATGTGGTGATAGATTGAGTTCCTGCTGGTTTTTTGTTTGTATCTTCCACTTCTTCAAAGGTGCATTTCGCTGCTTTTTCTTGTAACATCAACTCTGCAGTGGACCAACTGAATCGTACTAGTAAGGGATATCCAAAAACATGGTCTATTTGATCTCGTATGAACTTCTTAGTTAGGGGATCTGAAATAAAATATAAGAGTTACAAAAAAAACATAATAGCTTTAGAAAGTGACATGATATAAATATGTTTCATTTTTAAAATATAAATAATTGTACATATTAACTACTAATAAATATTATGTATTGAAGACGTGCACTCCCTTGTAAAAAGAAAATGTAGATTCTTAGTCATCTATGATTTTGTCTTTTTTTATATATAAATATAAAACTACAAAACAATTTTTAAAAAGGTTTTATAATTTAATTTATTTAAACACTTTATTGCACACAAAAATAAAAATGATACATACAAAAAAAAAAATTAAAGAAATGTGCAAAGGCGGCCTTATCACTAAAAGTGATCTCTTACAGGCAACCGGTAGAAGTAGGATACAAAAGTTAACAGAAAGCGGAAAGGTGCATAAAGTGTACTCAATAGACGTATTACATATTATAAACATACATAAAAAATACATATATAAAATACTATTTATACAATAAATATTTATTGTTTAAATACTTAAACATACATATACATAATAATATAATAAAATAATAATAAACATACATAATATACACAATAATATAATACATGCAACTAAAATGACAGCTTAGTTGTAAAGCGACAAATAATGTGTTTTGAGACGTTTTTTAAAAATGCCTATTGACTTGGACTGTCTTATTTCATTTGGAAGCTCGTTCCAGAGCTTCAACGTCTTTATAGTGAATGATTCACTATAGGATTTGGAATGGACTAATGGGATTTCTAGTAATCTTTCACTGTGAGAGCGAAGCTCTAGAGCGAGCTAGGAACTTGCCCCTAGGAACTTAAAGTGTTCTTTGAGGTAGGTGGGAGTGTGAGGATGGTAAAGGGTTGTGTATAATAGAGAAAGCGCGTGTAAATTACGTCTATTGTGAACTGTTAGCCATCTCAACTGTGTCCGATATTGCGTAATGTGGTCATACTTCCTAAGTCCAAAAATATATCTTATAATAAGATTCTGGAGACGCTCAAGCTTATTGAGTAATTGCTGAGATAAATCTAGGTAGCAGGAGTCAAAGGTAGTTTAATATCAACTTTCATCCCATATTTTACCCCCTTATAGAATAAATTTCGGAAAAAGCTAAAACACGTATTTATTTAATTTTATTGCACAGTATTAATACCAAGTTTCAAGTAATTCTGATCATAATATTTTTTTTGGATTGTATTATAACGTGTTTTCCCGTGGGAAGTAGATAATCTCCTACGGTTAAAATGGCCTATGTCACTCTCCAGTCCTCCAACTATCTCCACACAAAAAAACACGCCAATCCGTCACTCCGCTTTGACGTGAAAGAAGGACAAACAAATAAACAAACGAACACATTGTCACATTTATAATATTAGTATGGATATGCAAATACTTCAGAAATAAATCCTCGTTCTTGTGTCACTAACATATTCAAATTTGTAAAATATTAACTCAGAAACTAAAGAATGTTTTATTCTGTGTCGTTGCCTGTCTTGTGGTAACCATTGGATTCAGTTGTTACAAACAAAAACTTACAGTATGCACTCATACTTTAAAGAGTATTTTTTTTCAACCCGAGAAGAAGAAGAGAAGAAAAAAATAATTATTTTGATTAAAAACTGTATCAGACTACTAAGTTGTAATAAATACTAGAGACATACCCTCGCTTCGCTCGGTCGTGTCGCCTCGCTGGTGCGCCCTTACGTATGTTTTAATATGTCTGAGCGGAACCCTAATTCTTTTTCTAAAAGTTACTCTATATAACATCAGCTGTCTACCAGTGAAAGTCCTGTTCAAATCAGTCCAGCCGTTTCGGATATTTATATTATATATTTCAGATGTTAGTCGGAATAAACAGACAGGCAAAAACTTTTTAAATTGAGCTTTTCTTATAAGTAACATATATAATTTCATAAGCATTTAGTAAAAAGCTGTAATATTGACACTAGAAACAGACACTTCAATTTTATTTATCTGTATAGATTATACGATCATTATTTTACTTGTCTTAAATTTAACAAACTGTTATTTACTTTTATATATAGCAAAGGGAAGTGCAATTTATAGTTATTGTTAAAAACCCTGTTACATTACACTCTAACTTGAATCAAATAGGCAAAGTTTTAAAATGAAGATAGCATTTTATTTTAAAAATAGCAATATTTCAATTGTCATTTCCGAATCATATAGGTTTTTTATACTTTACTTCTTGTATTTTCCAGCAAAAATATATGCTGGAGTATATGAGTACAACGTCTGCACTCTGCATACATACATCCCTCTGGATAAGCCATAATTTATAATAAACAAAAAAAAATGAACTTATCACAGCATTCTATAGTTTGGACCTCTTGACTGATTTTTTATTGACACTAGACATGAATGCAAAAATATTATAATATACCATTGTGTTAATTGCCCTCTATTCCTTTTACGAACTGTACATGTTTGGCTCAGTTTGTAGTGACCCTACTTGCTGTCCCAGCAATAGCGGGTTCGAGTCCCGCTGGGGGCATTGATTTGTGTGATGAGCACGAATGTTTGTTCCCAGTCAGTTTAAAGCTATATACGTGTAGTGTATCTGGTGTCCATAACACAAGCCTCGTAACTTACCATGGAACTAGATGGTGCTGTGTGTTAATGTCTGAACATATTTATTATTTATTTAACTCTCAAACTCCAATAGGACAATAATTTGACACAACTAGCGAAGATCAAACATAAAATTGACAGCTCCCAGAGAGCCCCAAAAGAATACATAGTTCTTCTGTGTTTGCTCAGACATTTGGTCAAAAATGCTCAAGATGTGTAATAAACACATTTGCTATGGTTACAATATAATTCAAATACACTATTTTAAACATATCTTCTAAAATCAAAGTTCAACATACCTCCGGGGTATCCACTGCCAAATTCAGTATGATCTAACTGCAGGCCCTCATGAAATTTCCACACTTTAAGTGCATGGTCTCTTGTCACTTTTGCCACAATACTCGCTGCTGATACAATTGGATAAATAGAATCTGCTTTTGCTGTAACCTGAATTTGATATATTTTTTTAAAAGTAACATCGAATTATTTAAATCCTATACATAATGTATATTGTTTTTAATGCTTCGCTCAGGTGAGTCCCTAGGTATGCGGACTTTGTCCACAATTTCATGGGTTTCAATTTTTTTGGATGGAATCCTAATTCTATTTTTTTAAATAAAAGTAGCCTTACTCCTTATGACACCAGCTATCTGCCAGCGGAACTCCCGTCAAAATTAGTTCAGCCATTTCAGAGATTAGCCAGGACAAGCAGACAGACAAAATTTTTAAAAATTGATCTTTACTAATAGGTACTGTATATACTTTCATTATTATGCATTTAGTAAAAAGCTGTTATTTTGACGTTACAGACAGACACTACAATTTTATTTACTTGTATAGATAGATTCATATATCATCATTATTTCAAGTATACATATTATTTACAATAGCATGTTATTTCCAGCTTATATTTATTTGAAACGCACCTCTGATATTTTCATGTGCGAATCATTTCTAACATGATTACCGCTTGCCTTACGGTGAAGGAAAACATCGTGAGGAAACCTGCATGTCTGAGAGAACCTAGCAAGTTTTCGAAAGACATGTGAAGTCCGCCAACCCGCACTCGGCCAGCGTGGTGGACTATGGCCTGATCCCCCCACGTATTGAAGGGAGGCCCGTGCCCAGCAGTGGGACATTAAAAAGGGCTGAATACATTTATTTGAAACACAGCACATATCGACGTAGAAAAGCATATTGGCTGTAAGTAGACAAATACCTAGTGACTTTTTACTACCATTAGAATCAGAAAAAAAAAGCCGCATCGAATGACCCGGATCCTGTGTCTCTACGATGAAAATAAAATTACATACGCCATTGAAAACGCCCGTACTTATATTTTTTTAGCAAGATTAAATGATGTATGTAGACCAAAATCTAGTCATTTTAGACATTTTGTACATACAGCAAAAGAAAGACTGCATTTTTTGCTTTACAAATACTTACTTCTTCCCATTTAAAAACTTAATGCTACTTACAGCATTTCTGTGGCGTGTGATTTTTACATTCGTTTACTTACCGCAAGTTTAGGGAACCTACAGTTTTAGTTTTTGTTATTTCCAGCAAATCATCACGTATTTGCTTTATAAGCTCACACCACATAATGCATTTTAAAAACCCTGTGATTTTTTAGAAATTTGAGATAATGCATTTTGATAAATCATTTATCATTTCATTTTACCGTTACGCCATTGAAAAAATGATAGTACTTTGAAGTTGTGTCGGTGTTACCGCATCGCTACCGGCTCCGCCCGCACCCTTCATTCCTTGTACGACATTTTGTTATTGTCTCATTATGTTTTATCTCTTATATATAAGAGAAAAATATTTTTTTAATTCATTGTATTGTTGAAAGGAAGTTCTGGCAGTATAATTAGAGTTTCAAATTTTGTTTCAACAATTTAAAAGACCATAATTTTTTTTTACCATTTACATTTTATTTCAACCAAACATTACATTACCAACTGACCCACTGCATTTCTAGATCTAATCATAATTATAAATTTAATCTTACATCAGGAATTGCAGTACCCAAATAAATAAATTTACGGCATAGAGCATATTTACCGCCTGTAAATTGATAATATCCATCTACACGTACATTTTTCTTCCTTAGTTACAGCGTTTTAAAGGTATGTGATTTAAAAAACTGATTGCTGTTACTAGCCAAACACGTACTTATAGTAACTTTGGATAAAAAGTTTACATTGCAAATGGTGATTGGCAGTTAAATAAACCTATGTTGGTAACAATATCATGAATAGGTCAGACACTATTAATATACCTACTATTATTTTAATATTTGGAAAAATTTCACTCAGTTTGGCTTGATACTTTTCAGGTGGCCCTACTGTGTCGACATAAACTTCTGCAATATTTGCCCCCATTTCTATTGCTTTTTTTATTAAACCTATGGCTGAGCTCATTGAGACCTGAAATAAGACCATTTAAAAAAATGAATATTTTAGATAAGAATGTAAGCTTTTTATATTTACATTTTAAAGATCTACAAAGTTCTCTTGCTTAGTCATGGTGACTAATCTAGCCTAAACTTGCCATCTTTGCAGGACATATTACTATAAAATGCAAATGTATATACATTAAAACAGGAACTCTCTATTATTTTGCTCACATAGCCTGATGAAACTGCAATCCAACTCAACACATAAGAAATAGAAATCAGATGCAAGATTTATGACTTCATATGCTCTCGAGGCATAGAAGTGTAACACTATCAGCTTCACAACTTCAGGCTGCTCAGAATTTCCACACAAAAAAACAATAACCTTAACCAAGGCCTTACCCAGTATGTGCCATAAGTGACACAGTCATATACACTAGAACAACTAGCCTAATATCTAATAACAACTGCACAATTCAAGAATGAAGTTAATGATAGAATCAAAATAGATCCTACCGAAATATAAAACAAATAAATTATAAATATTTACCTCATTCAATGAATGTTTTGCTCGTCTATACATAGAATTCGAAATATAATTTGGAGATATAATTTCAGCAATCCAACCAACATTTTGTACTGTTTCACTTTCAGAAAACATTTTTAATAAAATTTCATCTCTCTTTGCTTCTGTAAGAGCCTTTGAATCTGCACAACCTAAAGATTGCAAGATGTTCGTCTGATTCAATGGACAATATGCTATACCGTATACCATTGGACCTAGAATAAAAAGGTTAAATTTCAATGTTTATACTTTTATTTTACTCAAGTTCTCATTGTTACATTATAACTTCATTTATTATAATAGAAATTTTAGTCTTCTACTTACCTAATACTGGACCACGACCTGCTTCATCTACTCCAAGCATACAAGGTTCGGATTTACAAATTACAGGAACTTCAGAAGAGTTTATGCATTTTTTGAAATTATCTTTTGATTTAATGTACTCATCGAGAGCCTCTAGTGAATCCATTATTCATAAATAATTGATTATACTCTAATATAAAACAAACATTAAAATAAATAACAATAGAGTGTAAACTGTAAAACTAAAATTATAATTTGTAAACAAAAATCCCTCCAAAAGTTTAAGATAAGTTTGACAGCTTAGAAAAAATAAAAACTATTTTTTGTCTATGACATTAATACATAGAGGTAAAAGTTTATATATCATGCAGTCTCTTTGAATTAATTAAATACTTTTTAACAATAAAGATACATTGTTTTCAAAAGCACTTAAGAAACGTGTTATACGATCTTTAGGGATCAAATTTTCTTATTCATTAAAAAAGGAAAATTTATGAAAGTATTTCTTAAAACATTTACAAAAAAAAATCATACAGTACCTGCTCCCTCCTCCTTTTTTATGTCGGTCAAAAATTATTGTACTCACATCAGCTATTAAATATGGAAAATATATGTATAATTAAACTATGTAAATTTTTTACACTCGTATTATGACATTTAAGTACTCGAGTTACATAAAGGAGTTATGTTTTTTTTTTTGCTTTCTTTCTTTCTTTTGTGTAATGAATTCTTTTTTATCTGAAGTCGATCTAGAAATATCGTCACGTTCCAAAAAATGTTAAATATCGCTTTTTAATTTTTCAGTGTCACCTAAATAATAAATAAATATGTGGTATAAGTATATTTTCCATTTTATTGATTGCCCATACTAACTTTAATCCCCTACAACGCGTCAGAAACTAATAATTTCACAAATTCGCAAATTTTACCTCTTTAATCTTTATATATTACTATAGAGTACTATGTCTATACACGTAGCATAATTACCATTTTTTAAATACTATAATATATTATGTTGTAATAATGTGTTGTAACTTAAGGCCAGTGGTAGCGCGCTTGCTCGGGAAACCGACTGTAGCGGGTTCAAATCCCAGATCTCGCACCACTGATATTTTCATGTGCGAATCATTTTCAACACGATTGATTATGATGTTCTCCAGACCGATTCCGACCACGGCGGCCAATCTCAATGAGACGAACGAACTGCGCAGGAGATATTATAGTGCACAAGTGTACGCGCAGACACAAGTGCACTCTCTATTCCTGTCACTCTCATACTCTGGTGGGACGATCACTCGACACGACCAGTGAGAGTTAAAGCGCAGGACCGACGGGTTTACGTGCTCTCCGAGGCACGGGGGTGAAACACCGCCAACTTCCCAACTCCGGGCTATTACTGAGGCCTACTATACAGAAATACTAATAACTAAACTGTGCCCGACCCGGGACTCGAACCCAGGACCTCCGGGTGTGCAGCCGTACATGCTAGCCACTACACCACCGAGGCAGTTCAACATGATTACCACTTGCCTTACGATGAAGGAAAACATCGTGAGGAAACCTGCATGTCTGAGCGAACTTAGTAAGTTTTGGAAAGACATGTGTAGTCCGGCAATCCGCACTTGGCTGGGGTGGTAGACTATGGCCTGATCCCCCTCGTATTGAAGGGAGGCCCATGTCCAGCAGTGGGACTTTAAAAATAAGGGCTGAATACACACACAAATACTATTTACCGTGTATTGCATATCCTATCAATGTTCGACGAAAATTTTCAGCTTCAGATTTAGACCTATACATATAGCAGTTCAAATACTCTGCGTTTGATTTATTTTCATTTGCACTAGGTATAAACTTTACGTTAAATCCATGAAAGTGGTAATTGAAAGCATTATTTGAACTTAATTTATGAATGCTGAATATTTCTATTCTCAAATATTCACATAACAAACAATCAAACAGACGAAAACAGAATAATAAAAGTATATGGCATTGATATACAAAAAGTCTATATTAATGTATTGTATCTTTTGGATAGTAATCCTAATAGTAATTAGTATTTTCACATTTTCAAATTTTATAAAACAAAGAATAGCTTAGCAAACACCTATAATTTTGTTTTGATATTATAATCTAATTAGGTACCTTATGTATGTAAATATTGTAATAATAAGCTAATTACCCCTTTTAATTTATGAATTTGAAAAGCTGTTGTTTTAATAACATTAAATATTTGTATCTATTTATTTTACAGTCTACGTGTTTATGTAGTACTACATAGTTGCTACACAATAAATTATTATATATTTATAATTTACTTTTCCGCTTGAAGCGCTGTCATCGCTGTATTTGAGAGCGAAGTTTTCAATTCCATTTCAAATTCAATGACAAAGACGCATCCATATACAGCAGTGAAGTGCAGTGTATAGCATAATATTTTTAGATGTAGAATTTAAGTGTCATCTGCTTATTTATTTCCAAAATCGTGCACGTAACAGGTAAATGTTATTATTTATTTAATATAATTTTTTAGCCAGCAATGTTCTTCTTGTAATATTTATACACTCGTTTGTAGGTTAGAGTAGTGCGATTTAATATGCAGAACAACCCCCAGGAGCTTTCATGGCAGGCGATTCAAGCTATTGTGGGGGTTAAACTTCCACCAAACGTGTTGCGTTTTGATGATATTGGATTCCACTTAGTCAATAATACGGTTTCAAGTGCTGAAGATTCAGATTCGGACGTAGAAATCGTCGAAAATGGCTGGGAGTCTGACAACAACGTATCTTCCAAACCTGAAAATTCAGATAACGAAAAAACGTCACCGGACAGAGATCGAAGCGAGTCGCCTGTTTTGCGTCTCGTAGAACCCGACAATAACAACTCAAGTAAAGAGTTATTAGACTATAGAGACTATTTAGTTAAAATGGATACCAAAGATATAACTGATAATGAAAATGATCAAGTCCCGCCAAATCACAATGATGATGCTGATAGTTCTAATGGGAATGTTATGTCAATCGAAAACTATTTGGAGGTGACACTATCTACAGATTCAGAGGCTAGTCATATTTGTAGCCAATGTAACCAAATGTTTACCAGTGAGCAACTGCTAACTTCACATCAGTGTAGTGCTAAACCCACCGAAGAAAAGAAATATCCCTGTCATGTGTGTTCAGAGAAATTTCCTAGCTACTGGGAACTCAGAAAGCATATAAACAGTCATTTCCCTGGTATGCTAGACTCTAAATCAAGTTTTTGTCATCTTTGCCAAAAAGACTACACTAAAACAGGATTTATGAATCATTTACGGAAACACACAGGAGAACGTCCTTTTGTTTGTGAACTTTGTCATAAAGCCTTTTCCCAGTCCAGTTCATTGTCAATTCATATGAAGTTTCATTTGAATGTTCGTAAACATGCCTGCACAGTTTGTGAGAAAAAGTTTGTAACTAAGAGTGAATTGTCAAGGCACATGACTGTTCACACAAAACAAAAGTCATACTACTGTGGTGTTTGTGAAAAAGCTTTCACACGGTCTGATAATATGAAGAAACATGAGAAAACACATGGATAAGAATCAGACGTAGTCTGATAGATTGTAAAAAGCATCACATACCATACATTTATAATTCACTATATATAAGCAGCATCTATTTTACATCTACATATTTGAATTATTTCTTGCTTATCCATATAGTTTTAACTAATTTGGTCCTTGGAACTAGAATTCCTTGGTTTCTTATAAACTCCTAGCACAAATGTTAATATATTTGGAGTAAATAGGAATAAACGAAAAAATGTTTGTGAAGCTTTTTACATGTATATTTCCAATTCTCTAATTGCCAAAAATTTAGTCATATTACAATTGTTAATTTAAATTGTGCATTGTTTATACCAAATTGATAAATTCACATTCTAGTTCATAATTTAGTCATTATGGTGTGTTATTGTGAGTGTTTTTACACTCTTGGTGTGCTGTAGTTGCTTTTGATTTAAGATTATATATGTATATGCAATTTATTAATGCATGTTTGGGATACTTTAGGATATTTTAAATATGCCTTTGCAGGTGCTTTAATACTATGTCACACATATCTCAATCCAAAGTTGCCTTTTTAGATATGATAAAGTGATATTTTAATGAATATAGGTCAGATATTCAATAACTTTTGATAACTACACTAGTGTTTGTATATGATATAAAGAATATACTTTAAATTCTAGGCCTTTTTATATACTCTGAATTTGTCACTAAACTAATGATTGTTCCTGCTTCACTGGAAGAGCTTTAATAAATATATATTTTTGTAAACCTTTACTCTGAGGTGTTGTATACCAGTTGTAAGGAGAACCTTTGCCAAATTTTAGATAAGTATTTGAAGTGATTCTTATTGTACTGTGTTGTAACCAAAGCAATAATACATTGTCTAATGTGCCTATTCTATAATACTATTAAGGAAATGCAAAACCAAATATTTCTTAGGTTTAAGAAATATAATAAGATAAAAAATGATATATCTAATTGGAATAATATATCAAATGTTTTCATATTTTTATGTGAAACGAGCATCTTAATGAGGCACTAAAATTACTTCCTGTTATGATGGTCTCAGTTTCATGATTTAGTTAAGCCATCATGAACAATTAGAATAGTTAGTTAAGTATATATTGTAGTTTAATTGAAAAATTATTGGAACAAACATCACAAGTGTTGAACAGTAAAAAATATATTTAACCCATAGGATGTTTTATCTTTCTGTAAAGCTATGACAAAGTCATTATTTAAATGTATATGTTCTCATGGAACTTTATAACTTATGACTTATTCTAAAGATATAATTGGCTAAGAAACCAAAGCTATTTAATTTTTCAATCGTGCCACTACTATTTTTGTTGGTTGTCGATACCATATAATATAAATATTGACATTTTTTATATTTAGTATAGGGCAATAATTACATTTTAATATATTTATTGTATTTAATAATTAGAGTTTTAATCGCATGAATCGTTCATAGAATTAAGAGTTTAGATTGAGCCAAATGGGAATACACAAAACTCTACAAGACTGACAATAATATTCAGAGTAGACATTAACTCGTGCACAAATGTAACAATTATTTATTGACGCCTTAACAACAATTTTTACATATTTATCTAAAATGCACCTTGTTATAACTCATCATGACAATTAGATTAAGATCAGTTTTATTGGATTATGAACTGTTTTATAGGAAATGTAATAATTGTCGATTTTATTAAAGAGTTGTTTGTTGCAAGTCATGTTTCATTTATTATCTTAAATTAAATAGGTCATTTTCCCTTTGTTCTAGGTTACACTAGCGATGTCGGCAAGGTTGCGTAATCTTAATCCGTATGAGTTACATAAGTATCTAGTTAATGTTTATTGTTTGAATGCCAAGGGTTCCTCAACGTCACTGAAACGGGACACGTCTAGAGATCGAACGGATATTGATATTATACGAGAAAACCACAAATTTCTGTGGGAAGATGACGAGGTCGCGGACACTTGGGAAAAGCAACTGGCTAAAAAATATTATGATAAACTATTCAAAGAGTATTGTATTTGTGACCTTAGCCGATATAAAGACAATAAAGTAAGTCCCGTTAAAACCTTTTATGCATATATCAAAACGGTTGTGGGTACGTAAAAAATAAGGTACCTATTTGAATATTTTACTATTTGTTGCCAACAAACTTGACAAAGTAAGTATAAACATAGTTAAAAAACATGAAGTCTTCTATCGTTTAACAAAATCAGTTTTGTATTTACATAAAACAGTCCGATGGATGTCTTCTATTTGACCTACAAATGAATCAGCTGTAGGTACCTATTTACATTCGCTAACGGTTTCGAAGGCAACATCGGAGATAATTTATGTTTTGCTCCCCTACCGTCGGATGATGGGGACGGTCCCCTATGCGACTCAATTGCCTTTTTTGCCCCTGAGACCTTCCTTTGTGTGATGTATCGGGGAGCGCAACAATAGCCATAGTGCCTTTTTGTAGGCTAAATATAGCATGGTATTCTCCCGCGCCGCACCGGTAGCGCACATCTGCCTGCCACTCCTTGACTAACCGACTGTGAAAAGATGAAACTTATAAAAACTGGAATGTTTAATTAATGATATTGTTTTATTTACATTTGATAATTTAATATTTTATTATTTACTACCGACTCACCCTCGCTCCGCTCGGGTTCGTCCCTTCTTACGTTCTAACTTTTAGTATAGATTTCTCAGAAATGAGATAATTTCCCACAATAAAAAGTATCCTTTATGTTGACCCGGATAACGAGTTATCATCATACCAAATTTCATCAAAATCTGTCCAGCGGTTTTCTCGTGATGCGGTAACAGACAGACAAAATTTCTAAAAACTATAGATTCGGACTCTGTATCGATAATAATGTCTATTTCAATTAGATTTTCCAAAAAATATTGAATGTACAGATTCGACTTAGTTACAATTTTATTATATGTATAGATTAATGAATTTACTCATTCTTAAAATGTCAAGGATATAAGTAAATAAACTGTTGTGATTATTTTAAGTTTATTTTTGGTTTTAAGTATGTTAGAATATGTTTTCTATATTTAAAGGCTCTATAATTCTGGTTGTTGCTATTGTTTTAATTAGTAGAGATTTATGTAATAATACATAAGAAATAGAAAATTTTATAAGTACCTATTTCTAAAAAGATAGAGATGCTGCGAATAAAATTAGCAAATGAAATAACTATATGGATTATTTGAAAGCTAATGACTATGACGAAGTAGCTTAAATTAATTAAACTAGAGTGCTATAAACGAGCTAGGCTTGCGTCGCTGCGCTCGCAAGGAATTCCTTTAGAGAAATTGTCGTATAAATGTAGATTGTATGGTTTATTAATTATTTAGGAATTATTTTTTCATAAAATGATCTATTTCAAGTTTGCAAGTGACTGATATTTTTTTCTAAATGTCAAGTTCAAGATAATAAAAACATTTAGATAAATATTTCAACGTATTCAACTCTACTTTGTTTGAAATAATAGGTATGTATTATTTAATATTAGCGACAAGAACAATATGTTTACGTTCTGACTTTATCATCTCAAAACAATAATAACAAGTCACGAAGCCTACTGCCAATGCTTTAGTCTTCACAATACATAGGTAGATTAGTGTACTCGTAGTACCTATAATATGTGTTAGTAAATAATTATAGATGGTACCTACCTACATTAAGCCTGTTACTGTTAGCATACAACCGAACTCAGTCTGCTTACTGTCGAAAACACCCATCATATCACATTGTTTTTAATTGATCAATTTTATGTAGTTCTCATTTCGCCTTGTCGTTTACTCTAAATATAGAGTAAGTTATTCACACCGTGTCACGTTGGCTTTGTTTTTTAATTTTAAACATATATTTTTTAGTTTTCTCCCTTTATATAATTAGATGATTGCAAAAAAAATGTCAGTTTATAACAAACCATACCAAATATATTTATACATATTAGAATTTGTTACATAGAAAGCAATGTAAAAGATCGCTCTACTATTTGAAATAAGTTATTAGTGTTAAATCTGCGACCTCTGATGCCATGTAAGCGTAGCTAGTGTGAAAGATAATACCACTGCGCCATAATGATTATAATATTATTATTGACTATAATATATATTAATGACTATAATATAATTTGCAATAACCGGCAAAAATCCTATTGGGTTACTCATAGGTAGCGTTAAGATGGCGCGTCGAAAAAGAAGTGATTATGGGAAAAGGACAATTCCAGTGCGGAAACAAAAAATGTATCAATGACAAAAGTCTCAAATCCTGGGAAGTTAATTTTGCGTATTTAGAAGATAATGAGAAGAAAAATGCCCTTGTTAAAGTGCGTAAGTACCCAATATGAAATGTAACTTAAAAATGATTAAATTTAATGACGTTAGTTGTATCATGAATTTAATGTAAGAGAAATAATAATTAAATGAAAAATCAATGTTGGGCAAAAATCTTTCTATCAGTTATATCTACTTATATAGCTAATATAAAACTGAAAATAATATTTTATTATTAAACTAGCTCATTAACTTTGATTTACGATAGAACATATAACCAATATTATAAACCTACATTTTGGAAATTACTCAATCACTTGATTTATCAAAATAAAAAAAGAACAAATCTTCCTATAGGTCTGTGCCCGGAATGTTCAGAAAAATTGAATTATAAGTCTAAGAAGCGTGAAGTGAAAAGGCTAAAAAAGAATCAAAAGAAGAAGAAGAAGGGTAAGGAAAACGAAAAAACCGACGACGAACAAAATGATGCTGAAATACCAGAAGCAGCTTCTGACGAACCATCTACTTCTCAGCAAGATGTAGAAACTATTGAAAATGAAGAGTCTTTGTGGAAAAAAGGTAACATTAATTTTAATACTTAGTATCTTTATATAACCAACAATATAGTTTTAAGAATATTATTTTTGAAATGATGACTCACTCTGCTTTGCTCGCGTCAAAAACTTTTTTTTCTGCCATTCAATATTGTCCAGTAAAACCCTTTGTTGATAAGTTCAAAACCAAATTATTGTTAAAAAAAGTAACTTTAAACTTACATTATTACTACAAGAATAATGCGTTCCGCATTACTGCCCTGAAAAGTATCACAGTAGGTATCTAAATCCGTTCAAATACTTACGCATGATCAAACATCTTCCCAAACTTTTACTATTAAGTTTTTTTTTTTTGCTTTATTTTATAAACCAATGGATATTATGAAATTTTAATAATAAATTGATTTATTATGTTTAGGTCAGAATGTTATTGCATGAAATGCTAAAAACGAATATAAAATCTGCAAATCACAGTGCTTAGGGTTCCGAACCATAAGCACTGGAATGTAGTCTTAATAATAGATACCTACAACTGTAGTATAACCCCCAACAGTAATGGTGCTTCCACACAACTGTTAAAAAATATTAGATAACAATATATAACATTTTTTAACAAGATTTTTTTTTTACATTCAGTAACATTCATAACATTAACTGTTGTTATATAGACGTTTTCAAAGCTTCCGCACTGATAAAACATCTTGTAGAAAATTTCCTAACATTATTTTATGTACTAGCATTGCCCGCGGCTCCGCCCGCGGTTAGATGACCAAAATCCAAATTCTTAGGTTTTACATATTAGTATGCTCTTACATTACAGTTTTTGTATTTTTTCTCAGAAATAAGATATTTCCCCAGGGTAAAAAGTATATATATATATATATATATATTTATATATTTATATAACCATCTATCATCATACCAAATTTCATCAAAATCTCTCCAGTGGTTTTTCCGTGATGCGGTAACAGACAGACAGACAAAAATTCTAAAAACTATAGATTCGGCTTCTGTATCGATAATAATGTCTATTTCAATAAGTTTTTCCAAAAAATATTTAATGTACAGATTCGACTTAGTTAAAATTTTATTATATGTATAGATTGTATTAATTTATTGTCAGTTAAACTTATATAATTTTTTTTCAGGCGTTCAAGAAGTAGAAGAGAAAACTCGCGAAGAAGAATTCGAAGATTATTTAGAAGAATTGTTGTTATAAAATACATTCCGTAACTTTATGTTATATATCAACGCAGAGGATATTTTAAGTTTGATCCTATTTTTATGTAAATTGATAATACCATAACTATTCACAAATAAAAGTGTCATTACGGAGATAATGTTATTATTGATTGATTGATGCCCTTATTTGTAAGTAACACTATAAAATATTATATACTAATATTAGCGACTCACCCTCGTTTCGCTTTGGGTTTGTTCCTAGACAAAAACAAATTATTCCACGGGAACCGTAGATTTTCCGAGATGATATATAGCCTATAGCCTTCCTCAATAAACGGGCTATCTAAAACAACTCAAACTTCAAACAAACTCTGCCTCTTTATAATATTAGTATAGATTATAAAAAGGCAGAGTTTGAAAGCGCTAATCTCAGGAACTACTAATCCGATTTGTATAATTATTTTTGCATTAGATAGCCCATTAATGAAGAAGTCTACAGACTATATTATATCATCATGCTACTATCCAAGTGAGCAGTAATATAGTATATAGCTATCTATTCCATACTAACCGTTAAAACGTACCTAGGGACAAACCTGAGAGAAACGAGGGTTATTCGCTAGTATACTTAATGAATGCAAAAATATGATTAATTAAGTCGTGAGGAACTTAGGGGGCACATCAAGAAAATGTATATAAGCAATCTATACTCGTGTATAAACGATCTTTATTCCAAAACTCATGAAACCCATCGAACCGTTACATCGTTAACATGTAACGAAACACAAACTATGATGTTTACAAAATTAGTACATTTGATGGGGTAAAAACAAAATACAATTTTACTATTTATATTCATTTATTATTCTATATCTCGGCTACATACCTTTGTGTGATTGGGTACAAATTGATAAAAAAATTACTACAATAACAATCATTTGGATAGAAACCGTTGAGACATTTCACTTTATTCATATCTATAGAGCTATGCGCATACTTTATAACTAAGCGTTATAGTGTTCAATCAACAATAATATGTAAGCAAATGAGCAATTAATTTACATATAAAGACTATTATCATCATCCGCCAACCCGCACTTGTCCTGCGTGGTGGGTATGGCCTGATCCCCTCGTAATGAACGGAGGCCCGTGCCCAGCAGTGGGACTTTAACGCTTGAACGGTCGCGAACATGCCGAACTGTTGCAAAATATAGTTTAAAAAAGTTATATTATCAAAGACCGTTCCCACTGTCATACCGTTACTTAAATAATCTTGATTTTGATCTACGTACATTTTTAGTAGCGGACAATTCAAATAACAGTGTCGGTGCTAAAAACCTTGTTACATTATTGTTGATTGAACTTTAAATCATAAACATTTTACTTCACAACAAAAATAAGGAGCATTTATTTTATAAAAACATACATAAATGTAAAAATTAACAAAGGAAAATATGAAAACTATGAATAAGAATAACGATCACAATTTTTAATTATTATCACGTTCCTTGTCCAGCCTCAATAAAACATTTCATTTCTATGATTGCGTTGATTTATGCCAAAATGTGTATCAGCCATTTTAAATTTAACATTTTATTCTTTGCAACTCTGGTTAATTTATATAGACATTAGACATACATATATAAGACATAACGCAACTGCCATAGTAAGTTACTATTCTCGATACCTTTGTCATTTTTTTTAAATCATGGCACATTTAGACATAAAATTTTTATACATATTCAATTTGGCTTGAATCGGCAAAACGAACACGTATCCATCGCAAATACAAATACTAGCTAACAAGCGCGTAAAACAGTTGAAATATAATAGGGAATTCATAAACACATCGTTTTATCATCTTATGAAGAAGTTTTCATAGTCTCTGACATTGTTTTATCTGTATACAGTGATATCTTATATATATATATCCGTGTCTATGGCGCTTATGACAGTACCTATACATGTAAATAATTCATTATTTTTTACTTTTATCTAATATTGTGCATGCTGTGATTGTCTGTAAGTGGAAAAGCGTTTAATCAATGTACTAACAGTATATTTTAATTTTTAAATTGTCATGTAATAATGAGTTTTCTGTTGAAGATCCTAAATAAATAAAAATCGAAAACTCAAAATCTGAAACATTCTAAATATAATATCGAGTGGATAATAATAATCTTAAGGTCACGCTTATAAATATCGTTTCAAGCCAAATTAAAATATGTAGCTACAAAGCTGCCTTTAAATTAATATCAAAATCGAGAGTTTCATAACACATGTTTAACATTTCTTTATCAGACCCTAAATATAAATGGCGAAGCACTTCACAAAAATGGTTCATTTCAGGAGATAAAATGCAAAAAGCCATAATATAAGAACTAAAGACAATATGGAGATAAATATTTAATTGAACATTGAGCTAAATTGTACATAGGATAATTAATTAACTTAATTTTCAAAATGATTAATTTTAAACATCTTGTTTATTGCGTTTGTATACCTACATGTTTGTTTCGTATACCTCAACAATTCGTACAAAAAGTACTACTCATTTTTTATGCATATAATAATTCATAGTGCGTTAACAAAGTTACTATAATATATTAGAGCGAATTTTGAACCGTCTCTACAATAATAGAAAATGTGATTGAAGTCAATAAATTTTGACTCCCAATGGGGTTTTCTTTAAACATTTATAACAACATCAACTTTTTTTATATTAAAATCAACGTTTGAAAGCACTTATTCTCCAACATACGTCGTAGATCTTCTTAGTAACATGTATAGGAGCAAATAATTGACCATACGCCTAGATCGTGAGCCAGAGGTATTCTGCAAGAAAAACCTAATTTTTAATACAGTCAATACAAAATTTTATAAAAATAATAAAAACAAGGCAGTGGTAACCAAGTGGTAACGCGCTCGCTTGGGAAACCGAGTGAAGCAAGTTCAAATCCCGGGTCTCAACCTCTGATATTTTCATGTGCGAATCATTTCTAACATGATTACCACTTGCCTTACGGTGAAGGAAAACATCGTGAGGAAATCTGCATGTCTGAGAGAACATAACAAGTTTTCGAAAAACATGTGAAGTCCACCAACCCGCACATGGCCAGCGTGGTGGACTATGGCCTGATCCCCCTCGTATTGGGAGGCCCGTGCCCAGCAGTGGGACGTTAAAAGGGGCTGAATAGAATAGATATAATCACCTTGCCCGACGTCTACTTGTGCTTGGAGATGTCGTCGTCGTCGGAGCAGTCCTCGTCGTGCGTGTGCGTGAGGCGCTGCGGCGTCTCCGGTCGCGCGTGCGGCACCGACCTCTCGCCCTGCTTGTTAAATATTATTTACTAGCGACTTCACCTATTTTCACCCCCTTATTAAGGGATGATTTCCGGGATATAAAGTATCCTATGTCCTTCTCAGGGTCTCAAACTATCTTCTTAGCAAATTTCATCTAAATCGGTTCAGTAGTTTCGGTGCCTATTCGGTACAAACAAACAAATATCTTTTCTCTTTATAATATTAGTATAGATTAGCTTTATTATAAAAGCTTTACTTGCTATTAGCTCAATTTAATTTAAAAGAAATGAATAAATAAATATGTTGGGACATTAACACACAACACCATCTAGTTCCGTGGTAAGCTATGAGGCTTGTATTATGGATACCAGAAAGTTGATACACTACACATATATAACTAAATACATATTATAAATATAAACACTGATGACTGGAGTACAAACATTCGTGCTCATCACACAAACGAATGCCCCTCGCGGGACTCGAACCCGCGACCGCTGGCACAGCAAGTACAGCACTTGATACTGAGTCAAACATGTCGTCATTTTAGGTATAGGTTTTTAAGATTTTGTCGCGGTTTTACTTTATATTTTAGTTTCCGACATTTCGAATGTTTTATAGCAAACATGGTCACGGGTGAGTCTCCCCTCAAAATCGAAAAAGTTAGTTTTATTTAAAATGTCGTAAAGAATATTCGCAAATATTGGTGTTTTGGAACAATTACAAACCTACATAGATATCGATAGATATTTAGCAATCTGCTCTTATTGGGCTACCAGATTCATCAAAAATCTTTTTATTGGCGATAGTGGGTTTGATCCTCACATAAGGTACCTAACTAAAAGAAAGAAACTATTATTTCTGATGAAATCACAAAGTAACATATACCAATCCACAATAATTAATATTTTTATAATAGACTAAGAACATAATATTATTTAACTTATAAAAGTTATAAGTTTATTTTTATAGTAATTTATCAAATTACCTTCAAGTCCACGTTATCCGATACCACTTCTTCTGAGGAAATTTCAGCAACACATGCAGCACTAAAGGCACGTTCACTCATCACGCGCGGAGTACTTGAATGCCTCGACCTATGAGGAAAATATATATACATTATACACTGGCTCATTTATAAGAAGATTTGCAATCTCAATAAAACTAGCCAACGGTGCAGGTGATATTATATTGCAGGTGTGTGTGCGCAAAAAGCCTATTCATTTTACTCTCAAATTTCGATGAAACAACAATGCGATACTCTACGTGAGAGATCAGGCACGGAAGTGAAACATTGTTATCGTCTTTAAGCACTTTATGATAGTAAAATCCAATAACTATACTTAGCCTGACCTGGGAATCGAACCTAGTGCCTAGGTCTGCAATCCTACATTACCCTACGCTAGTCACAGAACAACGAGGCAAGTTCAACAAACGTCATTTGAAACTATCGAAAAGTCGAGTAACGTAAACTGTATCGTATGCGTATGCTGTAGTGTATCGTAACACATACGGTATAGATTACCTCATTCATTGATCCAGTGAGATAGGTCAGGTTGTCTCATATATAAAAATAAATCGAGCAACCAAAAATATACCGTATATAGGCACAACTGGTATAGTTCACCTCTCTCACTAGTCAGAGTTAGTATCACATAAAATATTCAAGCAACGTAAACTAAACCTTAATAGCTAACAAATACGGTACCGTTCACATTGCCCAGTAATCCGTCAATCTCACATATAAAATACAAGCGGAACCCGCGGCTTCTCTCGCGCTAAAACTACAAAAAAATCTCGAAAAAGATAGGAAAGGTAGATACCTAGGTTTCATACAAACTTTCATCCCCTATTTTACCATCATATAGGATGAATTTCGAAAATGCTAATACACATATTTATATATTAGCGTTGAAACGCATTAACACCAAGTTTGAAGAAATTCTGATCAGAAATAAATTTTTATTGTATTATAACGTGTTTTCCCGAGGGAATGAGATGATCTCCCGCGATAAAAAGTAGCCTATCTCCAACTATCTTATCACATCAAAAATCACGTCAATCGTGCGTTTCGAAGTGATAGAAGGACATTTATAATATTAGTATGGATTCGAGCAACCTAAAGTGCACCGTATGGTCTAACACGTACGGTAGAGTTCAACTCACCGGTCGATGGTGGGCGCGTCGACGGTGAAGCGCTGCTCGTGCGCGACGGTGGACTCGTGCGGCATGAGCATGGCGGGCGCGCGGAACATGTAGCAGAACGGGTAGTACATCAGGTTGAGGAACGACGCCGCGTACAGGTCCGCGTACCTCACCACCTACACACATACATACAATACATACAATATTCGATAGATATGTATTAAGCCCTTTTTAACGTCCCACTGCTGGGCACGGGCCTTCCTTCAGTACGAGGGGGATCAGGCCATAGTCCACCACGCTGGCCAACTGCGGGTTACCGGACTTCACATTGTCTTTTGAAAACTTGTTATGTTTTCTCAGACATGCAAGTTTCCTCACAATGTTTTCCTTTACCGTAAGGCAAGTGACAATCATGTTAGAAGTGATACGCACATGAAAATATCAGAGTTGCGAAACCCGGGATTTGAACCTGCTTCATTCGGTTTCCCAAGTGAGCGCGTTACCACTAGGCTACCACTGCCTTAAAGCCGATAGACATATTAAACAAAAACAATTATAATAACTATATTGTCTGAGATTATTTTTATAAACATTCATAGCAATTTATCCTCGCTTCGCTCTAGGTTCCAAACAGTTTTATTCGGGACCTTTGTTTTATTCGGGATCATAGCCTAACTGTATACAAAATTCCATTCAAAATTGTCCAGCCATTATAGCATGACGAAGTAACAAACATGCACACACACATACGTATTTTCGCAATTATTAAATATTATAAAAGTAGTCCGATTCACAAACTAAATAGTAACCTTATCGTTAAACTTAGTTCTGCGAGTTGCTGATAGAGAGTTTGCTCTCCACCAGTAGCTTATTTAATAAAACAAGAAATATTAAAAAAAAATTACAGTAATTGGTAAAAATATCTTGTAACATGCATACAAAACACATAACCCGAATTGAATGAAAACTTTACACAAAATGACATAAAATACCTGAGAAGAGAAGAACGTTTGCCTCGAGCCCGAGCGGAATAGCGAACCCAGCATACCGTAAGCGAGGTCCATCTTGTGCGTGACGTCACGGATCGACATGCGGAGCTTGGATATATCGGGCTTCTCTTTTGTACTGGAGTCTAGATCTCTGGAAATGGAGGAAAACCATGTAACAAAACCAATACTCTTCACAGAAAAAAGTATAAATTCGAGGAGAAAACCAAAAATAAACTATGATGATAACTTAACTTTTTATATGTCCTATACAATAAATTCTTAAAGCGTCGTTTTACTTCTTTATACTCCAGGTAGAGGTCATTCCAATAAAAAAAGGTAAACAGATATTTAAAATCGAGTAACATATATGTACAAACATAACACTAGTTTACAGTGCTTCTGTTCCCGGGAAAATTTTTGCTGTTGCTGACTACATAATATGGTATGCTAAGTTCAAATATATAATTAGAATTTTTTGATCAGCTCTGGTTTTTGAGCTTCAGCTATCTGCATTCAGTACAAAAAAATACTTGTATTAACTAAGAAAAAAATTATAAAAAAATTAAGTTAAGCATTTAGTTCTTAAAAACTTCGTCTTAAGTCTCTCCTCTTATAAGTATTAATAGTCTTAATACATTTTTGTATCCTTAAAACCCTAATAGCGTTCTTCCATAACGCGTAAACCTTGATGCATACACTCACCCTGCTCGTCCCTCATATCTCCTAGATTTTCAGGAAACCTGTCCAGGTTACTATAGAGAAAGTGGAGTTTAAATACTCATATTGCATTCTAAATTTTTTTATTGTAAAAGGAGATCTTCTACAAGTCCATTTTTATCAACGCGTTTTTAATATATGAACAAAGAGCAATATTGTCTTTCACGATAAAAAGTTACTTTAATACCTAGAGAAAGCAATTTTTTTCTATAAGTCTTGATGCCAACAATTCTGAAGCTTGTTTAGAAAGATTGAAATCTCTTACAAGATCATCTGATTCGTTTTGTGGAAAACATGTTGGTCCATTGGATACATCTCCAAAATCATGATCATTTTCTAAAGAGTTTGGTTGTTTATGTATATATGTATGTATAGTTTGGTTAAGATATATTTTGGGGTACTGGAGACTCATGTGAATGTTGCACTGGACGCTGAACACAAGTAGTACTTGGGTAATGCCATTTATGTTGACACTAAGAAAATTACATTCATCGAGATGATTTTGTGGTATCCGCAAATTGTTGGTGTTTCAAATTCAAAAGCACTTCTTTTACTACCTTTCCACAATCTTAAATATTCGACACACGATTTACAAATACAATTAGACGTCAAAGACTCAGGACTTTTATCCAAGAACATCCCAAAATGCAGAAAGTAGGTGTTTTTGACGAACTCTTATTAACTTTTCTAAAATTGTGAAACACATATTGTCCACATATATAGCAAAATGATTTGGATTGCTTAAACAACTTCTCCTTGAAGTACTGATGTCACAAGAACTTAAGATATTCATCTTAACAGAGTGAAAAATGCACGTTATGAACGGGCAAATACGCTTAAATAATGAAAATCAGAAATAAAGTAATTTGAGCTGCACAAAATTTTCTAATGATAAATGTGATAAAAACTTAAAAAAAAATACTGACTTCCAGGCACTAAAATGTAAAAAATAACTAAACGGGGGTTTTCATTTAGAATAGATACCTAATCAGATATTTTCAAAGTCGGTGCCAGCCGACGCATAGGAAATCTAATATATCTTGATACGTAAAATACATATATGTATACCTATTAGATATTCATATCATAAAATATTGTCTGCGTTATATCCAGCCACGTCATAACCACCACGTACATAACAAATTAACAACAAAACATAAAAGTTCTGCAATCATTATTTGGCTATGTACTAGTAACGTTTTATATATATATATAACGCGTGTGAATCATTAAGTACATATGTAGTATGTACATATATAAATAGTATTTTTACAGTCAAACGTCATTTGCTAAATGTTCTAGAAAAGTCATAAAGACAAAAGTTATGACTTGTAATTGAGAGGAAAGAGCTTCTTCAAATGATTTTACAACCCTTTTAATAGTTATGGCAGCAATAAATGTATCATATCTAAGATATGAAGTATTTTAGCAATTTTATATTAAGACAATTATCGAGCTACAAATATGTATAGTTAATTTAAATACTGTCTGACATATCCTGTTTTTTATTACGAGATTAATTCAGGGCTGCCAATGGAGAAAACTTTTTTTTTTAACGTTGGGAAATGCATTTACGCACAAAGTGTGGGACTCACCGGCAAAGCCAGTACTACCCACTAAACCCCAACAAAACCTTCCCCCGTCTTAATGGGGTGTCGCAGGATCGCTTACGCATTCAACTACGACGCCCCGATGGCAGGTCTGCCGAAGCAGACCACAACAACCACGGGGTTGCTCCAAGGTCCACTCTGCTATCAGAGAAATACCAGGAGCAACCCGCATGGTACACCGCCCTCCGAAGAGGGCCGCCTCCCACCGCCCACCGAAGCGGGCCACCTCCCTGTGCGTTTCTTGGCTTCGCGCCCGGCTGTATCGCGCCGGGCTCTACTGCCAGTAGAGAAAACTGCTGCCAGTAGAGCCAACTTATTTTATACCGCTGGGTCAGTCAAATTATACCAAATCAAATTTTATTATAAAAATTAACAAAACTGTTCAGAAATAGTCTGTGACGAATAATAAATTTCAATAAAAATACGTAATAACTTAAAATGAAATATACATAAAATAACCGTATTTTACAATTTTCGTATTCAAATATACGCCCTGGATTCATTGTTGTTGATTCTGTGTTAATTTGATAAATATTGATAATATGACCCCTTCTTTACAAGTATCATCATATTGTGTTAAGTTAGATAATAAACTATACGCTCTAATCTATCCTAATATTAAAAGCTGAAGATTGTTTTTTTTTGTAATTTTGGTTTGAACGGAGCAATTAATTTTGGAAGTTCTCGTCGGATTTGATAAAAACCTTTTCGCAATTATACTTACTTATTGCAGAAGGTTATAGGTTATCTAACATCACGCTACGACCGTAAGAGCGATGTTATTATACGTACACAACTATGAAAATCGTTAAAAAGACGAATTGACGAAAAATTTTAAAAAAAAACCAAAAAGAGTATTTTGTAAATTAGCTATCTTTTAAAAAACATATACCGATAAAAATAAATAATAGGAATATGTATATATAAAAAAAATGATAAATAATAATTATAATTGTTTCTCTCTTAACGACTTACTATGATATATTTTTATGATATAAGAAAACATAATCAAATATACGGACTGCATATAAATTTGTACTATTTATTAATGTTTTAAATAAATATTCCTTGAGTACCTAAATTGAATTCGTGACATCAGGCCCGGTGCCAAAAACCAGTTAAAATGTAATATTAAATATTATGCTTTACATCAATCATAAAAAATATGCAGTATTATGTAAACACGTAATGACAAGTCGCAAAGTATATTTTATATGACGTCAACTAGATCTATACATAGGTAAGTGACGTGGATTGATTAAAATGAAATATTGTGGTAAACAACATATCTAGGTGACTGTAATAAATAAGCAATCTATTATACCTAATAAATAGATAATCATTCTTATTATATCTATAATATACGTATATATGTGAAGACCGTAGTGAATTTTACTAACTAGGACTAGTGACTCACCCTCGCTTTGCTCGGGTTCGCCTCTAGATGCGTTTAAAATTTTTTGAGCGGAGCCCTAATTCTCTTTCTAAAATAATAGTTATGTTACTTCCTATAACATCAGCTACCTTCCAGTGAAAGTCCCTTCAAAATCAGTCCAGTCGTTTCAGAGATTATCCGGAACAAACAGACAGACAAAAATTTAAAAAAATGTGTTTTTCTTATATAAGTACCGTATATAATTTTACATGCTTTAGTAAAACGTTGTTATTTTAACATTACAAACAGACATTACAATTTTATTTATCTGTATAGAATAGCGATTACTCTCTCTACGCACTAGCAGTTTCGATTTTCGAAATAGAATCCTTTATGTTACCGGAATAAAACATATCCTATATGTAGCCCTACAAACTCCTCTATCTTTCAGTGAAAGTCCCATTACAATCGATTAAGCTGTCCCAAAGGTTACTCTGGACAAACAGAAAGACAGACTAAAACTTTAAAAAAGGTTGTTTAAGTACTGGTATCATATTAATATAATGCTTGAAAAAACTTATTCATTTATATGTATAAATAGTTACATACATATTATATCCTACGGAAATTATTTCCTGTATAAACATATTAAATATGTATCCTTATCACTCTGCGGCGCTTAATTTATATTAACTTATAGTCACGTTTTGTGTTGCTGTGATAAAAGAGTACAAACTATTTAGACACATTTTTATATTTATAAAATTACTTAAAATTATTTTAAATTTGGATCCGGATGTGCAGCCGTACATGCTATCCACTACACCACCGACGCAGTTAGTACAAGTATAGCTAGTAGTAAACGTGTATTCATAAAATTCTAGAAGCTAGCAATAAAACCTTAAAACGTTATACCTAGATATGTGTGAGATTATAATTATGTTTATAGCGAACGTTTTAAAATATTTAGTAAGAAGGAAAGGAAAAAGGAATTCTTACTTGTACATATCACCGAGTTGTATATCCAAATTCTGTAATTGAGCGAATAGCTGGCACTTGTCGGTCCACACGTGCAATTCTTGAACTAACTCAGGTACGATAAGGAAAGTGCGCCATCCGCCGATTTTCTTCGACTTCAGTATATCTCCGAATATGTGGTCCCCGATGTATAGCACGTCTTTGCCCTTTGCACCTATCAACTCGGTAAAAACATCGCATGAACCTGTAACAAGACAGCAGTATTTTATTAATTCTTTAGGTTCACTAATATTTATAACTATTATTATATATACTAATATTTATTTATTTCCCAACGTTAAAAAAAAGGTAAAACCACTATCCATACTAATATTATAAATATGAAAGTGTGTTTTGTTTGTTTTTTTGTTCGTTTGTTTGTTTGTCCGTCTTTCTTTTATATCCAAAGTGACGGATTGGCTTGATTTTTATTTGGAGATAGTCGGAAGTGATGTAGGCTACTTTTTACCGCGGGAGATTATCTCGTTCCCACGGAAAAACACGTTATAATACAATCCATAATAACTCATAATACCTATATACATATAGTCTATTTATTCCATACGAACTGTTAAAACGGACCTAGGGACGAACCCGAGCGAAGCGAGGGTGAGTCGCTAGTGTTGTATTAATATAAAAATTATTTTCATTATTTAATTTCCCAATAGATATTCCAAAAGTTATTTAAAAGTATCAAAAATTTTATTTTATCATAGAACATATTATTTATCATATACGGAAGTTTCCCTAATGCTATGCAAATACGTATGACTGGTACGTAAATATTGTTTCTGTATAGCATCATCTTATCGTACAATACTTCGAGTCGTAAGTTCTTAATGGGGGATTTGATAAGACTCGTACGAGAATTATTGCTGCCTGTCAATCAATATTAATACACATAAATAAATTCTGCATGTATGTATGTACACATATATTATATGTAACTCGTTGTAACGTTAATGTTGTTGACAATGTTTCCGTTACAGTGAAGGAAAACATCGAAAACCTGCACGTCTGGAAGAACCCGGCAAAGTTTTCGAATGACACCAACCCGCACTTGGCCAGCTTGGCTTGGTGGACTATGGCCTGATCCCTCTTGTATTGAATGGAGGCCTGTGCCCAGCAGTGGGGCGTTAAAAGGGCATGCAATTTTTTTATTAATAATATACCTACTTATTAAAAATCATCTTCGCTAACAAAAGGTGGTTAATATTACTAGAGACAGAATTAATTCAAGTCGTTTAAATAGAAAAAGTCACGAAATATTACATTAAAAAATAAAGTATTTATAATTTTCATTGAAAACATACCTCCAGAATAAACCAATCCCTCATGAAGCGGTCCAACATGGTGACCCATCTTCAAAGCACCTGTGCGAGTGTCGACTTGACGTAACGTTGTGCCTTCACCAAAGAACAGTGGTTTCTTGGCATCTACTACGATCCAATCAAAATATGTCTTCCAATTCCTATGAGGCTCGCCGGGCTAAAAATATCATTATCAAAATAGAATAAAAACAACAACTTAATTATCATCAATCTGACAAATAGTACAATTAAATTGTTCCAAAACGAGCAAATACAAATAGCTGCCCCGCGTCCTTTATTATATATAACTAGCGACTCACCCTCGCTTCGCTCAGGTTCGTCCCTAAGTACGTTTTGACGCTTAGTTTGGAATAGATTTTATTTTTTCATTTTTTTTGTGAATTTCTCCGATGTTTTAATAGTTATTCTGCTATTCGGGGTGAGGACAAATCCAACAAAACAAACATCATAAAAATCGGTCCAGCAGTTCTCGAGTTACAAGTGTTGTAAGAAACCCGACTTTGTTTTATATATATATATATATATATATATATATATATATATATATATATAGACATAGCTGTCAATGACACGTGACTCTGTTTTTAACTTTCTATTATTTTCAAAAAATGCTATGTTTTGTAACTAGGCGATTTCATATTACATTTAAAGTAAAAATAAATATTTTAATGAGTCGACTTTGTAATCTATTATAGTCACTTTGTAATGACTTTCTAAATCTAAATGAATAATTTTATTTACTTATCATAATGCCGCAACCCATTCATAGAATGAATTTCTGGCTATAAATATGTAGTATACTAAAAGTACGCATATGAAAAGGCGAAATAGAAAGTATCGACAGGAATTTTAACCCTGATAATATTTAAGTGTATGATAAATATTATTATCATTTATCAATGTTAAAATTTTTAACAAAAGTAGGTATTTATTATGTGTAACTAAAATGGCGTAATAAAACATTATTTTAAAAGACCTTCACACACCCATATTATAGATCTCACAAAAACTATAAGTCTTATTTGTACGTCTAGATGTAATAAATTTTTTACTACTTCCATATCAATGTTCGGATCAACATTTAATTCGCTTGACGCAAAATATCCTATACACTTTATAGCTCATACGTAGTTTTACGAATAATAACTTGAGATTTATAAAAAAATGAATATTAACAATATATTTTGACACAAAAAATTGTTTTAAAAGTTTTGACGAGAGTTGTAATTTTATAAATAGTAGAATTAAAAAATATCTAAATTCTTTAACTCACTCAGGAAATAGTGTTTTTTAAACAACGATACATATCAATCATCTTGTGTTAGCTATAAAACAAATTATTTTGTTACGGTCTATTCATGTCGGGTTCCAGTTTAACTGTACCTACTACCTATCTAAATAAAATCAAATTCTTACGTGCTCACTCTATATTCATTTCGAACTACATATGTACATACATCATTCTATAGAGTATATTGTGACCTTTAATTTTGGAGTGAAAAGAATTTAATTGAGCACTAATACAAAAATAACCACTCGATATTTACAGTGTGAATGTGACACCGTGTGAATTTGAAACCCCTATTCAGTATTAGTTTATGTATGTTTATTTAAACTTCTAAAGGATAACAATTTATACTCTTCAAAGCTAAGGGCACTTTGAAAGTTAGTACTTGGTAATGCTTCAAAGTGACTACTTAGAAATAAGCAATCTAAAATGTATTAACTTTAAACGTGTTATTCATAGCCGTGTCAATCAAGTTTCTAGAAAAAAAAAACAAAATTTACACAAAAAAGAGAATGAAACTTAAATTTAAATAATTAATTAATTCTATGATTTTTATCAAGAGTTTTTTCGGTTAATTATTATGCTCACGTTTTCAATGATAAAACAAACGTCACGCAACGCATCGAGGTCCCGGCGCGGTGGCGTTACATAAGTACTTACTACTGTACTCACTGTACTTTTCCTCTCAGCTATTTTGAATAATAATGTTGCCCGCATTACATACCATAAACTATACTACAGTACACGCCTTGAACGATTAGGTACTACGATTATATGTAGGTACAACATCATAAATGTACCTATTACTTTCAACCTGTAGCTAGACTCATATTACGCTTTAAAGTAAGCGAGTGTTTGTTATTGTTCAGAGTTCAGCTTCAATGGTTTAGAGTGAAATTTTATACTGGAGGTAGCTTATATACTGAATTAAAAAATAAGTTTTGTAATTTATATTAATATTTTATTTTATTAGTATAGCAATATAACTGCAGCAAATCATTACGTTTTTATTAGAAATAACAGAGCAATCATAAATAGTTAAGATTATTGAAATTATTTGAGTATTAATTTTCAATGTCAAATCATGTCTTTTAATAAAAAAATAAACATCGTAGAATGTACTGGGAACCGCCTTTGAGAAAAAAATGAGGCAAAAAATTCTTGAATAGAATTCAATATTATACAATTAGTTACAAATAAAGCTAAAAATATTTACAAACTTATAAAGGATCATTAGGCAGTGGTAGCCCAGTGGTAACGCGCTCGCTTGAGAAACCGAGTGAAGCGGGTTCAAATCCCGGGTCTCGCACCTCTGATATTTTCATGTGCGAATCATTTCTAACATGATTACCACTTGCCTTACGGTGAAGGAAAACATCGTGAGGAAACCTGCATGTCTGAGAGAACTTAGCAAGTTTTCTAAAGACATGTGAAGTCCGCCAACCCGCACTTGGCCAGCGTGGTGGACTATGGCCTGATTCCCCTCGTACTGAAGGGAGGCCCGTGCCCAGCAGTGGGACGATAAAAAGGGCTGAATACAAAGGATCATTGATCAATTAATATCCGGCATAGATATTGAGTCGTAGAATGGTATAACATACCTACATCCAAAAGATATTATCTAAATCAAGAACTTCCTCCGTTTTTAAAGTTGGCTATTTAACCAAATTAAATAATGATAATGTAAATGTATCGTTAAATAAATTATAACTTACCTTAGCACCATATGGAAAATCGAATAGATAGTTCATAATTTTGTCTGTGAAGTTGTAGTCGCTGTTTGTGAGGATGAACAATTTAGCACCACTTTCCCGTATTCTCGACAGAAACATTGGTAATCTGTCATCTTTTTTCAGATAAAGGTCTAGATTTTCTGTAGTTTTCTTCTTTAAGTCTCCATGTATGTGAACATAATCTACTGCATTTCTCACATCTTGGAATATCGATTTGAAGGACATAGCTAAATCGCCGCATCTTACACCGGTCTTTTCCCTAAAATAGAACTTATTTTATGTATTTTATAATACTATATTTTTTGTTTTTTATAAAACAAAAGCAATAAATAAATGTCAAAATTCAAAATAAAAAAGTGTTGTATCATGTATTCAAAAGTTAATCCCTTATTCATCAGTTATATTTAGCTGACACCAGAACATTTAAAAGAGAAACAAACAAAGAAAAAGAGAATGAACGCATAATTTCAGTATTTTTACAAACTTAAACAAAATTAACCAACTGCAAAGAACAAATTATCGAATGTATTTATTCAACATAGGAATTAACCATTTATTAGTATAGATTTTTCAGAGATGACATATTTTCCCGCAGTAAAAAGTATCCTATATGATGACCGGACCCGTATAACCAGCTACAATCATACCAAATTTAATTAAAATCTGTGCAATGGTATCGATAATGACTATTTCAATAAGATTTTCCAAAAAATATTTTAATGTACAGATTAGACTCAATTAGAATTTTATTAATATTACTTAATTTATATAGTACGAGTTATAATTATGTCATGAATATACAAATTGGTGTTTACTAAACAAGTATTCGATGTCGCCCACGTGAAAACGCATAACTTTGCCTACGCATTCAAACTCGAATCTTTCAAATAGTTTGCGACTTACGCAAGAATACGTATTTCAAATAAATAAAGTTTATACCAAACCGAGTTTATTTCAGGAAATATATGTTAATTTTGATAAAGTCTTTATTGTCTCTATATTGCTAATAGTGTCGTAAATATATAATATATAGTAGTAAAATCAACATATTGTTAATATTGAGGAAAAGAGGTTATGATTGGACATATTACATCATGTATATATGTAATAATTTAATTTTACATAAACGAATAAGCATTGTATGTACATAATTATCTTCTTTCCATGCTTTCATAATTAAAAATATTATAAGCTATTCCAAAAATAGACTACACGTTGTTAAATTATGTCTAAATGTAATCGAAATACCATAAGGACAAATTAAATTATGTTGGCAAATTATCACACAATAGATATCATATAAAGATTGCTATTAATTATTTAAACATAGGGTTGCCAGCTTATTCAAATTCTTATAGATAATATTATTACAAACATGAATATTGTAGATTGTAGATACATTTATTTTCCTCCAACTACTATTTTTAATACAGTTTAAAAAAATGCTTCTAGATTTATTTATTTCAATAAATAAATCATGTTTTGATTCTTGATTAACATTAAATGAAATCGATATTTAAAAACAATTTGCAATATTGACATATTATTTATAATACCAAATTGGTAAATAAATTAAATAATGATAATAAAATTATATTAATTTTAATTTATTGATACATTTTATCAACCCTATTCTTACCTCGTGTATTGCGGCGAATTTGTGAAGAAGTCTATGAGGCACGCTATTAGATACGTCTCGGGCAAATTGAATAATGTATTTAACACGTACACTCTAGACTCGTCAAGTGTCAAAAATTTATTCGGATACAATTCGTAGACCTGAGAACTAAAATAAGATTATTATTATATACCTATAAAAAAGGTACAATAATTATTTATAAGCAATATATATAAAAGCAATAAAAAATACTAACTGTTTTAAAAATTCAAATCCTTGTACGCAGACTAATATGTTACCATATGCATCAACTTTTAATAAGTTGCCGTACAATGTGTCGAACCAAAGACCTCTGGAATAAACAAATCAATTTAACTCGATAATGTAAATCCTATTATTTAAATACTTTTATAATTAAATTGATTATTCCAACAAATAGGATTTTTTTATAATTTTTCCGCTTCTAACGGTAGAAGCGTGATAATAAATAGCCATTTAATAGCTAAATTAAACAAAAAGATTATTAAATGGAAAAAGTATCAAATCAGACCGATAGTTTCAGAGATTAGCGTGTCCAAACAAACTAAAACAAAATCTTGAGTTTAATATAGTATTTATATTAGATATAGTACTTAGTCTTTACGCTTGGTTCTTTGTGATGATATAATTATACTTTACCATTAGTCATCTTCACGTTATTTGTAAAGCATTTTGAAACATCGAAAAGTATCTATTACAGTGTTTTATCGCGACAAATTGAATATCGTAAGTTATATTTAAATGTCAAAGGTAACCTTTTTTGGCGTCAGTATTAAATGTACGATGAATTAATTCAAGGCGAGACATGAAAATTTTGGAGCTTTATATGTACAGCGTACGTACATTTTACAATTTATCAAATATTTGCTATTTGTAATACTAAGTCCATAAAAGTTGAACGGAGATTACCAATCCCGCTCTTTGACTTTGAGCCTCTAAAGATATAAATATTTGTAGTAGGTACCGAGAACACATAGATATTTATCGTATGAGAATCGATCTCACACTTAGGCTATTTGAAATAGCCGAAATGTGGATGCTGAACGTAACATTTCATTTTAAATTAATTTTAATTAATCTTACCATCGATTCACCTTACGACTGACTTACTAACAGTCCTGGTATGTGTTTTTTATTTAAAATTCGCCAGATTATTCTGTTGTGGCCAAGTTACGCGTAAAACCATGATTTTCTACATAAACAACTACGCTTCTCGCCATATTAATTTTAATTTAATAAAAAACTTTAGCATCTCTACATTTTAGCTCTATAGATCCTTCGCGGCAGTTTGATCCCTGACCAATCCTTTTTATAATGAAAATATATGTATATGGAATATAATAGATTTAATTAAGTATGAAATTCTTATTATATCATGTATCTTTATTGTATCATCTTACCTGACAGGGAATGAAGGGTCATATTCAAATTCTAATATTTCTTGTGGGTACCCTTTGTGAACTAATCTCTCTTTGGTTAGATTGAAACCTAATGTTTCATATTGCGGCGATTTATACTCTGTAAATAAACGACATCATATACATATATGTGTAGAAAAGTATTTTTTCATAATCTTCAGAATTTTCCACTTTAAACAACGATTTTTCAACGGCCTTAGTATTAGATATCCCGTCACACGTGGCAATAGAGCTACGATAACTCGATGCTATCTATCTTTCAGACTGTAAAATCTACGTAATAAAACGTCATAATGATCGATAGATAGTACATGGTATTACTCACTAATTACAAAATTTATTCCGATTACAAAATATGTGCGGGCGGCCATCTTGGTTGAATAAACTTATTTTAACATAGCTTTTTCAGCATTAGAACTAACAACATAATTTAAAAAAAGTATCAAATACAAAATATTAAATAATTTACAGCAGTCATAACTCAATTTTCGTGTATGTACTTTATACTACTTATTGTTTTATCTTATCCAGTATCTTATTTAGTATTTTGTTTATGTCATTAAAATGCATGTAATGTCTCTACGATTTAAGAGTATTAATCATTTTGAATTTTTCTTATTAACATATTATGTATTATAAGCTGAGATGTTCAATAATTTCCTTCTAATAAAATAACTTTATGTGTATGTAAAATTGGAGTAAGGCCTTGCACCAGAGTGAGGCTCTAATATTTTTAGCTCAGTTACATAACAACGCTCCACACTGAATCATCGCTTTTTCATACATAAGTCTAAAGCCTACTCTAGCAGTGATTTTCACTACGATCATATATCTACCATTCATATATGAAATATTTATAAAAACATAATATTTAGATTCACTATTTCTTAGAACCTATACAAGAGCTCTACAAATTCTGACTAATAAACAAATACTTATCTACAATGAATCATAATGCTTATTCACAAGAAAGCTAACTTACCTGCCAGAGTGTAATCCATATCAAATCCATAGAACTTAACATTTTCTAAATGTAACGATCTGTTCACGAAAATTCTGAAACAAAAATAAACTGGTGATATATTTTTGATTTCTTAAATTTCAGACTTATATCAACAACATAAGATCAGTTATAGAAAACAAATACGCAACTGCAGATGTTGATACAGAATTGGGTGCACTCTATTTAGTTGTGTCACCAGTGGAGGATAAATATTTGTAGGATCATGGCCACAAAATATAATGATTATAGTAATAAATTCAAAACATGAGTTGTTGATCGGTCACTCCTACGTACCCATAAATAAACATATAGATTAAGCATTTGCGTCGTTATATTTAGCAATAAACAAACACAAAAAATATAAGTGCGTATGATTTTTATAAGAAAAATGTTATTATTTCCAAAAATAAACCTTTTAATATTTTTTTGTAAAATAATCTAAATATAAGTAACACACATTGAAATCCTAAAGCACAGGTATTAAAACTGCTTAAATTATACATATTTTTAAAAATCTCAAAGACTTATAAAATTAATGTAAAAGCAATGCAATATATTGTCTAAAATTTCACTCAATTAGGTACAATGTATTTGAAACCCTAACAAATACAATTTGCTGACATTTTTTATTTAGAACGGTTCCTTTATTTACATTATAGAGTTGTGGAATGACAATACATTAAAGACTCAGATACGAGTGCTTATGTGTTGAATGATGATTCACTTGCTTACTTTTATTGTTATTTACTTTTGTTGCTAAGAAACAATTTTTCTGAGAAAGAATTACAGTTGATAGCAGCTTACTCACAAAGATAAGCCTTGTGAAGATGAAATTTGGTAAGAAGATAATTCGAGACCCTGGGAAGGACATAGGATACTTTTTATCCCGGAAATCATCCCTTAAGGGCGTGAAAATGGAGATGAACGTTTGTATTGGAAAGCAAGCTAGAGACGAACTCGAGCGAAGCGTGTGAGTCACTAGTAATAGCTATAAAATGAAATGTAGAGCAGAGATATCACTTATGATGTAAAATTTGACAAATATAAGTCAACGACTTTATTTTGAGTAAAGAATTTTAAGTAAAATTATGAAGACAAAAAAATTAAGAATCATTTGACAATCGAGACTCATTGCCAAAATATCATCAATCGATAATTTCTATACTAACAAATACTGATGATTGCCCGCTTTTGATACACAGTATACATATACCTAAATCGTTTATTTAATAGCAATTTATCAAGTAATAGTAACAAATCATTATTTAAATATAAAAAAGCCTTATCTTAATCAGATCATATAATCCTAATTTTTATTCTGAATACGCTTTAGCATTCATTCGGTGTACCTACTTCTAATTTATAGGGTTCTGAAAATTTCATCATTCACTTTATCATGGTATTTGTAATCACAATCAATTATGTTGTATAAGAATTTTATCAAGTAAGATTGCGTAAATCTGTTACGTTAATAAGCAATTAAGTTTCCTATTTAGTGAGCAATTGCCACGTCCGCGACGCGGGGCGGCGGAACCGTGTTATCATAAGTTATTGTTTCCTTCCATCACTCGAACTAGAGACTTCGTTAATGACAAAGGACACGCATCTTGACCGACCGTAATTTTACATTTCTTATTTCATTTACGTACATAGGTATATATAAATCGGACTTTTATTATAATTGCGGCCGTTTTGTATGTCTGTCACGCTTATTTAAACTAAACGGATTATGATCTGGATTAATACAGAGGTTGTTTAACAGAAAAGATAAGAGGATGCTCTTCTCGGTAAGAAATAATGGCAATAGTAACACTTTTTTCACTTACTTTTGAAATATCTAAAAGTACTTTATTTTATACTATATTGACCTCGATAGACCGTAGTAGGCATACACCACCAATGCTTTAACGTTTCAATTCGATCCAAACTCACATCCGTATTAGTGGCGCAACTCAGTTGCGTTTTAAACACATAATTTGTGTTGTTTCAACTATATACCTAATTGAATATATTCACCTAAACATGAAAATTAAATTTTAATTTATATTTAGAACGCTAAATGAATGCGTTTTAGAAATTAACATTTCAAGAATAGTGCCAGTATTATGTAGGTACTAGGTAGGTAGCAGGCGCCGGGTAAGTCAAATCCATAACTTTCCAAATATATGTATTTAGACTAACTCCAGCAAGTATTCGCATTTAACGAAAACAGGTATTTTAGTCTTGACACGAAATTTATTTTCGAATTGGAACATATTACCAATGTCATTGGTATTGCAAGTCAAGTCAGGTGATAATCCGGATTTAAACATTGGCGTTAGTGGGTGTAATGTCCAGACTCCCGATTAATGATTATATGAGATGACAGCACAGACGCACGTCCGCGTTGTATACAAATGCCATGCATCCGGAACATAAGCAAAGTTTTAATATATACCTAACCATAATCGAAGGCCAAAATTGTTGTTAGATTTGATTTGAAAGATTCATATGATGTTATTAAATGTCCTTTTATGTTTGGCTCGACTAGATAGTGGATATTACAGGAATGTAACTGTGTTATAGTTATATAATACATATGTAAGTATATTCATTTATCATTATCTGTTTATTCTTGTCATCAGATTCTTAGCTCTTCCTGTGCCACTAGTGTTGTGTGCTGACATGTAATAGTACACCGCATTCTAACGGAAAAAATTTCTTTGTATGATGAATCGGAATATGATTGTTGCATTTTGCGCAACACATATACCTATGAACATTTTTTTTTACATATTTTAACGAATGATTCATGAACGTATGCTAAAACGCTTAATTTACACTACATTGTTTCTAGCTGCTCGCTTCAAATTATCACCAAAAATACTTATATAACTAACGATATCTACTTCGATTGTAAAAAAATAATAATAACTCACTCATTAGGAGCAGCTGTATATCTGTCCCCTTTGCCATACGACGAGCCGTTTGTAGCAGTAGAGTTTTGAAACATTTCTGATGTTCCATTCACTGTGAATCCTTGATACCTCATAGTCTTAAAACTCTCATGTATATTATGATAAAATATAGTCTAATTTTTATTACATAAACGTACGTATACTTTCTATTATCTAAAAATGAAGCTTTCCTTAGAGATATACCAATAACAACAGCTCTACATTTTTGGTTGGTAAATGTAAGACAACAGTTTTGGTTGGTAAAAGGAAATATTTGAGAAGATATCCTTGAATGTAACAAAGTCAAGTGTACCTAATGTAAAAAAACAACCTAACAATTACGACCTTCGTCAGATCTGTATCATGCGGGAAATGCATGATGATACTTTCTTAAAATTGTGGATTCAAAAATAATAGTTTAAAATTGATGTTTATAGATTAATGAGGTTAATGACTACATATTTCTAATAATACTTTTTTTTAAAGTTTGCATAAGAAGTATTAAAGAATGAAGAATTATCATTTAGGTTTAGATGTGGCAGTGTTTTTTCTCATCCTTCATTTATGTATAGATAGACACAGTGAAATTTATAAGAGAGCGGATGCAGAACGACTAGGGGAGTCTGCCAGGAGTCTCTCAATCGATATGAATTTGCCAGACAGGACTGCCCACTTTCACTTAATTTGTTATTTGATATCCTGAATTGTTTTTTATAATATTATTATGAAATTATTTTTACGTGTAGCATTAAGAATTTACCAATAACTTACGTACACACAACTACAAATTATTGTTACTTGTGTGATCAATTAATGCACATAAAATAAAATAAAGAACATATTTGTAAACAAAAGTAAGATTGTAAATAGGTTGTTTTGAATAATTTTTAATTTATACGCAATATTTAACTGTATCAATGTTACAAATATTTTTTTGTTTTCGTCTTTCATGTATAAACATATTATGTTGCAGAAATAAAAACAACCTTGCGAATTCAGAAACAAAGACTGACAATGAAGTTGGTAAAAGCAATAAAGAAATTCGACCTTGTGTAGTCTATATATTAAAAATTACCGAATACCGGATTAGGTTTGGTGCAACTTGAATTTGCATAAACACATTACTAATCTTGACTCTGTTATAGTCAAAGTTTTCCGATAGCACTACATTTAATATTTTGCAACACACTTATATATCCTTTTTATTATTGTTATTTAAAGTAATTTAACAATTGATGATACCTACATCTGTACAAACACTTTAAAAACGCAATACGCATACACTAAACGAGCAATAACACGATAAGAAAGGTGATAACCATGGGATACGGTAAGGACGATGCAGAGCGGCAAACGCGTTCGCGTATACTGACGCCATTCAAGCCAACGTTGACGATACTCGATAGCCCCCACGACAACGATTTCCCCCGCGACCGCGTCGGCCGAACAGCTGATTCACAAAACAATGAGTGCTATGTGTTATTTAAAGTTAATATTATACACATTTTATAAAAGACCGGATAGGAGAGTCAAATAATTAGGTAAATAATAAAAAAATACGATAATTTCGCAATTACAGATACAGTAAAGAATACAAGTAATGTAATATTTATACTCTAACGCTTTGTGGTAGGAATTCAATTGACACTGTTAGCATAAAATCGTAATACTACAAGTTGTACATATTTTCTAATCAAAATTTAACAAAGCCTTATTTTTATCGACTCTACCTTTTAAATTGTTGGGATATTTGGCTCAAATATTTTGATTGAGATCTTCATAGGCAGCTTCATATTATTGGGCAAAATATTTACACCGTCGCAACACACTTTACACATGAAAATGTGTAGGATTATTTATTATAATACTTGATACTCATGTAAGATAAGGACATAATGATTATATTACAATATTGTAATCAAATATTATTTTTAAAAACACCAAATGTTGAGAATCTTGCTGGTTTCTTCTCAGCAGGACTGCCTCCTGAGCCTTTGGTAGATTCGTCATGGAATTACATACTATGTACTGATATTCAAATTTAATTTAAAATTGACGATTCAAAAGTGCTTGTAAAAGTCTATTTGAATAAAGTTTATTGATTTGTTTTGGATTAAAACTCTGAAATGAGTGACAAGTACTGAAATTAAATAAATTTTATTCAATTAGACTTATTACAAGCACTTTTGAATCATCAATTTAATTTAAGCGTCAGTGTAGTCAGTCCGTAAGAAAACTACCACCGGCTCGGAAAAAAATTCTGCTGAGAAGAACCGGCGAGACACTAAACAGTTGCTCTTTTAAACGTCGAAGTTACATATATTTTAATAAGATAACAATAGAGACAGCCCGTATAAGAGTCAATATTTCTCAATATCACACGTTTCCATCGACAAGAAACTCTTGAACAGTGTAATACGTTTTGCTCGATAAAATATTTTTAATTTTATCTTTAAATTTTTGAAGAGGTAAATCTAGGACATTTTGTGGAATTTTATTATATATGCGTATAATCAGGCCGATGAAGGATTTATTCACCTTTTGGCATCGAAATCGGGGCGTAACAAGCTTATTTCTATTTCTAGTGTTTATTGTATATCTATCACTGTTTTTTACATAATTATTTAAATTTTTGCGATCAAGTAATATATTACATAGTACATATTGTAACGCAACCGTAAGAATACCATTTTTTTAAACATCTCGCAGGAAATCACGAGAATAATAGATAAATAGCTTGTGCTGCTGTTTTTGAAGAATATATAGCGAATATATGAAAATAACTAAAATATACAAGTCGGTCACTAGACGCTGTTATAATGTTTTACATCGAGAACAAAGAAATATTAAGAGACAAATATAACATATATGTATGTTACTATATATAGTACCGAATATACATAGGTAATAGGTATGTATATAAACCCCACTCCAAGCGGTGGTCAATATTTACTTAGGTGCAAGTAATAGGATTTTACTTTTAAACAACTTTAGAAATGCTCTAACAAGAAAATATATAAAAACTAGTTATAAAACTACCTATGACAGAAAGACAAAGAGTTAAAATTTGTTAAACGAAAAAATGTACCTAAGCCTGTACCAAAACCAACATCTTTACGTAAAACGTGCAAATACACCACGAAGCAGAAAAAAAACCCATGATGTATTATGGTAGTAAACTTACAAAATATAAACCTACTAGAGTAATATTGAATTTTACCGCAAGGAAATATCAAATTACAATAGGGATTTGTATGTCTGTTTTTAACCTTATTCTCTTACCTCTTTTACGTATTCGTTCAATATCAATCTTCATCTATCTCCTATATAAAATAAGATAAATATCTTTTCTTTACTTGAAGCGAATGTAACTTATCAAATCACATCTAAATTCTATATACATACCATATATTTTCAGCATACTGGCACATTTTCATACAAAAATATACCTGTTACCTATAAATAGCGTTTCTAAAATTAAAAAACGGTTGTTTTTTTTGTATTAATGGGTTAATGATATCCATTGTGACACAAATCCATGTATAAATTGCTTGGTAGTATCCATGTTTAATTATTGTTTAACCCGAAGTATTTTACCATTTCAGATTGAATTTTGTACTGTTACTAGGCCAAATTTTTATTTTTTAACTAGGCCGGAGCAAAGTTTTGTATAGTGTAATGTAGTATGTACTATGTAATATATTTATTGTATATCTACAATATCGTCATAACCAAAATGTTTCATATATTTATCCCGCACGAAAATAAGAATCTCTAACCACCGTAATAGAAGCCGTTTCGGACAGACCAACTACACTACGCCACGATGGTCATCAGTATCTACATATTACGATAGTAGCGACTCGCCCGAGCGAAGCGAGGGTTCGTCCCTAGGTGATTCTTTAAATTGCCATTACTTTTTTATTTATGAACAGATTGAAATAAAACAAATACTACTCGTATATTAAATATTAAGTGAAACTTACCACAATACAATAGTTAAAACGCGCATAAACACACAGACAAATGCGTGCAAAACAATCTATTGCGTTAATAAAGATCCCCAATATTAGTTTTTCTCATATCTTCCATGTATACACAGGGATCAGTTATACTTTTATTATATGTATATAGAAAATATGTAAAAACTCTTGACTAGTGCCCAGCCTTCTAAGATTTTAACGATACGCGCATAGTCGCGTATCGTTAGCAGGTTTCACCAGTTATTGACAGTATTTTATATTTTAAAAGCCATTAATAATAATAATGCCTATATTTTCTCAATACGACACGTCTCTACGATAGAGACTAGAGAGACCAACACACTGAGTTGAATTTTTATATGTTGGCATGATGTTAGTAACAATAATAAGACAAAAATGAAAACAGATTCTACTATAAATAGGTACATACATAAGTGTATATCATTCAAAATTAAAACAATAGTAACAAACCTATATTGTAATTCCCTTTTATCGAACCACGTACTTTGCATAGTTGTTAGAGACTCTGCAAAGCTGTCTAATTCGGATTCAGTTTTATCACTTTTTGCCAAGGGCTTGTCCGCACCGGCAACTGATTTATCTGGTATTTCCACAGCAACGTCCCCAGACAGAAATGTCACTACTGGTTTACGTTTACTAGATGAATTGGCACGTGCGCGTATGTCTTGCGGGCTTAATGACGGAGACAGCGGATAAGCGATTTCAAATGCATCCGGCATATTTATTTATTAGTTTAATTATAACTTTAACTGTAACTAGACAATCGACCGTTCGTTTTAAGCGTCCAGTAGCTACTGCAGAGCAACTGGTTAATGGTTAAACAAATAATCATTTATTTATCCCTAATGATAACATATTGACGGGTCATCATAGTTCGATTCTGATGTAAATATTTTTGGATAATTGTACATAGATATTACGCCATTACTAATTTTATAATTTCGTATATTAAACAACGTAATCTTCTAACTCTAATATTTATGCATTCTACATCTATTAATGACTACTCCACAAGGTACAAGGACACTAAAGTATGTGCAATATTTTCTTATATATGATATCTATCTAAAGATACAATTCCTATTACACCACGATGATATATCGGCAGAGAACACCTGTTGTAGTTAAGAGTAGACTTTGATACTAATCACAGTGATCTATTGTTTGACTATGTCATAATAAATATCAAATTTTTAATTTTCATTTGTGAAATACGCTATTTTAAAATCTGCATTGAGCCAAAGATTTTTTAAGCCAAACAGTGAACTACGAGTACATGAATTAAAAAAAAAACTTTATGCTTGTTTTTTTAAATATTAAATATGAAAATTAATATATAAAATAATGTTTATTTGATAATGAATTTATATCCTATCTATACTAAAATTATAAAGGGGTAAAGTATGTGAGTTTGTGACGTTGTAGGGGGTAATCTCTGGATCTTGATAAAATTTGGTAAGAAAATAGTTTGAGACCCTGAGAAGAACATAGGATACTTTTTATCCTGAAAATCATTCATTAAGAGTGTGAAAATGGGGATGAAAGTTTGTATTGAGAAGCAAGCTAGGGACAAATCCAAGTGAAGCGAGGGTGAGTCGCTAGTATAATATTATATATATATATATATATATATATATATATATATATATATATATATATATATAATCAATGAGTTATGTTCGGGACTTTAGGTCTAAACGGTTAAAGCTTAACTGATAATGTGGTACTGCAAATATAAAAACAGGAACAAGATTATTATCCATATTTAATATTATAAATGTGATTGAAGTGTGTTTGTTTGTTTGTCCTTCTTTCACGTCGAAACAGAGTGACGGATCGGCGTGACTTTCTGTGTGGAAAGTTGGAGGACTGGAGAGTTACCTAGGCTACTTTTACCGCGGGAGATTATCTCTTTCCCACGGGAAAACACATATAATACGACCGATAACTGATCATACCCATGCATAGGTACATATAATATATATTGTATAATCTATTTATTCCATAGTAACTGTTAATATATACCTAAACGAACCCGAGCCAAGCGAGAGTGACTCCTTTTTTCAAATTTTTGTAAATATGAAGATTTAACAAAATTAATTATACTTTATGCTTGTACTAAATATTCTTGACATATTTTTAGGATGATTAATATTATATTGTTTTAATATAAAAGTCAATTTTACTAATTGGGGTCTTCAAAACATTTATAATCTCTTTATTTTCATGATAAGGAACTCTTTCCTTCTCCTAAGAGAGTACAACTTTTCTGGTATCTATTATCTATTACATGACAACACCTTAAATATGTATATAATAACATTGTATCAAATAAATATAAAATAAGATAATAATATATTTTTTAATTTTACCAATGAAAAGTTAATCTAAATGAGCATTAAGAGAATAACAAACAATTTTGTATGATTATGGGAGGATAAGAAATGTGTTATTTTATGGACTAAAAGCCACATTTTTTAGTAAATGTTTTCAAAATGTTGTTCAGCTTTATATGTACACCTGACAACACTAATTACTTCTGACCTCTAGATAATAAATATAATAATATAGTAAAAGTCATTTTAAAATATTTAGGTAATTTAAATGAAAGCAAAACTTACAATATTATTATCTCTTTATTTTTAAGCAACAAAATGTTTAATTATGTGCTTATCATTGTAGCAAAAGCAGAGTGTAAAATGACTTACAAAGATAACGAATATTAAATTCAGCATATTGACTATATTGTGAAATGGAATCGTATTTTTACATACATACAAAACCTTGTATTATTATATTACCAGTATAATCAAAGAGTTATCAATAAATATTATTATTATCATTTTTTATAACTTGAATATCTTTACAACCACTTAAGGTTTTAGTTTCTTAAATATATTATTAAGCTATTTTTTTAAATATAGATATCTTTTATTTTAGCAAAAGTCATCTTGCTTATTACTTTTACTATGATCATTGTCATTTTTATCTACTGTAACATACAAAATGAAGTGGAACATAGGTTACATTCCATGTCAAATCATCAAATGAAGCCCTAGGGAGCATTAAATAAATAATCTAAGTAGATTCTCAAGATTAATGAAAAATGCCCTAAATAAAGCAATCAGTATAATGATTTAATCCCTAGATGCCCTTTAATTTTTAGATAACTCACCTGGAATATAAATTAGGTTTTCATTAGAAACTACCAATATGAAAAATACAATTATTTATGTAATGCATTTATATTGGTACTACTATACCTTTATAATAAGTCTTAGAATTTAGTATCTAAAAAGAATTTCTTACCTATGTTCAGCACGACGATAATACTTTTTTGATAATAGCTGGTCTTGACTAGTCAAGCATTCTTTGTTTTTGCAGCCATCCATACTTTGTGATTGAGTTAATTTACTTTGATTATCAGGGATATAGATATGATAAATGATTTTATTCTTATTTTTCCAGTATCTTTTGAAAATATAGCACTTTTTTAGCATATACTATTCTTCAACTTCTGCAAGTTAAAGTATACTCTGAAAATAAATGAGAATATTAAATATAATTCATTAAATATATTACATTCTTGATTTAAGAAATAAAACCGAAAGAAGTAGGAAAAATAATAAGTTTGTTAAAAAATTATTTTTCTTTATTTTTATGTAAATTTCATTAAGTTTTAGTTACGTTATAAGAATAGCATCATATAAATAAAATAACAGTAAACTATAATTAAAATAAATAACATTTATACAACAAATAACAAAAAGAGCAACTCACTGTTACAATTTGATACGTAGAAATAAAAGAAATAATGAAACTAATTAAACTTTATTGAATTTTGAATGGAATAAGATCATTTAATTATGTATATTTACATAAAAATATCGTATTCTCACTTTCAGCAGATCACCTAGCGCACTATGCGGCACAGACCAGGAACAACACTGCATTTATATATGTAGCAATATACTCTATGAACACTGCTAAGCTGTATGCGGTATCACCAAAATACTGAAGTCTGAAATCATGTTCATGGATGACCGATGACAATTAAAGAGAGAGACTGAAATTTTATGAAACCAAAAATAGCACAGATGAAGAATACGTTAGATATTTGAATATATAAAATAATATGTATATAATATATATTATCTAATATTCAATGTAAGACAGTGGTAATAAGTGAAAGAAATGCACTAAAGAACAATATTATTAATACTAATATGTAATAACAATAATTATCTTAATTTTAAAGTAAACAAATGTAAAATAAATATATTTCGATTAGGGAGTGAGCAAGATGACGAATGACGCATTGTGCCATCTGCTGGAAAAAAAAATAGCAAAGTGATGGTAAACAGTATTAGTTTTGCATTATCAGTCAGTGTTTTTAATTCATTATATTTTGTTAATTAAAATAAGTGTTTGTGAAGTCTTCATCAAAAGTATCTTGCTATATTGGTGGCTGTTCAAATATGCCGTATAAGAATAATACACAGTTGAAATTTTATCGTTTCCTCGAAAGTTCATAAAACACTGCGTGGATAACTTTCAAACGTCGAAATTTGATATACGCAGTAAAAAAACCACGTGTCAGTAAAATCTTCTAATTAAAAAAAATATATTTTAATTATTATTTTGTGTATAATCAGTATGATACTATAGTTGGCAGATATTAGAAAAGTTCTAATTTTTTTCCGTAAATAATAAAAGATTATTATGAAGAGAATAAAAAAATATCTTTTTTTCTTTACATTTGGCACTGTATGTATTCAGCCCTTTTTTTAACGTCCCACTGCTGGGCATGGGCCCTCCTTCAATACGAGGGGAATAAAACCATAGTCCACCACGCTGGCCAAGTTGCGGGTTGGCGGACTTCACATGACTTTCGAAAATTTGCTAGATTCTCTCAGACATGCAGGCTTCCTCACGATGTTTTCCTTCACCGTAAAGACAAGTGGTAATCATGTTGGAATGATTCGCACATTAAAATATCAGAGGTGCGACCAGGGATTTGAACCCGCTTCACTCTGTTTCCCAATATTAATTTATTAACAGCTTCTTCAAAAATTTAATTAATATTATTTTGAATATTAAATAATATTCAAAATAATAATAATTAGATGTTTTTATTTCAAGTGATTAAAAATTATAAGATAATATTATTTGTACTTCAAAATTTTTTTAACATCTTTAACTTTTATTTTTTATTCTGTCAAAATTTTAATTACTTTTCAAATAGCTTAAATATTACAAGATTTCTACTATTTTCAAAATTATACAGTTAATTGATAAAAGTATTTTTTAATTCGTACAGTAATTGTGATACTGTAAACATTAGAAACACTGGCCAGGTTATGCCTGATAGCTTATTTTCATCTTCTATTTCAATTACATGTAAAACATGATCTGATTCAAATAATTTTTGTCCTTTTTTATCGTTTTGTCCTCTAATCCGATCATTTTTTATTGGTAAAAAATCAAATTTATCATCATTATTTAGGCATATCTAATATTCTGATATAGCTTACATCACTATGTTTTTCTTATTTAACACAGGTCCTAAAATATTTTAGTTTTCATTTTTTATCTGTTAACTCTTGTGACAATTGACAAATACTTATGACATTTTAAATATTTCATTTATTGTGACTTTGGATAAGAAATATTATATTTTCATTGATTGCTATTTTTGTATTTTAATGTATGTGTAACTAATAATTTCTAATGGCTTATACCGAAAAAGTGTCGCTCAATGGCACAGCGCTCTCATTTTTATTGTATGAATGTATGAATTCTGTGCACAGTCAGGTATGTACTTTTTAGGTTTAAAATTTACATATTTTGTTTTATATGATCTAATTATTTAAAACCTTTTAGGAGGGCTTCCTCATAGGTGAGGTAACTTCACAAATAACTAATCACATATCGGATTCTCAAAATGACAACGCACGATTGGATACTCAAATACTGATAAGAACTGTTTTGCCCTTACCTTCAGTGTCATTATTTTATTTACCTACTGGGACGATTAAAGAAGATGTTATATCTGATCTATTGTCTAACGTAGCCACTGAAGTTGTCGGATGGTATAAATATAGAAAAAATAGCAGTATCAAACCAACATTTAGAGATAAATTAATATCAAAAGGATTACAAAAATACTTTGATAAGTATCATGGAAAAAAGACATTCGTTTGTTGCAATTTATCAAGCAAAACATCGTCAACAAATTCCACACATACGGTTATATATAGATTTGGTAAAATTAACTGTTTTGATATGTATGAATATGTTGAAGATGTAACAGCAAATTTAGGGGAAAAATTAACAGGATACAAAAAAGGCAATAAAATATCCCCACATTGCATATTCAATAAGATTGTTAAGGAGAGTAATGTTCACACTAACAATACAAATGATGCCATATTATCTATACAAGAAGCTGTTGATAAAAGACTAATAAAAGAAGCTAAAATTGCAGCCAAAAATGAATGCACAATCAGGGAACTTGAGGCTGAAATTAAACAAATGAGTGCAATTTTAGCTGAAAAACAAGTTCAGGATCTTGAAGCTGCATATAACAAAATAGTTAAAGAAACATATGTTAACAGAGATGTTGAGATGGCACAGGCATGTATAGAAGCATTAAAAACACCTACAACTGTTGACATACTCAGTATTCCGAATGTAATAATAAATACCAATAGTAGTAATAATCCAGACAATGAAAATTATGTTCAGCCTATTGAAAATACTATTAAAGATAGAAGTCCTAGCCCAATAATAATGCCTTCAAGTTCTCATATGTTGCCAACATTAAATTATGCAACTGCACTGAAAAAAAAAGTTGAATCAGCTTCCTCAAGTGTAAGTAAAAAATCCAGCTGGCTAATAATTTAGTATATATAATAATTTATTAAACATAATTATATGTTTTTTTACAGAAAGCAAGTAATTACAGTGAAGATTTAATAACATTTGATGTAGAAGATCAAATTCATAAGAAATCAATACAAATGAATGATAATTTGAGTGCAGGCGGTAGCTCTCCTGAGTATTAAAAGTGCCTTATATAAGTGTAAATTTTTGACTACTTGCAATAAGTTACCATACTCATAGTAGTGTTTTGTTTCGTTATCAGTTTCATCTTTTTTAAAAGCAAGCTCATAAATATTCTTATTTCAAACAACATTATGAGGTTATTATAATGTTAACACCTCGCGGTTAAATTCTAAGAACTTAATTGTTAACCGAGCCACGTACCGCGTGCTTTGAAAGGTTAAGAATTAATAATGTACAGTGTAAATGTTCAAAAATAATATTTTTTATCTAGAATATTTAATATTTCTTTCTGCATATCATATGAAAGTATAACAAGTTACAAACTGTAATATATAATATATAGACTAGATGCTAATATGAATTTTCTTAGAAGTTATATTCTAAATTCTTTATGTTTATTTACACTAAACTATTTTGTTTTTCATATTTTTCATTGACTATTTTAAATTACTGTGTTTGTAAGTATTAACACTATAATTACAATTTATAAATGGTGAACCATGTTTCAGATAATAATATGTATGTAATTATCATATATCAAAATATGGTCATTTTAATATCTGATAAGTAAAAGTATTTTTGTAACAATAAATGTCATCACATCCTCTTATGGTTTTTCTTACAGATTTCCTAATTTCAGTTAATTATATTTTGGGTCCTGTAATGCACTTATTGTCATATATCACATACACTCAATTTGGGTGAAAAAAATAGCAAAGCTGTAGGAGTCTGTCTAGTTTTTTTGTATCGGGGACATTAATTATAATTATAGGAAGTATATTATATATATTTTGATCTGGTATAAGATTAATGTGAAGCGTTTTTGTTTAGATAGTAGTTGTGCTAGAAATAAAATATACAATACATACTTAAAATTTATTTATTTAATCATAACAAAATTAAAATAAAACCAGTAAAAATGGAATGGCAAGAAATCAGAAAACATTACATAGAATAACATATTTTATTTGTTATTACATTTGCACGTTATTCACATGCATATTCACTAATTTTTGACTAGATTTAATATATGTATATAAAAAACAATCTATCATAATAATACGTTCATTTTATTAATGGAGTACATTTAGTTATGCATTGTAAATAAAACTCTAAAACCAAAATTTAAAAATCTTAAAATATTTTTTTTGAACGCTTCATGATTTTTGATTTAAATAAAAGATAAAAAGGTAACAACAAAACAAAATATATCAGTCATTACTAAGGTACATACATGGAATGCTTAAAATAATATTCGGGATTTATATAATAATATCATATCTCTCTTAACATGCTACTTCTTAATAGACCAGAGTCGATAATTTTTGAAACCAAAAAAAATAATAGTAGGATGCAACCCATTAGAAAAGAAGGGGAATATTATAAAAATGAAAGGAAAAATAATTTACGGGCGATCTGAGGTCGGGAAGGGGGTGAGGGGGGGTTTTTAAGGGTAAAAAACGGTTTTTCTCGATTTCCGGCAAAACTAAAAGTCCTATCGAAAAAAATCAAATGACAAAGTTGTAGGTAATAAAAAGATCTAAAACTTTTGTATTTACACTTTTTTCACATAACCTCAAAATGTATGTGAAAAATTCAAAAAATCAACTTTTTGGTTTTTTATTTTTATCTTTCACAAATTTTTTTTAACGAAATTTGGTGAAAACTTGCCTTTTTATGTCCCAAATACGCTGTAATTTATTTGATTAAAAATATTTATTTTTTTCAATCGAAAATTCACCCGTCAAAATATCAGCTTTTTTCAAAAAGTTGGTATGTTTTCTGTTCGTTGAAATCTCTACTTTCCGATGGTGAAAAAAAATATATATGTTACTATAGTAAATCTTCTGAGAAAATGCAAAAAACAAAAAACCTTTTTTATTTCATACACTTGCTTATCATCTGCCTTATTGCAGATGATACAAACCAAACTTGTTTATGGCATGATGGACTGAAATGGAAATTCTGCACTTAAGCAGTAAAGGGCTCGGTTACAGTATTGCAAAGAAATTAGTGAAGTTTTTTGGCTGGTTTCTTTTTTTTTAAATATATAAATATAAACAAACAGTTTTATTTAACAAGTCAATTGTGTTTATGTATAATTTAGTATGAATGTATGTTATAAATTGTATTTTATATCAAGTCCGAGGCGACAGCGGGGTTTTCCCCTGTCAGCTCGTACACAGAGTGCGCGAGGCGGCGCGCTTGCTGCACGGCGGTGGACGCCGGCAGAAGGCCCAGGTGGATGCAGATAAGTTCCTTCACGCTCACGCCTTGACTGTCATTGGGAAACGCTAGTTCTACTAGTTGCCTGAATAAAAAATGTATTACTGTTTTAAAAGCTCTGTTAGGAGTGAATAAATAATTATATTTTTTTTCGAGTAAGCTAAATTGATCAGATGCGCCATATATTTTAAAAAATGTTAAATTTTCATTAGATTGAAATCTTTAAAAAAATGGTTCTATTATGAGATTATTAAGTTCATTCTTAATAAAAAAAACCCAACATAGTAACAAACAATGTATTGAGTATTTAGTATCTATCTGTGTTACCTGTAGAATAAAACAATATCTAAATGATGATATTTTTTCGGTAAGTCTCGCTTACCTGTAGAAGCCGAGATCACTTACTTCCAATTTTAAATTCGAATTCGAAAAACTGTGGTATTTCAAAATGTATAATTTACATTATAAATACAAAAATCTATTGTTGTTCGATAGTTTCGCTAAAACTTAAAAAGAACTGGACTGGATCGACTTGAATATATTTTTTTTTACTTAGTTAAGAGTGTGTCAGGAGTGGTTTAAGTATAACAACAACAAGAAATAGAAAACACCCAAAAAAACAGCTGGAAAATCGAAAAGTTCAGAACTGTTTATTTTGTACCTATGTATATATAAGTACATTGTACATATAATATATTAGCTTGCTTCCCAATACAAACTTTCATCCCCATTTTCACCCCCTTATAGGATGATTTCCGGGATAAAAAATATCCTATGTGATATGTCCTTCCCAGGGTCTCAAACTATATTCTTACCAAATTTCATCTAAATCGGTTCACAAAGTCACAGACTTTACCTGTTTATAATATTAATATAGATAGTCTATCTATTCCATACTAACCGTTAAAACGTACCTAGGGATGAGTTCGAGCGAAGCGAGGATGAGTCGCTGTTTATAAATAATGTGTGTAACCTGTAGAATGCGCCGGCGATGTCGGCGGGCGGCGGCAGCGCGCGAACGGCGGCGGGGTGCGGCGGCGCGGCGGGGCGCGCGGCGGCGCGACGGCGCTCGAACCAGCGCAGCGCGCACACGTGCAGTGCGCCGCGCCGCCACACCGCCGCACCGTAGCCCTCGCGCAGCGCGCGCCGCGCCGCGCCCAGTGTGCACCGCACCTGCACGCACACACACGCATTACACCACAACTCAAATTAAAATCATCCTTTGAAGATCTATACATATAATAAAATTCTGAGTCGAATCTGTACATTTTTTTTTAAATCTTGTTGAAATAGTCATTATTATCAACACAGGGGCCGAATCTGGATCGTTTTTTTTATTATATTAAAATATTGGAAAAATTTACGAAAAAAAAATGACAAAAAAACTATTCCATACTAAGCGTCAAAACGTACCTAGGGACTAACCTGAGCACAGATAACATAACGTTTACTCTCTAATATTTTTTACACTTAAAGTCCGATGAGAGGATACTTCGACACGACCAGTGAAAGATTAGGCGCAAGATCGAACTTTACGTGATCGCCGAGGCGCGAAGGTGTAACACCGCCAACATCTTACTCAGGATTTTATAATAGAACACTCAATAGCTAAGCTTGGCCCGACCGGGGACTCAAACCTAGGACCTGCAGACAACATGCTAGCCTCAAGACCACGAGGTAGTTAAATTATTATACATAAATCTTCAGATACCCCCATACAAAATGACAAAACGGCCCAATTTCAGCTTATTTTTAGTTGATGAAAATGACGCTTATCCGAAAGCTGTACACTAAATTTTGAAAATAAAACAAAGTAGTCAACATTTGTTTAAACAAAATAATTTATAAAGTACAAACATATAATACAATTTTTTCATAAATTGTTGTTTAATAAAAAAAGAGCGTCCATTAGTTATTATTTCACAGAGACGCACAAAACACAATAATTGCATAATTATTTAGTCAATTAATTAATGATAACTTACATTTTTTTGCACTGACAGCTTCTATGGCTTCATTCTATTTAAACTTCCTTTATATATATTATTATAAAATAATTATGAAAGTATTGGCCTGCAACTTAACACATTGAAAACAAAAGTAGCCACCAATGGTGCACAGAACGCTATAGTAATAAACCAAACACCCATTGAATACGTAGAAAACTACATTTATCTAGGAAAACTAATCTCTTTCAAAAACACGAGACACAAAGACGAACTAGACCGAAGAATCAATATGACTTGGAAAAAGTACTGGCTACAAAGAAATATTAAAATCAAAACTTCTACTATGATTAAAGAAAAAAGTATTGGACTCGAATTTATTGCCCTGTCTAACATACGGCGCTCAAACCTGGATTTTCAACGAATACACGGTGTCAAGAATACGTTCATGCCAGAGAGCTATGGAAAGGAGTATTTTTGGCATCAAACTCATTGAAAGGTAAAACAGCAATAAAATCAGGCTCAAGACCAAAGTAATAGACGCACTACAACACGCGCGATATCAGAAGTGGAGATGGATGGGACATGTGGCACGAACCTGTGGCACGAACCAAACGAAAGATGGAGCAAACAGGCAACTAAATGGGCGGGTCCAAGAGGTGGAAAAAGAGCAAAAGGCAGACCAAAAGAACGCTGGATCGATGAAATCACTAAAATAATAGGCACAGACTGGATGGAATTGGCTAGAGATAGGAAAAAGTGGAGGTCCCCCCCAACGTGCGTTCACCTTGTCGTGGTGGGGGGGTTCAGTAGTGCCCGGCAACCCAACCGGGCGCGAAGCCAAGAAACGCACAGGGAGGTGGCCCACTTCGGTGGGCGGTGGGAGGTGGCCCTCTTCGGAGGGCAGTGTACCATGCGGGTTGCTCCTGGTACTTCTCTGATAGCAGAGTGGACTGTGGAGTAACCCCGTGGTTGTTGTGGTCTGCTTCGGCAGACCTACCGTCGGGGCATCGTAGTTGAATGCGCAAGCGATCCTGCGACGCCCCATTAAGACGGGGGAAGGTTTTGTTGGGTTTAATGGGTAGTACTGGCTTTGCCGGTGAGTCCCACACCTAGTGCGTAAATGCATTTCCCAACGTTAAAAAAAAAAGAAGGAAAAAGTAGAGGCACTTGGAGGAGGCCTATACCTGAAAGGGGCCATGACTTATCAAAAAAAAAAGGCAAAATTAATAATATTACTATTTATTGAATCAAATTATTGGAATAATCCATCATAACGTTATATTAAATAATTTAAATGTATTCTTGGTCATCAAAAAAAAAAAAAAAAAAAAAAAAAAAAAAAAAAAAAAAAAAAAAAAAAAAAAAAAAATGCAAAAATGCAATTACAAATTTATAGTTAATACTTAGTTCTGTTCATATGCTTTGATGTTCACATCTTAGAAGACATCATTTGCTGATTGTACACTTTAGAATAATTATAATTAAGCTTGTTTATTTCATTTGTATGTCGGGTTTGTGAACTTATAAATAAATAAATATTATTCTAAGGTGGTTATTAGGTATTCTTTTATAGTACCTAACATAATACAAATATATGTACATTATACATACCGTCTCCGGCGTCAACATATCAACACAGTCCGCCATGTCGGGAGCGAGGAAGCGTCCGGCGGTGCGGTCTACATACACAAAGTGTATGAGCCCGGGGAACTCCTCCACGTACTTGTGTGTTAGAGAGCTGCTTACATCTGATGACCCCGTGCTTTTGTATTAAGGACATATCATTTTTTGTAATAGGTTAGAAATTTAAAAATATATTGGGACATTACCCACACAGCACCATCTACAGTCGCGTGCAACTGAATCGACTCAAGCCGTATATTAGTATATAAGTTTGATTTTTCGGAAAATAGCTTATCCGATTTTTGTAAAAGTTTTTTTATTCGAAAGACATTTTTTTTTTTCATAAATATAGCAATTTTCAAATAAACAATGACAATTTTTTTTAAACAAATACGGTCAAACATGAGCGTTACAGAAATTACTCGTTGCGGTACCCACGAGTTGCGAGACTAAATCATGTATGAAAGCTCACGTGACCCATATTTCTTATCAGTCACTCGTCAGACGTTGACAGGTACACATCTCCTTAAGCTCCCAGTATTTTAATCGCGATCCAATGGACACTACCTCAGAAGCAGCGGCCCAAGTTGTAGCTTTGTTGCAAGCGGGCCATAATCAACAGCAAGTCGCTCATGAACTTAACAAGAGCCAATCAGCTGTTTCACGAGTATACAGAAGGTTTCAAGTGACTGGTGGCTTCGTTCGGAGACCACAAACCAATAGACACCGGAGCACATCTGAGACGGACGACCGCTTTATTGTCTCAACTTTGTTGAGAAATCGTCATCTCACGGGCGTTGATGTGCAACAGGTGCTCAGAAGGGTTCGAGGAGTGACTGTCAGTCAGTGGACAATTAGAAGACGCCTGAAGAAAGCCAATTTAACTCCTAAACGGCCAGCCAGAGGCCCGAAACTGAGCGCAGCTCACCGTCAAGCCCGACTCTTCAATTTGCTCGAGAACACCTCAATTGGACTATTGAGCAATGGAGCTCTATCCTGTTTACTGACGAGAGCAGAATGTGTCTCCATGGCAACGACAGAAGAGACCGAGTATACAGGCGTCCAGGGGAACGGTTCTCGCAATGCTGTTTCGCTGAAACAGCATCATATGGCGGTGGTTCAATCATGATGGCTGGAATATCATATGGAGGGAAGACCGAGCTTGTTTTCGTGCCTGGTGGTGGTCTAACAGCTCAAAAGTACGTGGAAAACATTCTCCTCGATTATGTTGTACCTTATGCAGGGTACATAGAAGAAGATTTTATCAAAAAATTGATAAAATCAATGAAAAATCGCATGCAAGCCGTTATAAAAGCTAGGGGAGGCAATACAAAGTATTGAAAATTTTAATTTTCTTTACTTTTATCAAAAATATTTTTTTTATTCATTATGTTGTTGTTTTCATTTTTCTTCATTTTTTATGCATTTCTGTCAAATTAAATTTTATCAATAAATACTCAACCGATTTTTCTCATTAGGATAGCATTTTTAGGAGAAAAGATTAGGCTTTTAAACAAAAAAAAAACAAGAAAATCGGATAAGCCATTTTCCTAAAAATCGAACTTATATACCAATATACGGCTTGAGTCGATTCAGTTGCACGCGAGTGTAGTTTACCATGGGGTAAGTTACGAGGCCTGTGTATGGATACCAGATAGTTGATACACTACACATATAAAACTTTAAATACATACATATTATAAGTATAAACAACCATGACTGGAGTACAAACATTTGTGCTCATCACACAAATAAATGCCCCCAGCGGGACTTGAACCCGCGACCACTGGCACAGCATGTAAAGTCACTACAAACTGAGCCAAACGTGTCGTGTCAAAAAAAACATAATATAAAATCTTTCATAGTTTAGGTAAGTTAAATTATAAATGGTTTTTGGAATGTAAAAAAATATTCAAACTAAATATTTTTTTCAATCACAAATATATATAAAGAAGTTGGGAAAATAGACATAAAAAAGCAAAAACAAAAAGTATAAAACATGAAAAGGATATGATCCCACATTGAAGTACCGCATTGCCCTCATACGCAAAAACTGCAAATAGGGCGCGAGTAGGTTCTTTAGTTCCTTTATCGGGTGTTCCAATTTTAAACTGGGTATATCCGGTTTGAGATGTTCTATAACAGCTTCTATGGCCGTATGCATGGCTGTGGCGGCTGTTTCCGGCGTTAATGGCGTTGTGGTGGTGCAGGACTTCCGTAGTTCTAACATCCGACTAGTAACGCGCGCGCATAGTGTGGAGTTGGCTTTATTTTTCCGTAGAGCTTCTGTCGTCTGCAATTATTTTTTTCAAATGGGCACATGAGACAATGGACGTTTTGTCTGTGACTTTTTATTTATTTATTTTATTTTATTCAAAAGGTAATTTTTATAATTTTTAATAGACGTTAGTGCCTAAAGCCAACACACGCCCATATTACATATATAATGAACGCGCGGAGTCTGCGCATATTGCGTTGATAAACTATGCAGATTAAAAATGTGCTCATAAATCATATTGATGCAAAGCGCAAATAGCGCGTCGTCGTGTGTAAGCTCTTATTTTTAGATTATACCTCTGCCTATAGCTAATATTTTATATGAATGCATTTCTAAGCGTATTCTAACGGAGCTACGATCGTATTTTAATTTTTAAGGTCGAATTGAGTGATTAAAAAACATTTTACTAACCAAATAAAAGGCAGAGAAAATGCTGAACACTAAATACATATTCTACTTGACGAAAATATTTTCCAAAAAAGCCAATATAACACTTTGAAGTCATGTTTTCACTTATAATGAAATATAATAATGTATAGAATATGAATAATTTTAAAATTATAAGCAACAACTTAAACTACCTTCTTTAGTGCAGCTTCCAATGAATCAAGTGTGACAGGTAACATTTCTAAATTGCGTTGTAGCAAAAGTCTACGCAAATTTGATAAAATCTGACTGGACATGTGGACTGAGATGCCTATATCCCTGTAAATAACAACATTAAACAATTAATATAACAATATTACCACAAAATTTTATAAAACAGTATTATGATACATATTTGATTGACTAAAATTATGTTATGAAAAAATATAATTATTTTTTGCCATAGACTATCTAATTTATATTTAACTCATGATGTTATAACGTTTTTGTTTGCAGAATATTTTGAGGAATAGGATATAGTACTTAGTGACTGAAGCTAGTGATTACTATATATACACTGCGATTGTACGTGAACTTCTGTAATTAACTTACATGCAACTTTAAGTTTATGAAAATATTCTACTCAAACATGAATATGAGTAAATGTATAAAGAGATAGAATAAGAGTATATTTTCTAAAGATAAAAGAAAATATAAAATCACCTCAACTCCATATCAACGAGCACAGCAAATATAATACGGGGCGCCAGTTCGGCGAGGTGCAGCGAGTGCGGCGCGCTCGGGGCGCCCAGCGCGCCCGCGCACAGGTTCACTATCGCGCTGTTCTCTTGTGACAGCCCTGGAATGAAGCGTGTATATTTAGTATTAGAACTCACCCTAGCTTCGCTCAGGTTCGTCCCTAGCTTGCTACCCAATACAAACTTTTATCTCCATTTTCACCACCTAAGGTATGAATTCCGGGATAAAAATCGGTTCAGTAGATCCAGAGATTACCCCCTACAATGTCAGAAACACAGAAATTCACAAACTTTACCTCTTTATAATAGATTACTAGCAGAACCCGCGGCTTCGCTTGTGCTAAAATTACAAAAAAGAGTCTAAAAAGGTAGTTTTCATACAAACTTTCATCTCCTATTTTATCCCCATAAGAAATGAATTTTGAAAAATGCTAAAACACATATTTATTTAATTATACTGAAGAACACTAATACCAAGTTTCAAGTAATTCTGATCACAAATATTTTTTAGATTGTATTGTAGCTTGTTTTGCCATAGGAATGAGATCCCTACTTTCCAACCGTCCAACTATCTCCAAACAAAAAAAATAAAAACCGACTTCAAACAAAAGCACTAAAAAGTAAAAAATAACTGATTGGTAGTTTTTATTTACTATACATACCTAATCAAATATTTTCGAAGTCGGTGTGCTTTGCTTTGTATGGGCTAGAACCGATTCCGAAAATATTTGATTAGGTATGTATTTAATAGGTAGGCTTTAATTACTTAGCCAAAGCACACCGACTTCGAAAATATTTGATTAGGTATGTATAGTAAATAAAAACTACCAATCAGTTATTTTTTACTTTTTAGTGCTTTTGTTTGAAGTCGGTTTTTATTTTTTTGTTAAAAAGTTTTTATTTTTCCCTTTTTAGTGTAGACTGTAGTAGCAAAGTAAGGATTCTAACGTGTTAGGCTTGTCAAATCAAAGAAAATAAGCCCAAACTCAAAGTGTCTACTATTAGCCGTTGAAGAGTTCCACCTATACACCTTCTGGCCTTACAGAAGATCAGGTCAACAATAACGAACCACTGTACTATCAACGGAAATAGAAACACTTGCAAAGTTTCAAGTCAATATGACAATTAGAAGTAGGTTAAATTCATCATTAGCTATTTTTCCACCCTTAGGGGTGGTATTTTTTTTTTGAAATTTAAATGGGACCAATCTGGAAGTATACCCTTTCAAACAAAATAAAAATTGTCCAAATCGGTTAATAAATGACGAAGTTCTGAGGTAACAAACATAAAAAAAAAAAACAAAAAAAAAACAGTCGAATTGAGAATCTCCTCCTTTTTGAAGTCGGTTGAAAATCACGCCAATGCGTCATTCCATTTAAACGTGAAAGGAGGTCAAACAAACAAACACACTTTCACATTTATAATATTAGTATGTATGAATTATTATTATATTATCTATACTAATATTATAAAGAGGTAAAGTGTGTAAGTTTGCATGTAGGGGTAATCTCTGAAACTATTGATACCATTTTGAAAATTATCTCACTAATTAAAAAAACGTTACTGCCAAGTGCTACATAATGTATATACAAGAATATTGTAAGAGCAAAAATACAGTCGAATTGAGAACCTCCTCCGTTTTGAAGTCGGTTGAAAAGACATTGTGATTTATAATGTATCTGATACTTTATAATACTTCTTAAGATTTATTTGACATTTTAAGCAATATTTTTTTGTTCTTTTTTCTGTTTTATGTTGCTTTTGGTTCTCAATGTTTCAAATAAATTTAGAGTTGATTAAATATTGTATATAGATATTTGATACTTTTGTATTTTTGTACTAAGTTTTCATAAAATAATAATTATTATAATGTAAACTTTTTACAAGGAACTCACAAGGTAAATGAGTATTTTCACAATATGTACTTTCTTCAACTTCTCGCAATTCACTCCAGTACTCTTGAGCAGCAATGCACTGAATACTTAAAAGTATCAAATCTGGTGGCATCAAATCTTCACAACCACGACTGGAAATAAATGTATAATGAAACATAAAAATAATACAAATAGGACAAAAATATCATATTTTTTTCAATACATATTTGGAGAAGTGTTAATATGCATTAAGGAAAGCACTTAATTAGAACATTTTAATATTACCTAGAATATAACGCTAGGACTTTATCTCCAACGAAAAGCATAAGATGATAATGGGAATGCGAGTGTTTGATCTCTTTTGATATAGATTTCAAAGCATTGAGTGCAGCACCGGTTGCTCCGCTTTCCCCAATCATACCACTTGCTCCAGGTATAGAATCACCTTTAGTACGGCTTTCTAACAATACTGATAACCAATCTTGGTACACAAGAGAATGTAAACTGCAAATAAAAAAAATTGCATATTTATCACGAATTTTAAAATCAATATAAAAATAAGTGCAAATGTTAATATTACAAATTTTCATAACATGTAGTACAATAAGTATCTACATCAAATAAAGTGGTGATCAAACTACTTAAACCAGCTGTGTCTAAAATTAATCTATTTAAAAACCCTGATATATAACTTACAGGTTAATGTTTTGGCCACAAATATGTTGAACAAGAGTCTTACAATCCAGAAGTTCTCGGTGAGCATCATCAACATCATCCTCACATATTATCATAAACACATGATCAAGCCACTAAAACATATCATATTGCTTTTTAACGAATAGTTAAACTAAAATTTTGGCATATAATATTAATGACACATTATATGACTATTACATTATATAAACTAAAAATGGTATTACAACTCTAAAATTTCCATCAAAATAAAGAAGTAACGAATGAACAACATACAACTATTTTTATTTGCAATTATATATCAATAACAAACCTCATCAAATACAATAGTAGTGTTATCTTTACACTGCATTGAGGTATATGTATTACTAAATTGTGCAGCCATGACCCTCTGAGATGTAATAATAGGTGATAATAGCTGGGATACATGATTGCAATCACTTATATTATCATCTTTATCCTGAAAAAAAAAACAAATTTCTTTTATTGGTTTATTACCAATATGTATAGCTGATGGCATTATAATTTCCGAAAAATATGGCTAACATATTTATTACTAGAGATCGAACAAATAAGCATTCCCGTTCCACTATATGTTAAATTACGAAAGACTTACTTGGCCATTAAATGATTTCATTCTGCTTAAAAAATCATCATCCCACTTTGAAAAAATTAAATCGTTGATACTATCAAAAATTAAAACAGCCTTCATTATTCAAAAAAATGTAATTTAGTGAAAAATAACTTATTACAACACACAAGCACAAAATAAGTTATTATTTCGAATTGTACTTGTAAATATAAATAAAACAAATTAATTTAATTTCCGCAATCTCGTTTACTGTGACACTTGACAGTTCTCTTTTTATTTATTTTTTATAGCCCTGGAATCTGGACATTAGTCTTTTAAGTAGTATCCACGGCTTCTTCTTCCTAAATCCCTTATATACTGAATGCTGCCGAATGTACCTAATGTACAATTATGTACAAAAGAATATCCTATCATCTTGAGTGCTTTTGCCGTTGGTCTGACCCTCCACCACGGTAATATTACATAAACATTAGCGTGTCTCAACTCAGAGATTTTTTCAGTAGTAGGAGTTGAGAAACATAATGGATATTTCTTGAAAGGAGGGCGCTACACGTATGGCCTATTTACATTCATTCTGAGGAATGAAATGAAAATAGAGAGAAATTTATTGTGTTATCTCTTTTATATCTGTTTATTGATGATTCGATTGTGTTCGCATCTTATCCATTATAAAGTATTATAAGTTAGACCTGGAAGTTAGACCAGCTGAAGGAAGAATTGTGAAGGAGAAGTGCATCCTGCGGTGGTCCTGACTCCTGAATGACTGATGAATTAACACGTAGTTTGTGATTAACTCACAGCCTAAACCACTGGTCGTAGAAACTTGAAATTTGGAGAACGTATTCCTAAAATAAAGACATCTGATAAGAAAGGAATTTTCGAAATTCATCCCATAAGTGGGTAAAATAGGGGATTAAAGATTGTTTGAAACTCTACCATTCCTAATGTAAAATACACAGATAGCGGTGTTTAGCTTTACGATAAAAAATAAGAATTTAGTTTTTTTTTTCTAAATTCATCCCATAAAGGGGTAAAAGGGGGACCAACAACAAGACTCGACAGTATTATTCATCTATTTATTTTAATTTCTATGGTAGATTAGTGAAAGTTGACATTGCCATTGGCAGAATGTTTTGCGCTCGTTGATAAATCCCAATTCCCAAACCATTAAAAAAAATGTTGTCATTTAGCGAGAATTAGAGGTCAAAATTTTCCAATTTCCAGTTATAAATGTCAATGACTCAATTCAGTTTACTAAACAATAATATATTCATCTTTTGAAGTCAATAGCATAAAATTAAAATGTTAACTTTACACCGTCATGTACGTATAGTAGCTCACATGATGTGCTTACATACAGTAATATTTATAGACAATAATAATAGTAATGTATATCTATATATATTATAGGTTTTCACAAACATTCATCGCAACATTAAACCATCGATTATACCAAGCAGATCTTTTTGGGAGTACGTTAATATGATGTTTAATAAACCTGATCCAGAACGTATAAAAAATGTGGGACCAGACAGAGCCTGTGCAGAATGGGTATTGAAAAACGGAGGCAAGGTTGTATGGTCCGATGGAAAACAACTTGATGACTATAATTTATTACCATCAGACGCCCAGTCTATGCCAAAAATCGTAGAAATAGATGGTACAACATCATCTATTTCTCATTATGGATTTCCACATTTAAGTATGTTAATATTATATTTGTGTATTATATAAAGTCCTTTTAAAATTTTTACTATTACTAGCGCCTCACCCTCGCTTTGCTCAGGTTTGTTTGAGTATGTAATAAATTAAAATTATTTATCGCAAAGGGTTTAGGCAGCGTTTTTGGTTGAAAACTCCAGAGCTTATTTTTTTCAGACACATCCAACAAATATTGTTATATTTTAACCAATGTATTCAAAAACTTAGCAAATTATATAGTAAAACCTTCCCCGAGAACCACTCTATCCATTGGTGAAAACAGCATGAAAATTGGTGCTGCAGTTTTTGAGTTTATTGTGAACAGATAGAAGCAGCAGAGGACTTTGATTTATAATATGTCGTGATACTACAGCAATTTTCAGGTGGCTGCACAAGATTGGAGAAAATAGTACTCCATGACAATAAGTATATTGATGACAGAGCAATGAAAGGTTTAGCTTATGGACATGCTACACTTTTGTATGTACAAGTATCAAAGTGTATAAATGTATCAGACAATGGCATAAAAGAAATTAAATCATTGAAAAATCTAAAAACTTTAATACTATTCAGTCTGCCTAGTGTTAATAATCTTGATGAGTGCAAGCAATACCTTCAAACACATTTGCCAAACTGTAAAATAAAAGGTAAGAGCAAATGCAAGACTCATTTCTCATCATTACATTTAAATTAAAATTAATATTTTCATTACAGGTCAGGAAGAGAAATTGAACGGTTAACAATAATTGGAAAATACAATATAAGAAGTCCTAATAAAAATTATTACAGCAACTTTATTTAATAACTGCCTATATTTTAATAATTATTAATTAATACATGTTATTACTTTAAAAATTAATTATCTTATTTTACACCTTTCCCAACAGCTGCACTAACATCATTGTAACCATCTTTTATTAATAATTGTGCTAGTTCTGATTTTATCTTGGTGACAACAGGGGGTCCATGATAAATGAGAGCTGTATATATTTGTACTACACTTGCCCCAGCTAATATTTTTTCATAAGCATCTTTTCCTGTAAATACTCCCCCGACACCTATTATTGGTATGGTACCTAAAAATATTCCATGATCAAAAACCATAGTAGTATATAAGAGATATGAGTCAGCTTAATACTCAACAGTAATAAATATATATTAAATTTTAAGTACACTTATTTCTTATTAACCTAGGAATATAGTATAGAATTTTCTTTCACCAGTTCTTCTCAAGTATGAGGCTTCTTCTTTCCGAACTGGTAGTAGACTCATGTTCATGACAGATGTTCAGTAAAAAATTGTAATAATTATTTAATGCTGAATAAAATAATTTGAATTTGATGAGGTACCCCATATCTATAATTAAGTAAGACCCTCCCCACATGACATTATCTTAATATATCTTATTAAATCTAAAAAATAAGTACCTCTTGTTAGTTTATACATTGTTCTGATCATTTCTGTAGATTTATTTGTGAGTGGTTTGCCACTAAGACCTCCTGTTTCTCTAGAAAATTCTTGATTTGTTAGTAAAGGCCTTTCAATTGTAGTATTGGAGATTATAAGTCCATCTATTTTGCTCTGTGTTTGAGTAATTACAGAGACTATGTCTTGAATTTCTTCTAAAGATAAATCTGGTGCTAATTTTAAAAGAAGAGGTGGCCGGTTCTCTATTTGCAATGAATTTAAAGTTTTATTAACCTCGGACAATAGTTTTTGTAATTCTTCTTTATTTTGCAGTGATCTTAATCCAGGAGTATTTGGACTGAAATAAACAAACATACATACATTTTAAAAAGTAAATAATATTGTTTAATTATTATTATTAAAATTTTCGGAAAACTTTACCTGCTAACATTTATCACAAAGTAATCTGCAATTTTATAGAATTGCTTGATTCCTAAGGTGTAGTCATGAACTGCATCATTTGATGTTTTATTTTTGCCTAAATTAATACCTAATAACCCATTTTGCAGTACAGCTTTGTCTAGATTATGAATTTTATTATATACTTCCTTATGTCCTTCACTATTAAAACCATATCTATTTATAACAGCACCATCTTCTGGAAGTCTAAATACTCTAGGTTTGGGATTACCTGGTTGAGGTTCAGGTGTCACTGAACCAATTTCTACAATAGAAAAACCTATATTCCTTAATCCTGTTATTGCATCACCATGTTTATCAAATCCTGCTGCAATCCCAATTGGATTATTAAGTTCGTATTTCAAGAACCTGGTTTTCTAAAAAATATAAAATATAATAAATAAAGTACAAAAACATTTATTAGCATGCAAGGTTATAAAAAACTCAGTTTACCAGAATAAAGAAAACCATTTTAATATAATTGATACTTTATAAATTAAATAAGACTTACAAGAACTTTGGGGTCTTTGTAGTCTTCAGAAGGGAAAAAGCCATACTTTATTGCAAAAACACCTAGTTTATGAGCCCATTCTGGGTTAAGCCTTTGGCTCAACGGCTGGAGAATATTGTCATAGTACCCATTAAAGTCTTTTTTGTAATAAATAAATTGATACGATAGTGAACCCCCTAATGTTAAATAGCACAGAGACTTGATTTTTTTCTGAAAAAAAAGTATAATGCTTAAATAAAATATTTTCATAAAATATGTTAAATAAGATGGAATATCCAACTATATGTAGCAATATACTCTATGATACAAACCAAATTATTGTGTTTACGACTCATTTTAATGTCTGTGTAAGATTAATATTAACAAAATATATACTTTTCCTTAATGAATAGAGACTATGAAATACATTATATTATTTTGTATTATTTAAAAATATCGTATCGCTTGTGAGCCACAAGGGTGAAGGGACAAAAAACAAGTCATAAACCTTTAACCTATGACTTTTGTGAAATAAAAAGCTTAAAGCATGATCCAATGAAGATGACAAATGTGACATGACTGATGACAATTAACAAATAAAAATAAGGGACTTGACAGTTGACACTTGGCAGACGTCATTTATGACGGGCACACCGCACCACAGACCAGGAACAACAAGTCACCGCACTAGACTACTACTAGACTAGGGCTGTGCTGCCATAATAAACGGTTTATTTTGACGAATGACATGTTTTTTTGCTAATAAAAAATACATGTGCAAAAGAAATCTTTTCTTTGGATTTATTTTCAAATGATTTTTCACATGACTTTATTTCTTAATCCCTCCACGACCGCGGACACGCCTGCGTATCAGCTACCAATAGATTTCTTAGACTTTTAATTAATTTCTTAGAAATTTAGAATTGGAACATTAGAATTTGCAAGTGTTAATATTCCAACGACAAACACATATTTTAATAATTGAACCCCGCGCTTTATCACATGTATTTAAATTACATTTACACGCTTGCCGAGGCTTGGCAAACGTCTACAAGCTTCAGCCTCCAAGCCTTTACAAATACTTGGATGCCATTTATATGCTTGCGAGTGCATTACTGAATTCTGGACACGGGACAGGCAAGCTGTGCAGACGTAAACGACTGAACGTTGAAGTTGGGTCGACTATTGCGTTTGGCTTGACATATTTTTAATCATACATATAATAAAATTGTAACTAAGCTGAATTTTTACATTAAATATTTTTTGGAAAATCTTATTGAAATAGAAAATATTAACGATACAGAGGCCGAATCTAGTTTTTTTTAGAATTTTTGTCTGTCTATGACCGCATCACAAAAATTGGAGGGATTTTGATGAAATTTGGTATGATGATAGCTGGTTATCCGGGTTAACATATAGGTAGTATACTTTTTATTGCACGAAAATATCTCATCTTTGAGAAATGTATACTAAACGTTAAGACGTAAACATAAAGAAAGGAAGCGAAAAGTTCGGCAGAGAATATGGTGGATGTTAAAAGGGCATAATTTTGTTGTTTAACCAACTACTCATGGTTGATACGTAGTCGTATACAACACAGCGTAAAAATAACCGTTCAGCGCAAGCTCGTGAGCGACAGAAACACTTAACACGCACCAACGGTTTATAAACGCACTAGCATTGCCCACGGCTCCGCCCGCATTCAGATAACCAAAAACCAAATTAGGCTTTACTTAGTAGTATACTCTTGCAATGCAGTTTTTGTATTTTTTCTCAGAAATGAGATATTTTCCCGCGGTAAAAAGTATCCTATATGTTGACCCGGATAACCAGCTATCATCATACCAAATTTCAGCAAAATCTGTCCAGTGGTTTTCTTGTGATGCGGTAACAGACAGACAGACAGACAAAAATTCTAAAAACTATAGATTCGGACTCTGTATCGATAATAATGTCTATTTCAATTAGATTTTCAAAAAATATTTATTGTACAGATTTGACTTAATTACAATTTTATTATATGTATAGATAATAATTTAGTTAAACGCATATGTAGTGACGCGCTAAGTTTATTTTTTTTCTCACCCACAGTCTTTTGGGTATGGTTATTTCTCTAAATATTTCATCTTTTACTTCGTCCATAACCTCGCTTTAAAACAAGTTTAAGCACAGAATTTACGATTTCATTACGTTAAGAAGTTGAATATAACAATTTGTAAATATCGTTACCTGTTAATTATATATTATTTTAATTCTAAACATTTTAATCTACATTTAAAAAATACATTATAAATATGGCAATATTATTACTTAATTTTAGCTAATAATAATTTCTTGTTTCGTTTATGTTATACTCGTATAATAATGTTGTGTATGCTATTATTATATATTAAATAAAGAATTTAACATATAAATTGATTAAGTAACATTAAACTTTTATGTGTCATAATTTAATTAAGTGTTTATTTGATGAAGGTAAAATATAAGGTTTATGAAAATTAAAAAGTTAAAAACTTAAATTGAATTTTGATTATTTTAAAGTTAAATATTAAGCAACACTACTGCAAACTAAAAATATATTAATCAAATCAAAGTATACTATATTCAAATAAACCCCTATAAGTTCTTTTGAATTATCTATACTAATATTATAAAGAGGTAAACTTTGTGATCTTGTGAGTTTGTGAGTTTGTGACGTTGTAGGGGGTAATCTCTGGATCTACTGAACCGATTTTCAAATTTCTTTTACCAATAGAAAGCCACGTTCTTTCTGAGTGTCATAGGCTATATATTAACCCGAAGAATGAAAAGGCTTTTTCGTGGTAGTCGGATTTGCAAAGTAAGTCGGAGTAAAAACGGTCGAACGAAAATGTTTCTTACGAACGCTGCCTTAACTTAGAAAAGTTGTAGAGCTTAATAATGCCTACAAAAAAGTCAGCGACAGCAAATGTCTAACTTTTATATTTAAGTCACAAAAAGTAGGTTTTTATATAAAAAAAATAATTTAAATCGGTAGGTCATGTTTATTGGTCATATTATCAGCAATTATGAATTCTTATCAAAATAAGTAAATTTATCGTCTAAAATGTTTAAAACAAAAGACTTTTCCCTTTCACTGCATATAATTTGGACAAATGGTTAAAGAGATAATACAACATATTCCTAGGTATGGACGAACCCTAGCGAGCTGTTTGTCTGTTTTTCTGTTTGTACGGGCAAATCTCCAAATCTATTGGACCGATAAAAATGAATTTTGCATGGTGGTACCTTATATCCCCGAGCAATATCTTAGATACTTTTCATCCCGGAAAATTAAAAAAGTTTCTGTGGGATAGTAACTAAACTATAGTAACTTATACAGCTTAGTACACACTGAAACTTTACGATAATATATATAGTTCATACATCAGAATAACAAATAGGTTACTTTTTATCCCGGAAAAATGTACTGTTCCCGTGGGATAGATGTTTTTGTTTATTTGTAACGTATTGTGTACACAACATAGACCCCAAAACAATAGTTATTAAAAAAAATGTCTGTTTGCCTGTATGTCTGTTTTTGCGTGAGCGTTTCACGCGAAAAGTAATGTACCGATTTCAACGAAATTTGGTTCAAGCACATAATAGTTGGTAGGTTATAAGTTTCAACATTAATCTTATTTGGTAGCATCTGACCCCTAAACGTTAAAACGACAGATTGAGTTGGAATCCAATTAGGTGATCCATCTACAAATTGCTTGCGATTCAATCTTCGGGTTTTAAGAATTTCAAGGAAGCTCCAGGCTCCTAGATAGTTCATCCATAGACCAGTTTATTGGAATTCCTCTGACTAGGCCCATGCGAGAGATATGTAAAGTAGGTAAAGCTTTGTATTTATGTAACAAAAGTAACGGATTTTGAATAAATTTGTTAGCAGATGTGGCGGATGAGAATTCGACACTAATTTTATTACGGCCAATACTTTTGACTCCATCTTTGACTATATCTTGAAATTTATTTTTAAAAAGAAACTCACCAAATTTGATTGCGCGAATAGTTAGTCCTGCAGATGGGTCTGGTTCTTCTCTTGCAACATGGATTATGAAAGGTCCGATGTCAGAGTCAGAGTAACAATTAATTAATTCGTTGAATGCGGGGTTCAGATAAACTGTTTGAATAGAGGGGTTAGCTGTTGAAGGATCAATGATCGTTTTTTTATTTAAGCCAATATTTTGTTGGATTTTGTTTTCTAGAGAAGGAACTGGATGGAAGTAGTTCTATCTCCGGCATATAAAAAATTTCGCCTGGATCCGGAGGCTCCGATTGTGTTTTTTTTCCATATTCGGTTTGTCACATATAGAAGGAAAATTTGAAAATAAAAATCTAAAACTAAAAATTTACCACAATATCTTCTATATATACACCTAAAATATTTAAATATTTACATTAACTAATATATACAACTAATTATTTATAACTACTATTTCCACAATGATAAAATAATTCAAATCAGAGAGGCTCAAAAATTGTGTGTTGATCACGTCAAACGCGATGACAGAATCATCCATCACTTTGTTTTGAAGTGAAAGAAGGACAAACAAACAACAAATAAAGTCAACGTCAAACTGTATATCGTTGAAAGAGATAGTGTCAATTCTACAAATCCATTCAAGTAGTTTATATCATGGATGACAAATAAAATAGATGAATTAGTTCCATACGAGCTCTTGGTGGATCTATCTATCCCTTTCATTTGCTTGGTAACTAGCATGCTATCTCTACATTTGGCGACAACGAGTGGGACAACAACTTATTTCTGTCGCAGTTACATACGTCACTACTGTGACGTCACTGCAATATTTTGTCATTTTAGAAATTTTCAAGTTTTAACTGTTGTTATTATTACTCGCCTGTGGGGACTGGGGTGTGAGGGCTTGCCGTTTTTTATATTATTTTACACTTTAAATTTACATTTAATCAATTTGTATATTAGTATTGATTAATGTGGATAAGTGCTGATTAATTTAGATCAGTGATAAAGTTAAGATTTGTGCTTGGATACAAAATTTGTGATTTCTTCATTAGTGTTTCACTTCCTTTTTTTGGTTTTTAATTAATGTTGTGTAATCATGGGAAAGCATTGAAATTCCGACTTGTCAGGAAAGAACAGAAGGTTTTTCATGCCATAGAATGCCTTATAAAGATGCACTTCAATTTTATAACGTATACTTATAGAAATTCTTATAAACAGGGTTTATTTCTAGAGTAACTCTATCTGACCAGGTTTCTGCCAATGTAGCTGCAATAAATTCATTAATTTCTGATACTAAGGTAAATATACTTTGTAGTGCCAATGATGCATCAAGTGCTATCCATTATGAAGTTAACGGGAACAAAACCTATCATAAGTATGATGTACCTCATTTACTGAAATGTTTCAGTAATAATTTTCAGAAAAAGAATTTGCTCCTTAGCAGTCAGCGTGCTCAATGGGATTATGTTCATATGTTGTATAAAGTAGATGACCATAAAGGTGCTGCAAGGCTAACAAACTTACTGATAGGCATATTTATCCAAACTCTTTTGTTAAGATGAAGGTAAATATATTGTTAAGTTTAGTAAATTAAGATATTATTATATTACTTTAGATCTTGGATATTATCTTATCTTTAATATGAAATTGTTTTTAAGAAGGAAACTTCTTGAAGCTATTGATATTATTATACTATTTATTATTATACTATTCTATTCTAATATGTAAAATTGAAGACTTTGTTTATTGTTTGAATGCACTTATCCATGTAATGCTCAGTCCATTAAAAACAATTTATCAACTCTATAGCCTATCTATTGTATAATGTTAAAAGCTATTTAAGGGCCTAATTGGCTTATCTACCTAGACCCTAATAATAATAAACTATTACTATATTTAAATAAGCTACTATTCATCTATAGTAGTTACTAGTACATATACTACAGTTATGGTGACTATTTGTTGTATTACATTAATTTATTATAATAATATATTTACAGGTGAAGTATATGCTGCGCAGGTGTTTCAGCAGTTGAAGTGTTTCAACATCTATAAGTCTCCTGATAAAGGCTTTTAGTTTCCAGGAAGAACACAATTATTGAAATACATTAAATGTAAATATTGAGAATGGCTTATTCACAGCTGGGATTATTTTATTCATTAATAATAAAATACATGATCCTTCTAAGAATCTGTCATCTCTAATATGGACAATTACCAAAGATTTGTGAAGTTTACATATTTCCCGATTTAATAAAAGCATTTGAAAATCTTGATACCTCTTGGTACACTTGTGTAGATCATAGAGAAATATTTTTAAGAGCATTCTCATTATTTATGATATGTATAAAAGTTAGACAAAGGTGTATAAATTTTAATTGAAGAATGCATAAAGTGGATTCGAGAAAAAAGGGTCTGGAAATAGAAATTTGCTTAATATGAAAGTTTCAGAAGGGCCTAGCTATGGTTGAACTCATCTAGTCTTCAGAGTAGTGAATGATTTTCCAATATTTTTTCATTATTTAGTTCATTAATTAACTTTTAATATTTATTACTCTTGTTTGTTTTATTTCTTGGTTATTTAAAAGATAATCACTTAGAATTTTCCATTTTCATTGTTTCTATTAAGTATAAAAATAATGTATGAATATTTCATTTGATTTCTGTGAAATAATTTAATAATTTTTTAAATTTCTTAAAATATACTACTATAGCAGTATATAATTTTAATATATTAATTATAATTGTTACGTTTGATAGAACTATGTATTTAGAAATTTTATTTTAGAATATGTTTAGCTGTTATTTCTTTTTACACCAAATTTTTACTATTACTATGTAAATTTTGATTTTAAATTTCTTAAGCTTTTAAGAAAATTAATTTTATTATTCATTTTTTACTGAAATTTGCATTTTTTTTAATTTATATAAGATTAAAATGTTTGTTTTTTCAAATGCGCTAATCTCGAATCTTTGCATTTTATAAACTGAAGATGAAGGTGGTTCTAGAGCTAAAACTTCAAACAAAAGCTAAATTTTAATTTATACCTACAATTAAACCTACTACTCGCTTAATATGATATTGTTATTAACAAAAACTATTGTTCTATGTTACTTCTAATTTTATTGCATTGTAATATTTTATACCAAATCGTTGTACTAATTTATATTTTTTGTATTTTGTATTCAATTGATAAAATTCTTTAAAAATGTCCTTTTATTGTAATAACAATGTATTATAAATGTTAAGAAAAAAAGGTTATCCCGTCAAGGACCTCAGTCCTTGCTAATTCTTCTCAGGTCTGAGGCATTTTTCCGAACTAGTGGTAGCATTAAAATAGTAAAATAAAAAAACGAGAAACCTATCTTTGTATTTTATTTCTAATTATAATTAATATCATAAAAATGAAAACCTTACTATAAAACCGATAACGGTTGTTGAATACCGATAACATTACGATAAATACATCCCTACTTAATCGTAATCGTAATGAATACCGATTTTTACATCACTACGAACTAAATTCTCCCAGATTCGCATATGACGTCATACCCTTAGAAAGAGATGCGTGGCGACTCAAAAGAAATACAATAGCCGTGAAAGTGACAGCATATTTTGACTTGCCATTTATGCCATAACTGTCCCCATATTAAGGCAAATATCATGACACAGCTCTAAAATATAAATCAATTTTTATAATATAAAAACCTATGTTAATAGATATTTTATGTTTCATATGAAATATAATTAAAAAATAAGATATTCGATAATAGTTAAAATCATTTAGAATATAATTATATAAATCAATATATAGCACATATGATTTATAAAAAAAAATCATTTTAAGCATATTTAACTTAAGTATATTTTATAATATAATAAGATATTAATTAACATATCCCATGTAGCTATTTTTAATTTATAATGGTTAAATCGGGAAAAATCTTTCTTTGACTATCTTGACCCCCCGGCCCCCGCTTCGTCTTATTCGCCTTCGGTTTTATGAATATGCGCTTGTATGGAGCTCGGCCGGGGCTGGTTTATATTATTAATTTTAAGGTTGCGTTTATAATTAAAAAGTAGTAGCAAAGAAAACGAAAAATGTGATTTTTACGTTTACTGTACTGGTTGATACTTGATACAGTGAACAACACACATTGTAATTTGTACTTGACATTTTTTGTTTGACTGTGACTGACAATTGACAGTTTAGAAAACTACGACTTTTCCGGAAAGGGAAATCTCATGTTTTTAACTAGAATATAGTTAATATTATCAATTCTTTTTTTGAAATAATTAAAACGGAAAGTAATCACAATGTCTGAATCATATGGTAAAAAAGATTCATTATTATAAATTTATTTATTAACTGATACATATCTACGTAGGTATTTATTATTGTTTTCATGTTTCAGAATACTTATTTAAGTTTTTAGTAATTGGGAGTGCTGGTACTGGAAAATCAAGTCTCCTCAACAATTTTATTGGAAACAAATGTAAGTAGTTAGAATCCTATGACTTTTGCCGACTGCGTACGTAATTTGCGTAATTCGAGTCTATGAAACAAAAAAAATTAAGAATCTACATTAAACTTTTAGTTAAAGAAGATCGATGTCATACTATTGGAGTGGAGTTTGGATCCAAGATTATAAATATTGGAGGTAAATCAACAAAGTTACAAATATGGGATACTGCTGGACAAGAGAGATTTCGCTCTGTCACACGTTCATACTATAGGGGAGCTGCTGGAGCTCTTCTTGTATATGATATTACCTCGCGGGATTCATTTAATGCACTTTCAAACTGGCTAAGAGATGCTCGCACTCTTGCAAGTCCCAATATTGTTATATTACTTGTTGGAAATAAAAAAGATTTGGAAGAGTCTAGAGAAGTAACTTTTACAGAAGCTAGTCAATTCGCCCAAGAAAATGGTAAGTTTGTCCATATATATATAAAAAAAATATAGAAAACAATAATAGACTTAAAAACATAATATTATATATTTTTCCAGAATTGATGTTTTTAGAAACTAGTGCTAAGAGTGGAGAAAATGTTGAAGAAGCATTTTTAAAGTGCTCTAAAACAATTCTGGCTAAGATAGAAACTGGAGAGTTAGATCCTGAAAGAATAGGTTCTGGTATACAGTATGGTACAGGTACATCAAAGAGATTATCAGCACCAAAGAAACCTGTGAGAGCACCATCGGACTGTGTTTGCCATGTTTAAAGATATTAAGCTAATTTTAATCCTAAGTTTATTTAGAAAATATGAAGGAGTTTGATCTATTGTTAGTCTCTATTTTTGATTGTGATGTATTTTTATTTTCTTTGTAACTTTAGTTGAACTAAATGATGTTGAAATAATAATTAAGGCATTGATTTTAAAAGTCAATATTATCTCACTTAATAGTAAGCTTGTATCATTTTATGTGAGTCTCTCTTTATTGATTTATTTATGAATGAATTTTGATAATTTATAAGTGACCATGATGTGTACTAAATAGAATTAATGTTAAGAGTTATTAGTGGACATTACATACTAATAATTTTTTTCATATACTTTTTCTCATTAAATTTATTTTTGTAAAATTTTCTAAATACTATTACTTAAAACATTTAGTTGGCCATTCTTTTACTTTATAAATAACAATTATATTTTATTTTAACATTGTATTACATATTGTAATTTAAGATTTAATTATTTTAAAATTACAATTTACATTGTTTATGTATAAGAAGCCCCATATTACGGTACATAACCAATGTTATGAGATTTATGCTAGACCAAATACTAAAACACATTGTACTATTCTTGGAAAACTAAAACAATATAAATAAAATGATTAAGTATTATACAGTAATATTCATTTTTATTTTGCATATTTCACTTTGGTGAAGTCACGTTTCATCCATGGTTATAAATTGAAATAAAAAAGGATTACGATCTTGTTGCAACAGTTCCAAAGAAGCTCCAGAAATGTTAAAAATGCTTGGTTTGTTTTTGTGGATGGGTAAGTATTCTGGGGACTCAGCGCGCGGATATTTTTTTCATCCCCAAGCGTTCGTGTAAAATGCACACTATCAGTCGAAATCTTTGTTTCTTCGGCTATAAAACCTACTGTAACACGACGACCTGCTGAAACATGTTTTCGACTTTTTGACCATTTCTTTACTATCGTTGTGGTGCGGCACGAACGAGGGTCACCTTTGATGGATGTTCTTCCACATTTAAATTCGGCGCACCAACTAGTGTTGCCCATCGATAGTAGACTATCGATAGCATATCAATAATTAAACGATAGTGACCTATAGTTAAAATATCGGTAGTTCTATCGATATTATCGATACTATCTCTCTATGTGACTATACTATTGACAGAACACAATACTATCGATACTGTCGATAGTATTGGTGCTCACAAATCATAAACTATTGATAGTCTCGATACTATTGGAGTTTCGAAATAAAATAATATCGTCGCTATCGATAGTAGGTCATTTTTCGATAGTATCGCTTGAAGGGTCGCGGATACGCCGGCATGTCAGTTTAACAACCGACTTCCCGGAAACTAACCAGGGAGGCGGTATTATACACAGTTCGCAGGTGGCACAAATCGAATTTTTTATACTGACTTTCGTCTAATTACATTGCTTTTAAAACTTACCTGATACTATCGAAATATTAACAACTATCGATTGTCCAAAATTCAATAGTATCGATTCTATTGATAGTATTGTTTTTCAGAAGTTTGATAGTATCGATAATTTATAATTCATTAGCAGCAATACTATCAATAGTATTGATATCATTGCAATCCGTTAATAGTATTGTCGCATTTCGAGCTATCAATACTATCGATAGTAGGGCTGCTTTAGATCAAAACTATCGATAGTTTCACTATCGATAATTCGGTAACACTAGCACCAACGTGCAACTGTAGAATACGGTGGAGCATTTGCAACCACAGTATTCTATAAGCCCTGATGAACTTGAAATTTTTTAAGTTCAGATAGGTATATCTCCGAGATTGCGTTCTTCATCTGATTAATCTAAATAACTAAAATCTCTAAATAACTCTACACAAATAATGATTAAAGACATGCCAAATAATATTTGGCATGTCATAAGAGTATGTTGAATAGAACCGAAAATGAAAATAATTTTTGGCCAGATTAATCAGATGAAGGACGCAATCTCGGAGAAATACCCAGATACTCAATAACTGCGTGCAATTCATTGTTTATCATTTTCGAAAACACGCTACGACAGACTGTAAACAAAAGACTTCCAGTATTAAAAACAAAAGATATTCAAATTATTTTCTTTTTTTAAACTAATTAATATTCAATTATTACTCCTGTATCAATTATTACTCCTGTATATAAGAATGGGGATAGAACTCAAATCAATAATTACAGGCCAATTTCAGTCTTAACGGGTATCTCTAAAATAATGGAAAAACTAATAAATAACAGAATAATTCAATACCTAAATAAATTTAATATTTTGTCAGCATCGCAATATGGTTTTAGACAAGGAAAATGTACGCAAGATGCAATTCTAGATTTAACCTCGTGTATTGTCGATCATCTTGATAGTAAAAAGAAATGTCTGACTGTCTTTCTGGACCTAAAAAAGGCATTCGACACTGTATCTATCCCTATCCTTATAAAAAATTAGAAAATATTGGTATTAGAGAAAATCAGCTTAACCTAATGAAGGATTATCTAAATCATCGGAATCAGCGAGTGAAAATAGGAGACTATACAAGCAATGACCTCAAAATGACCTTCGGTGTTCCACAAGGTAGTGTCTTAGGACCTACCTTGTTTTTAATATATATAAATGACCTATGTAACTTAGAAATAGAAAATGGGCATATTTATTCATATGCAGATGACACTGCTATAGTTTTTCATGGCAAAACGTGGGAAGAAGTTCATAGTACTGCAGAAATAGGCTTAAGAAAAATATCTAGTTGGCTTAAATCTAACGTTCTTACACTAAACACACATAAATCAAATTATATATGTTTCTCAATAAATAAAAAAACTCAGCCTACATCATCAAAATTACAAATACACCACTGTAAGGATCAGAGTGTAAATTGTATGTGTCCTAGCATTGATAAAATAGATTCAATCAAATACTTAGGCATAATTATTGATCAAAGATTATCTTGGCACTCCCATCTGGAACTACTATCAAGCAGAATTAGAAAACTTATTTGGATTTTTAAAACCTTAAGATATGTTGCAACAAATAAAATTCTAAACCAAGTCTATACAGCTCTTGCTGAATCAATTTTGACATACTGCATCCCAGTATGGGGAGGAGCATCAAAAATTAAATTCCTAGAATTAGAACGTAGTCAACGGGCCTTACTAAAAGTTATGTTCTGTAAACCATATCGTTTCCCTACAAAAGAGCTATACTCCATTAACAACTTACTAAGTGTGGAAAGATATACATATTACAATTAATACTACAGAGGCATAAAACAGTAACTATAGACATAAACACGAAGACAAAAAGACGAGTTAACATTAGAGTAGAAACAGGTATTGTAAAAACTAAATTTGCTAGTCATCAGTTTGCTAAGAAATCGGCTTCTATATACAAAAAGGTGAATGGTATGATAAAAATATATTTGCTTAATAATTATGAACTAAAAAAGTCCCTGACTGCCTGGCTTGCAAAATTAAATTATGAAGAAGCAGAAGCTTTATTCAATGAAATTACCTAAACATCCACTTCAACATTTTATTTACACAAGTACATGCATGCGCGCGCTCACATACACACACATACACACACATACAACACACACACACACACACAAACACACACACAGACACACATTTTTTTTTCTATTATTTTTATTTTATTTTTATTTCTTTTTTTTTTTTTTTCTACTATTTATAAGTTGTTGGTTAATATAAAAAACACTATTGAGTTGTATAATTTTAAGAAATTTTCTACGGAAGAGCGGGACATCCTGGCACAGGTATCTATTTACTTAAAAGGATGTCCCAATAACGGACTTAATGTATTTAAAAACTCTTTTTATTAATAAATCATTTTTCATTTTCATTCTAGCCAGCCAGCAATATTAAAATATTAAGCCAGTAGTAACTTTTTCGGTTCTAAAGAGTTTGTACCTTATTCTTACTTTATTATGTATGCTCTGCGTATATGATAGTAATATATATGTTTATCCATTCTATACTAATTGTTGAAACGGGCTCACCAAACCAGGATTTTTTTCAAATTTATGAATCTCTGATATTTTTTTTCGATAGCAAGAAATAAGAATATAAACATATCTGGATTTTAATTAAAATGTATAGGTTGATTTAATTACATGCAAAACGTTTAAAAACATATACAACACATTTTTTTTAAATTTATTCTTGAAATAACATCATTAACAGCTTTTACAGAATTAGAGCTAGCTAATTTTATAATCAATATTAATTAATCTGATATCAAATAAATATTTATAAAATATTTTATACATTTGCCGATAAATTTATTACCTAATTTTATAAATCATATTAAATAGAATATTTACTTCAAAAAGAGTGTGCTCTTGGCCCTAGTTTTAATATTTTAATGGACATTCGAACATTAAAAGTGGAGATATGTGAATTTTTGCTAGTTTATGATATTAGCAAACTTTTAGTTGTTTGATGTTATTATTGCCTCACACTTGTGGAATGTAGCAACTTGCCATTTATACAGATAAAAAATCAATTGTCTATTCTTACACATTTTACATCTGTAGCAATCATATCAAATGTATTTTCATAGAAAAAAAATGTTGAGCAAAAATGAAAATAATATCTACGCAGAATATTTCGTATACATACTATTATTATAAAAATAATTTATATGTACAAAACATGTTTTTAGAAAAACTTCAGTACCTAATTATTTATATTGAGTTCATAATTCTGATCTTTTCAAATAATATTTGAGTTTATAATGATTAAAACTAATTTACTAAACTGGTCGCTCTTCTTTAGTGTAAGTACATTATAATTTTTTTATAATATTTAAAGTACATAATAATTGTTAACTAAAATCACAATATGATTTTTTAGAATTTCTTATTATAAAATGATTAATTAGCAAACTCTTTGTTTAAATTATTTTTGTTGGGAATAAATAAGGATTTACAAAGTCAACATATTAAACATAATTCTTAATTAACACAATTATGTTACACTCCATGCAACAAAATTAATGACAAATACAATTCTTAAAATAAAATGCACCTATTTTTAACTAGGAACTATACAATGGTGTGATGAGTGTCATTCGCTGACCTAATATCTTATTAAGCACTTTAATTTCTTAAACTTATATTCGCGTTATTTATCGTATGAGTGATAGTTAATAATTCAAATTAGGTCTAATTTTTTTACCGGCTGTACACTCTCACCGAGATATTTCCAAGTGCGAGAGTGTACTTACTCGCGCCGAGTACGAAAGTGTATATTCTAGTTTCGTGTCAGGTTTATGTGTACGAATTAGAGGATTTCGGCTACCTTAGGTTTGGGCGTTTGCAACCCTAACTGGGTAACCTAGTGTATTATAGAGAAAGTTGTACTTTCGCCGAGATACGCCGAAAGAGACTCATTCAGATGAGAGTGTACAGCCGCATTTATATTTTTTTGCTTGCAGTGAATATCTCGATGTAATTCCTAATTAACTTAAACACTTTATAATTTAATATACTCAATTAATCACGAAACCAAAACTAATAATTTTATAGTAAATCCTAGTTCTATCACAGTAAAATATAAAAAAAAAACACTCACTTAAATCCACATAGATGAATTAATTCAATTTTCATGTTAACATACACTTGAATTGAATATTTAATATCTGTGTGTATGAGACAGTCATATTGGTTTAACGGAAGCTGTTTTAATTTGTAACAATATCAGAATAAAAAAACAAGATAGACACAGCGTAGTAAAGTGACTCAGTCAGAGTCGGTATCACGACGAGACACTGAGAACAAACTGTATTTTTAGAACATACATTCTATCTATCTTATTGTTCTAGTCTAAAGCGATCCTACATACGCTATATGTTATTTATATACGTATGAGTTTACAATCAAATTCAGGATATTCTTAACTAATCTGTCCTTTTCCGATAACTCGATATATAAGTAGATTCTCATTATAAGACCACCATTTCATTTTTAGAAACTAATATTCAATAAATATATAAGAGATACACTGTACTTAAACACTTGATAAAAAGTGAGCCGCAAATCAAAGCAATGTGCAGGGACAGTGCACTGTAAAGATTGACACTAAGATCACTTTACATAATTCTTTCTTATGTTAGTAGTTGTTCATACCATATTATGTAAGTGCGAAACGTTTATATAAAGTCAGTCTTGTTAAACTATGTGACATTTTTCGTCGACTGCTATAGCAGTTTTAGTTTTCGAATTAAAAAAAAACAAAGCCATTTTTTTATTAAATTTGTACTCTGGCTTTCGTGGAGCCAATTTAAAATGCGTGACTAGACTAATTTTTAAAGTACGTGATTTTTTTAATAAGTACGTTTGGATAAGTCCCTTTGTTAGCATTTTAATCTTAGTGGCCATCTTGAGAAATTTTACGTAACCATTTATATTTTTATGGTTTATTGATTTTTTTTTTATGTTTGAAGTAAGGTTTTATATTGTAAAATATAATTCATTCGTAACTGAATCAGTAAAATTCCTATCCAACAGAGAGCAGTTACAACTATCTGTCCAAGCACGCGACAACATAAGACTAAACTTGTAAAAGTATAACCGATTTCTGATCCCTATAAATCGCTTGATTTAATATACTACAAAAATCTATTGCTAATTTGCTATACAATATACTTCGAGACACAAATTATAATAAAGCATCTATGTATTTGCAACGGAGCAATCGCACATCCGACTACGTAACCTCAGCTCCCAAGTGACCATTAACAATAGATAAAATACAAAATGTTTATATATTGTAACTTGATTATGTTCCAAATAACATCAATAAAAGTTACCGTATATTGTGGCGTGATCCGGGGCCGATAAAAATCTGCTCTTCGAATATTCGTATATAGATTCTATATATGGTCGAAAAAATTGTAATTATATTAATAAATACTATTATACAATAAAAAATTTAAAATTGATTTAATATAAGTAATGTGTAAGTCATATATAAAATTAATTAATATAGTAAAATCAATATACAAGTTTTCGAAGTGTAGCAGTAAATTGTAGTGAGGTATTGTAGGTTTGTAAGTGTTGCCAGATGTCTCGGCTTAGCTTTTCGTTGGTATTATAATCCTATCAATCCTATAAAGCTCTGCTTTTACTTTTCACGCTACGTTCTATAATCAATGGCTTTAGGGATTCTTTCTTATTAAATCTGGCAATACTACTAAGAAGGCTCGGTGTTTTAGTGCGTTGCCCATTGGTCGTGTCTACGCTAGCGCTTGTTGTCTACACGCGACTGCCGCGACTAGGGCCGCCCCGCGACCGCTGCCGTCCTCAGATAACATAAGGTCGAACTGAAACAAGAAAAAACACATTGAGACAAGCCATAATACATATACAAGACATAGCTAAAAGGAGATATTATAGTGCATAAGTGTACGCGCAGACACAAGTGCACTCTCTATTTCTGTCACTCTCATACTCTGGTGGGACGACACGACGGTAAGAGTTAAGGCGCAGGACCGACGGCTGTACGTGCTCTCCGAGGCACGGGGGTGAGACACCTCCAACTTGTCAACTCTGGACTTTTACTGAGACTTACTAAAAAGAAAGACTCAATAACTAAACTTGACCCAACGCGGGACTCGAACCCAGGACCTCTCCACGTGCAGTCATACTTGCTAGCCATTACACCATCGAGGCAGTTAAAAACATAATATGAAAATAAAAAAAAGTAATGTCCGTGTGTCCCGTTTTCTATACGTTTTCGTATTGTTCTTTCGGTTTTAAATATTTGGTTGTTGCTATTATGTGTTTAATACTTACTCATTTAGTGGAAGGACTACTTAAAGAATTATCTTATCTGTATTATTTCAACATAATATCATGGGGTCTCATCACGAACAAATAAATGTAAATAGATGAAGTTACATGTATCGATTTTTTATTAATTTAAAGTTGTGTTAAATTAACAAATGATAAATACATAGATCCCAAAAAGGTGTATTATTGTTTTAAAAAATATTCTAAGTGAAACGAAATAATACGCTTGTAAAGCTTAATTTTACTGATTATTGAAATATCCGCAATCAGATGATGGGTTTGTAGTCTTATTTAACAGATGGCGCTTTTACTTTTTATGAATTGTTTCATCAATCAACGACATCTATTGTCTATTTTAGCAAACAAAAATAGCCCGAATTAGCGCTGTCCATTGTCTTTGTATGGCATAAGGCATCTATGTATACTAGTATAGTATTATGTGATCTGTGATAATACTATCCAAAAAACTGTATACTTATCATAGTGTATAATTATAATTTTATCGATAAATCTGTAAAGTTAGAATGAGAAAATTAGTTAATTTAATACAGTTAATTTAATTACTTTGTGAGCTGTTACGAAGACACCGATAAAAATGGATTATTATTTTAAAATAATATTGCTACGTAAACTATTTATTGTTAAGTATACAAATGACTACAAAAATAATGAGTTTATTATATATAAAGTTTAAGGAAATGCTCAAAACTTGTGGATATTGTTATGTGATTTAAGTGGCAAAGTAAATTTTTTAATTTTTGGAATGTGTCTACTAATTTAGCTAACTCAGTTTTCAAATGTATAACGCAACTTTACAAAATGAAATAATATTTACATGTTTTGTAAGTCATAAACAAGTATCTACGCACATTTATAAAGGACTAGCATAACACGCGACTCCGCCCGTGTTCAGATGACCAAAAATCAAATTCTTAGGTTTTACATATTAGTATACTCTCACATATATCAATTTCATTGCGCACCGTATGATTGGTAAATAATGGTGGTGATTGACATTGCCAAAGGTTCCTCCGTAAATCTTAATTTAATTTAGTAATATTGCTCTTTTTTTTTAACAATAACATTTATAGTATATCTATACTTCTTTTGTTTGTTTGTTTAGTTTTGGGCGATAAACTTTCAAACTACTGAATTAATTTTAATCATTTATTTACTAATAGACAGCTTTTTAACGTACCACTGCTGGGCACGGGCCTTTACCACGCTGGCCAAGTACGGGTTGGCTATTGATTAATTTTTATTTAAATAATTTTAAGCAAATGCTTTTTATTATTTTATATGGCTTGGCTAATCTGAATAAAGTCCTTTAAGTCTTTCACTTTCCAAGAAGTGGTGTCAAAAAAATCTGAAAAAGTTGTGGTATAACAGTTTCTAAAATACTCTATCGAAAATTGTCTTGCAGATATGGAATATTTTTAGTTACCCGCTTTGTTAGTTTAACAACCATAAACTTGTTTTCCATAAAAGGTTAAAAATAATAATAATGAAACGAACTTATTTTTATGGTTGATAAAATGTGTCTATATTGTGAAAACGTAAGTATTATTCGTATTTATTTTAGTCTTAACCTAACAAAATACGCAAGTAAGAAAAACAACACAGTAGTTTGTTATACAGAACCTATAATTGCGCGAGTTGGACTTGCATTTGCCCAATTTTTACATTAAAGGATTTACAAACATTAACATTATGTATTTCCTAAACAATAAAAATTTACAAATATTTTCATTTCAAAATTGTTTTAGCTAACAAAATATTACTAATATGTTACTAATTTCTAGGCAAAATAGGTTTTATTGTTAATTTGAACACGGGTGGAGCCACAGGTAATTTAGTAGCAATTCTAATAAAATTATAGAAAGCTCATATCTGTACATTCAATTTAATGGAATTAAAACTACGTGTTTTAAAAACACAAGGCGACATCTTTTGTCGAATATCTAAATAACACATAAATAAACAGTTTTAGAAATATTTTAAAGAATCAAATAGCGCTATTAATATTTTTTTTTTCAAGATAAGCTATTTTTAATAGTTTTTGAATTTTGGCATATTTAATAAGTTACCTTGCTAAAATATTTATAGTATCATCATGGTTTTATTCTAAACAGTTTTTGTATTTTTCTCAGAAATGAGATATTTTCCTGCGGTAAAAAGTATCCTATAAGTTGATATTTCATGAAAACCCCTCCACTGACGGACAGACAAAATTTTTAAAAACTATAGATTCGGTCTCTGTATAGATAATAATGTCTATTTCAATAAGATTTTCAAAAAATATTTAATGTACAGATTCGGCCTGGTTACAATTTTATTATATTATGTATAGCCTACTACATATTTCGTAAAGAAGACTGTTAATGAATATTATCTATCATCTAATAAGGTAAAAAAGAAATGTGGCGGTATCAGAAATGATAGGTATATACTATTTACTTCGTGATAATTGATAATATTATATGACATCTTTACGGTTCGTACCGCTATCAGAGCCATTTATTAAATGTATTTATGGGTTGTTCAAGTAACTGATGCCCATATTCCTCAATAAAAACCTAAAATTATTGAAATAAGGTACTTATAAATTTTATATTTTCCCAATACGTCTTAAGTGGCGTTATACGCGCTATCTGGTTTTTTATATTATGATAGATAATATGGCAGGTCAATGTTGTCCAAAAGTTATAAAGTACATTTAGAAGTATTAGTATTGTATGTATTGAGCAGTTTTTAACGTCCCACTGCTAGGCACGGGCCTTCCTTGAATACGATGGGGATCAGGCACCACGCTGGCCAAGTGAAGGTTGGCCGACTTAACATGCCTTCCGAAAACTTTCTACATTTTCTCAGACATGCAGGTTTCCTCACGATGTTTTCCTTCACCGTAAGGCAAGTGTTAATCATGTTAGAAATGGTTCGCACATGAAAATATCAGAGGTGCGAGACCTGGGATTTGAACCCGCTTCACTCGGTTTCCCAAGCGAGCGCGTTAACGCTGGGCTACAACTGCCTCATTCAATTAGTATTAGGTACATTTGATATTTTTCACAATATGTTATTATTGACGTTCGAAGCGCCATTCGTTTTAACCAATTATTTTATATGATAGATAATATAGCAGGTCAATGTTGCCCAAAACTTGTATACAGTACAAAGTTCATCTTCGAAGGAGAAAAAACAATAACAATTACTATGAAATTATAATTAGTGCTTACGTCAACGTGGTGTGTTTACATTAGAACTGATGTAAGCAATAGGTACGATCCTATGAGTATATACGAATTGATATTATTTGTTCGAAACAAATCCGGTTTGTTTCAATGGATTTTATCAAACGAACATTGAACTCTCTAGCAATAACACATTGAGTACGCACATAAAGGGGCTCGCCCGCGCCGGTGCGGTGACACTTATATCACTATTCACTAATGATAACTTAGTTAAGTCCGAATATAATTAATTATTCACGATATTACTGGTATCGTTTATATTAGTAATCTTATAATAAACATTAAACAGATTACATACATTCTGTTTAATAAAAAAACTTGATTTGCGTAAACTTGTGTGAATGACCTTAATAAAATATGCTTAAGAGTGAGCGCAAACGAGGCGCTAAATATTGAAAGTATTTTGAAATGATTTCGATCAAGGTTGATTTTTTTTACAAAAGCAACACCTAACAAAGAAATGCGACGTTATACGATATAAAATTATTTTGCCTGTCTACGTTATGTTTAAAAAAATTCCTTGACATTTATATCACTAAGCTGTAAGACCCGTTTGTTGCGCCCAAATTGTATATTAGTAAATTTTTAGAGGTCATTGATTACTTAATTATAGGTTTTACTTAATTTAAAATTTAAATATAACTAATACTAATAAGAAAATTAATATTCTACAATTGCAAAATTATTAGGGTATTTTATATTTAAAATTTAAAGTACTGGCAACAATATTTACAGAAAAAAATATTTATTGCTTTCATGGGAAATTTTCATAATCATGTCTTCTCGTTAAGTGTATCGTACATACATATTTGCAGTGTCTAGTAAGTGATTTATCTATCAGTCTGGTCGACTACGTCAAAATTGTTTGATTTTGTCATCTGTAATTCATAAATTGCCTCACTTTAAATTGTAGTACAAAGTAATTAAATTATGAACACATATTTAAACGTTTCAAATTGATCATATTAATAGTATGTTTATAATGATTAAAGGATTATAGCCTTATTAAATAAAACAATGATAATCAATTTTATGTACCTATTCTATTTATCATTGCAGAAATTGGTATCTTTTAATAAATAAAATACAATGATTGCTTGGTCAACATAAACAAACCTTTTAAGTAACATAAACAGATATTATACGGGTTTGTAAATGAGATTAAAATTTAAAAAGATAATATTTTTGCTTACTATCATATTTACATATACGGTGATAAATTACTTAAAATACAAAAAAAGACCTTTGCCAAGCAGTTGCATATTAATTACAAAAAAGGTAAAGATATAATAAGTACCTACTTTAAGACGAAATCAAAAACACTTTGCAAACCTATCACCAACAACTGCAAAATCACCCCAATCCTCTAGCTTCACAACTAACACGTCGAGGCTATAACAAAAGGATCAAAAGGAAGGACATAATCAGTGGCGACTAAGGCCATCTATACTAGTATTATAATGACGTAAAGTTTGTGAGTTAGTGACGTTGTAGGGGGTCATCTCTGGATCTACTGAACCCATTTAGATGAAATTTGGTAAGAAGATACTTTGAGACCCTGGGAAGGACATAGGCACGGTAATGTAATGCATACAGTATTCCAACTCGGGTCTGTCCTTAAAATAATTACCTACAGCCGAGCGGCACGTACCCACGCGATAGGGCTGTCCGAGTGCCCGCCGGCCATGCAGTATTTTAATTTCATCTACCTACCTGAGTTTCTTTCTAATTTTGTGATTTCAAATATTAAGCATATTTTTTATTTAAAAACTATTATTAGTAGATTTAATTAAAAATTCTCAAATTTATAAGGGTGGTACGTGACCATTATAAATTTGAGATTTAAAAATATTTGCGCCTCGACTGAGACGTACGAAAAGCTTTATTGTTAAATTTAATAGTATAAAGAATCCGCATTCGGATAAAAAGTTAAATTAAAAATACTTTAATTTTTATGTTTAATTTAATTAATTAATTTTTATTTTAAAACATACGATGCATGTCTAGATACTTTTTTGTTTGACATTAGCGAAGTTACGAGAGGAATAAAATTTTATTTTTGTATTAAATTATAAAAGTTACATAACATAACCACCTTATACAATTTTCGTATTGAATTTTACGATCTGGCAGCCCCGCACGGTTGTCTACCGAGTATATACCGAACTACCGTGACATTGGATACTGTTTATCGCGGAAATCATCCCTTAAGGGGGCGAAAATGGGGATAAAAGTTTGCATGGGGAATCAAGCCAGTTTAGTTGGAAATAAATGAGTAGAAGTTCTCAGTGGGAGCACACTCAACAGACAAGTACCCTCACACAATTTATGCTTATAGTTAAACTGATTGCAGATAATAAAACAAAAAATAAATAAGTACCTGAATGCCAGGGTTGACGAGTTGCGCGATTTTCTCGCACATGAGCGTGTGAAAGTGTGGGTGGAAACGGTACACGGAGCCGTCGATACCGACTGTGACGCGGGGTTCGGCCATTTTGTTTAGTAAAGTGGCTATGCCCGCTGACACTAGGTATGCCGCCCGGCGAGATATGCACTCGCACACATGTCGCACTGCCGCCATGTCTGCTTCTGTAGCGTGGGACAACCCTGGAAATAAGCAAGTTAATTGTTACATCACATCCATACTAATATTATAAATGTGAAAGTTTGTTTGTCCTTCTTTCACGTCGAGACAGTGTGAGAGAATGGCGTAATTTTTTTGTGTAGACATAGAGATCTGGAGAGTGACAGGCTATTTTTTAGCGCGGGATTTTTCTCATTCCCATGCGAAAACACGTTATAACATAACCCAAAAAAATATTTATGCTCAGAATTACTAGAAACTTGGTATCTATCTATCACCTATTAAACTTTCATCTATAATTTGTGTTATACAAGTAGGAACTCATATATAATTCTATACTTCTTAATATACCGATTAAGGCTGTCAGTTACCGTAAGTTTTATTAGATAGATTAAATACATATTGTTATCTTTAAGATATTCGTAAAATTTAAAAGGAATATCGCTGCAGTGATGCAAATTGTGTGAGTACGATATTACTCCTAAAAGGTACATAATTTTTGTGATTATTTCTAAAAGTTTGTTGAGTATTTTCGAGTACTGCAGTAGGCTAGATTTGTCAGATAGATAAAAAGTTACAAAAATGAATTCCCAGTTATTTAGGTAACTTTTAGCGCTAGTTCTTATTGGTATTATACTACTATAAAGAATTTCAATATATGTATATTGTATTTCAATTTGAAACACTTGCGTCATAAGTTAGTTTCAATAAAATAATCAAATAATTACTGTGTGCGAATACAAGTGAGACGATAACTTATCACAGGTACAGGTACCTATACAACCATTTATATGAGAAAATAGCTTCGTCATGAATTATGATTGACATGAGGATATTAAATTTTATCCTTATGTCGGAACATATGAAAAACTTGTTTTAAAGATTTTTTGATATAAAGCAACTGAATTAAAAAAAACCATTTAGCTAATATTACGTTGTTTGGATAAGAAACTTTTATTTCTTTAAAGTCGTTATTATAACTATAATATTTACAATCACATTTAAATTTAACTTAAATATACAATGAGAGATTTTAGAAAAATTGTTGTTGTATAAGATATTTTGAAATCCCCTTGCAAGTCAAATAAAAAAATGCATTATCGGTCTTGATTGCATATCACTATTATATAATATGTAACAATTACCAATTATATAAAAGCTGAGAAAGCCTTATGTAATCAAAGCAAACATTTCATAGAACATATACCTAGTGATTGATGAAAATGTTAAGTTACGTCATGGCATTAAACAATATTTTGTATGTAAATAGCAGTTCTTGTCGTCATCTTGTAAAGGGCTAGCTGTAGTGGACTTTCAAAAATACCTATTGTTTAATCATTGTATTATGAATTTTATAAAGTGTATTATATATTTCAATGCAACATTTTTTTAAATACGCGTAAATAAATACGATATCTAACAATTACTTACCAAGTTCCTCAAGGACATCCATACAGCTTGTGAAGTCGCCTGGTTTATCCGACTCGATCTCCGATACGTATTTTGTATAAAAACTTCCACTTTGGAACAAGAGATCAGATCCGCGTCCTCCGAAAAGTAATCCCATTCTTGTGAACTTGGCCAGAACCAAGCGAACTAATTCTCCCATATACATTCCAGATATCATCTTCTCTTGGCTGTAAATGAATAATAATTATTAATATTATAATTACTTTTGTATCTTTTGTTTGTGTTATTAAGAGTTAATTATTCTGTCGTTAAATAGTGCATTTATATGCGACAACCCTGGAGATAAAGTCTATTCATTAAAAAAATGTACAAACAGTTCACAATTATTGGTAATAAAGTAACATAAACCTTGGTGGTTTACCTCATCTTTCTTTGAAGTCAGTCAAAATGTCTTTTAAACAATTACAAGAGAATATTTTTTTAGCCAAAATTTTTAAAAAGAAACCTCTAAATGAATTAATTAAATATGATACAGAGCGTTTTTGCACACATTCAAATTTTCCAAATTATTTTAATTACCAATTGGGTACTTAAAAATTATAAGTATAGAAGTTTTTCAACTAGCGCCCTTAAAACTTTTATTTAATAAGAGGTATTTATTATAAAAGTTAGACATTATTCATGTATAAAATATATTGATTTAATTGCGTAGTTTATATTTGTTTTTATCTTGTTATGACGTTTTAAATGAGTGCAACTGCACATCATATTACATTTTAAACTTCATTACATTGACATTGCGATCGTAACCGTGAACCATGACAATCATAGGCACATTTGATAAAAATTATATAATGTAAAAATATGTCGTATTCCATTTAAGTTAGGCTTTTCGCGATTTAACTTAAATCCATAGTGTGTTTTAGTAACCGATTAATGCGACAGACTTAAAGCGATTTGTAATTCTTTATGGTTTGTAGTTAATATTCTAGTAACATCTTTTTGTTATCTATACTTAATATTATAAAGAGGTTTTTTTTTGTTTGTTTGTGCCTAATAAACTCCGAAACTACCGGACCGATTTAGATGATTTTTGGTAATAGATAGTTGAGACCCTGGGTAGGATATAGGATAGTTTTCATTCCGGAAATCAACCCTTAAGGGGTTGAAAATGGTGATGAAAGTTTGTATGGGGAATCAACCTATGGACGAACCCGAGCGAAACTAGGGCGAGTCGCTAGTATATTATATGGTTATTATATTTTGAGTACAGTATTTTTAAAGTTATCTTAAAATTTAACAATGAATCCGGCTCTTACTAAGAACTTTTGTTACGACCCACTTTTAAAATAAAGAAACGTGACTACAATTTGAAGTTCCATGTTTATGACTAACCCAAGTTTGCGTCTACCAGTAAATGTAGTCTAGGTATCCTAATTAAATCACCAGTTCTAAGGTCATTAACCTTTGTATATAGTAAAGAAACAGTTACTATTTAGTTTCTACGTTTTATAGGATTTAATTTCTTTATACAGGCTGGTCCAAGAATTGACGTCATAAAAGTTTTTTTAAATTCCTCATATCTGGGTGTATCCGAAAATACCCAGATATATATAATATATATAATATTTAGTTTAGAAGTTATGATGTATTTGCGAATTTTCTACCGAAGCAAATCAAGAAAATCATAACTTGCTTATTAGTAAAAAATTATGACGTCTAAAAAAATTTATGACGTCACTTCTTTGACCATCCTGTATATTGGAAATTTTCATTAAAAAGTTCATAACATTGAACTCGCCACAAATACTTAAATGTTTGCCTTGAAAGATAATTAAAAAGGTTAATAAACATTTTATTTATTGATAAGGAAGATACAACAGACAAACATAAGCGTTTAATGATTAGATATAGTAATCAACTTACTCCATTGGCTGCTAATATTGGCTAATAAAAAGTGCTACAAGATGCAAATAATCATACGCACAAATATAGCAATATAAATAATAAATTAAGAAAGAGAATAAAATACAAAGCGAGCGAATATCTGTGAGCGACTACAAAGTCCGAAAACTGATAAAAGATTTTTAAACATAATATAAATATGTATGTTATTTACTATTTAAGTTTATAAAACAAAAAGTACGACATCGTTTGAGTGACCTAATTTCTGATTGAATATGATAAGGTTATATGCCGTATTATATTTAGGTAATATTTTTTTTATACTGAGCTGCATTTACTTAAGATTAGGGTCACCTACACATTTCTTTCCGTCAATTAGTTTAAATCCATACTTCCATTCTAATATTATAAATGTGAAAGTGTAGTTGTTGGTTTGTCCTTCTTTCACGTCGAAACAGAGTGCCGGATTGGCGTCATTTTTTGTATGGAGATAGTTGGAGGACTGGGGAGTGACATAGGCTACTTTTTATTGCAGGAGATTATCTCATTCCCACGGGAAAACACGTTATCACAGAAATAAAAAAAAATGTATGATCAGAATTACTTAAAACTTGGTATGAATGCTCTTCAATAAAATTAAATAAATACGTGTTTTACTATTTTTCGAAATTCATCCTATAAGGGGGTAAAATAAGCGATGAAAGTTTGTATGAAACTACCTTTTTACATATTTTTTGTAGATTTAGCGCGAGCGAAGCCGCGGGTTCTGCTAGTACTGTATATAATTGAATACTCACATCTGTTTGCCAGGATTGATAGAATTGACATCGACGTCGCGGTCGAATTCTGTCCTTACAAAGTCCAAAGCCCCATCGTCGCCGAAAGCGCCCCATTCGGTGTTTATCAATAGTTCAGGCTTGCCCGGTTCTCCATCGAATATTTCACAGTTTTCTGTCTTTTCTACGTAACATGCGTTACTGCCAGTACCTGGATAGTTATAATTTATTAAATACAAAAATCAGGATGTATGTGTATTGCTATAAACATAAACAAGTAGCATTGTAGTTATAGGGCAGAAGCAAATAAATATTAAGTTAATTAGGTGCTTAATTTCATAAAAACTTAAAAAATGTATACCCACGTAACACTATCAGTAAACAAAATAAACAATTAAGAATAAAAAACCAAAAGAGATAAAATTTTAAATGGAATGTCTGTTACCGGATATTAATCAAATATTACAATGTCTGGTGATAAGACATGCGTTAGAGAAAATGGATATGAATCATATCTAATTTTATCATTTCATATTCTTGTTCCGAAATGCGTATTAATTATTTAGTGATAGTAGCAATATTGTTATGTTATGATAAAACCCATGAACGAAAGCACACCACACTGCTACAAACAAAGTAAACCTACCAACGATGAGTCCTATTTTGCAGTTATGGTTTTTCCACGCGCAAGACATCAATGTGCCCGTTGTGTCATTCAGAATAGCACATATATCAATCTGTACGTCCTACAAGAGTGGAAAAACATGCGATTTAGATATTGTTATTCGCAGAATAAGGATAGACACCGGTGATTCGTTGAAGATGATCTATAGAGGCTGTTTGTTTTATGGAAACTCAGTCAAGCTCAACTGTTATTTCGCGGTTCGCGGCGCCTTCAAATAAATAGATAATGCATGTCAAGGTGTTACCGTTTAATATTAATATGACGCGAAAAGAAGACCGATATGTGAAGACCTACTTGTTTTCCTTATCATAATATAAATAACAATGAATATCTAATTTCCAAAGAATCAACATGCAAGCCGTGCCCATAAATGACATCGAATAAGAAATTTAGACAAAATAATAGTACTGTCCAATGAGTACGAAATAATTTTGACCTATCCATATCACTTATACATGCATTAATTTCAATTCAATAGAATATTTCTTGGGAAAAGTTAAAATGTTATTTTATTAGCATGCATTACGATTTTTGTTACAAATACAAATTACCCATACTCTTGAACTGAGAATCCATATCGGAAGCCTCTATTTGACTCTCATTGGCTTTTGGACATGCCTTATACTAAAGAGAGCTGAATCATCGTCAACTCACCGATTATAATTCCTACTCGACAATGGGGATCTTTATGCGAACAGGACATTAGAGTCCCGGTCGCATCGTTAAGGATGCCCATCACGGATAAAGAAAGATCCTGGAAAGTGTCGCAATCATTTTCATTTCAATTTTTAATTTTGATCATTTTCAATTTGCTCAAATTATTGTTTCGTATTAGTATTTTTTGTATATGTTAATATGATTATAAAAAGGTCACACTATATTATTATATAGTTATATTACAATATATTAAGTAGTAAATATTATATACCTAAAATATAATATTGTAGTTTCTTTTCGCTATAAATTAAAAATTATTTCTTTAATAAACATCAAAGGAACTTAGCTACCTTAGGCTATTATTTTAGAGTGCATATGAATTGACAATAGAAATGTATGTAAGTATAATGAATTGTATTATTAGCTTACCCCTCTTCGTGCTATAGCATCTTTGAGTCCCTGTACGACGTCCTCCCCTACAACGCCCGAACAAGAAAAGCCCTTTGTCCAACGCTGTAACAGCCCTCTTGTGAGACCGAGCTGTTTTAGCGGAAAACTAAACGTGAAACCAAGGGCTAAGCGTTCTTCATATACGTCATGTTCCTAAAAAATAATACATTATTATTATTTATAATGATGCGCGTACATATATCACACATTCAGCTTCTATTTATTAAAAAAGTAGCGTCAGCATTAAAAATTATTTTTTGCTTTCTGAAATGTGTTATTTTACCTACCTTCATGAAATTTGCTAAACATTCAGCAATATGGTCGAAAAGGGCGACTCCTGTACCAGTCATAATATGATTAGGAATGGCATAGATTTTTGATTGCATGTCGAAGTGATTTTCCCCTAAGTTTATTATCAACACTCTAAAATTGGTTCCTCCCAAATCTAACGCCAAAAATTTACCTCGCTCTGTAACAGATAGACGTATATTATTATTAAAAACCGATTATTCTTAAAAAAACTTATGGAACCAAAACAACGTAACAATATGTATAATCCGTATATTTTCCTTAAATTTAATGACTGTTCACATAATCTCTTACTCATTATTACGATTCGGTTGAAGGAATATGATCAATCTACTAACAAGATAATTATATACCTACATAATGTCACATAACTGTATGTACCTATTTAGTTTTAAAGATCTAATAATCCTTTCCTTTTAACTAATATTACACGAACTGACGTTTTTTGTAAAGGGATTAAAGGGAATATGTACATGATTTTTTTTAATTACCTTTTCCATTAGGTAAATCTTGAATATATGTGATCCAGCACTTGACAATGGCATTTGCGTGTGTGTCTTTTCCAAGGCCTTTTAGTAGGTCATTGTGGAGTCTGTTCATAATCTCCCTGAGTTGTTTGTCTGATAGATGGAAGATTTCGCATTCTTCGCGAATCTGTTGAATCAAAAACATAATAACTAAAAAAATTTTAAACTGGTTGCTAATATGTACACTTATATTCAGATTTATGAACTGTTATAATCGACTCTTATTATTGATATTAAACGTAACAATTCTGGTATTTATTTTTAATGCAAAGTGGTAATACTAGTTTTATATAATTATATACTAGTTTTCCTTGAATTTTGGTTACACATTCTCTATTTCAAATTTTACTAAAATGATTTCCATAATTGATGTAAGTTTACTATAATTGATGTAGGTACACAATTACTCAATGAAAAAAAGTTTTAAAGTTTGGGTCTGGGATAAGTTTTCATTCTTTAGCGAACTTTTATTAATACAGTAACTTAATTTACTATCTGAAATAGCACCTTCACTTTGTACCTATTTTCAGATTTCAGATAAGTAGTTACTGTACAAGTTCAACCGAATTTTTCGCTACTATGTATAATCATAGTGCATTATCGATCATACAATTATTTTAGGTCTAAATTTAAATAAATTTTTAGCGCTTATGTAGGTATGTAAATAATTATGGGTTTATTATTTTTTCTATGTACAACTATGGAGTGTGGACTACTGTCGGTAAAATAATCGTCCATTTTATCGCGAGCGAGTTTCACAAGGTCAAAGCGGTCATTACAACATTACTACTGTCGCGTATGGTTGCTTTCCAATATTTAAACCCGGCTTAAACCTTTAGCGACTAAATCTAATTTTACATTAAATTTAAAGATAAAATTCATTTATAAACACTCACCTGCGGCAAATGATTAATAGCCATACCCATTTTAATTTTATAATAACAAAACTGCTCCAACTATTTAAACACTGCGCGAGTTATGTGTAGTGTACTGTACATGTACAACTTGCCAAAGCAGCTGAGAAATGAGGAATACGACTCCGTCGCTAACGCTATGACTGTCGATTGTGCTTGTTTCCTACAGACTGATGTGTTCTTTTTCATTCATGATAATAACCTCTTGTTATCTCGCTCTAATGTGCAAATATGCATCGCGTTAGAGTAGTGCGACATTATGTTGTGCAATACAATGAGTGTAAAATAAAAAAAAAATAACGTGTACATTCCATTATTTTTACGACATATAGATACGTTGGATATTTTATAGCAAGGTTTTTAAAACAATTTATCCCTTATAAGTTTTGTGTCAATCGGAATATAATTAATGTTTATCGTATTTCCTCCGGCGCGCCTCTTGTTGTATGTTTCTGATTGGACGACGCGTGGGCTCGCTCATGACGTCACAGAAATTCCTCGAGTCGATGTCTTTCTATATTTACAATTGCAATAGTATGGGTAGTGTTAGTAAAAATGTGTGTGTGTTAAGTAGCGGCATATCTAATTAATTTTTTGGGTCACCCTAATATAATTTGAGATTTATATGTAAAGTATAATACATATTATGTATTATCATGACGTATTTCTTATTCCTGTGCAAATTAGATTAGTTACTAGTCAATTTGCTCTTGATTCGTTTAATGTGTTATTATTTTTTTACCTATGCAGGGTAAAATATTTAGAATTTGAATATGTTTTATTCTATCGTTGGATACACAATAATATAAATAGTTGTCAATTAAAAAGAATTTTATTGTTTAAGTTTGTTGTTAACCGTAATGTTTACTATTTGTATAGGTGACATGTTATGTTTTCTATGGTGTAAAGAGTACTTAGTACCTACCAAAGAGCCGACATACCTAATATAAATATCTACACATATAATAAAACTCTAAATCGAATCTGTACATTAAATATTTTTTGGAAAATCTTATTGAAATAGTCATTATTATCGATGCAGGGGCCGAATCTATAGTTTATAGAATTTTTATCTGTCTGTCTGTTACCGCATCACGAGGAAACTACTGGACAGATTTTAATGAAATTTGGTATGGTGATAGCAACATATAGGATACTTTGTACTGCGGGAAAATATTTATCATCTTTGAGAAATCTATACAAAACCTTAAAACGTAAGTAGGGACAAACCCGAGCGAAGCGAGGGTGAGTCGCTACTTATTTTATATAGGTATGTTGTCATTTTTTATTTTCTTAGACAGCTCTACGATTGCATGTAATTTGATTTCTTTCATGGTATTCAAGTAGAGCTAGAACACTAGTTACTTATATTGTAAGAAGTAGAAATTATCTGTCATAAACAGTTAAATAGATGCCACATGAAAATGGGGTGATACTAGTTAGGGGTGGGCCGTTGGGTGATTTGTGTGGGCCGTTATCACTTATCTCATTCAAATATTCGAGTGACGTACCTACGTCAATGATAACTATATATTATGTAACTATGTATAATATATAATTAATAAATAGGTAGTTCAAGCTTATGTAGTATGACAGAAGCGCTACAATAGGCACGTGTTATTCAAACTAGCTCAATGTCGCAAAATATAATTGAATGACTTAAACACATATGGTCATTAAACATTTAACCGAAAGGATATACGTTATCTTTGTCTATATTAAGAAATATTTATTTATTTCTGTTGTTTAGATAAAGAGCTTTCTTACAGAGCGATTTTAATTTCTGTCATTTCTTTAAGTATACGTATTTTAACCAAACAAGATGAATCTTTTCAAACAATAAGCTCATTTGAGAGAATGTCCTGTAGTCTTGGCAATGGCTAGTGTGTACGCCTTGTTTATTTTCGTGTGTCTCGTGATTGCTAATGATAGCGTCGGCTAACGTAACTACTGAATATATTTAAGTACAATTTGCTTAAAACGCACGTCTAATTATATTTATTTACATACAAGAAATGAACTGCGAAATATAAATATTATTACTATTACCTAATACGATGGCATTAGCAATGTGACTAATGAAACATGAACGGGAAAATGACTATTGCAAATTCTGTTTACGGTATTTCCCCTGCATAAAATAGATATCTTAAATGTTGTTTGCTAGTAAGACTTGATTGGCTAAGGCTATACGATTTATGACACTAGATTAATATCTATTTATGCATATAATTATGCACAATTTGTTGTAACGTATGTAAATATAATTTTATTTATATATTTTTTACGACATAACTCTAAAACAATATTTTTTCTTTCATTTTCGCAAAAATACATAATAAACGTATCATCCGTTTCTTCAGTCATTTTAAAGGTTCAGTCTTTTTGTAATTGAAAAAATAAGATTGCATGGACATGAATTGCGGAGGCAACTGCTAAAATTGTTTTGGAAGCTCTATAATCTCAGTTTTGATTTTTTTAAGTATCGAGATTTTATGATAATAATTGTAGCGCGATCTCTTCAATAGTTATCATCGCAATGTTACTATTATTATCAGCGATTAGTACCGCGATCCATTAAGGTGCTCCGTCACGCTACTTCAGTCTGAAGTATTTAGATATAACTTCGAATTGGTTTTAGATAACAATTTTCATAGTGATTCATACGTCGCGTCGATAAGATAGCTCTACATATCATTTAAAACTTTCCATTCAATCTTAACTAAGGCCGCACAAAAGAGTATTTTTCTACTGCGACAACATATTATAAGTGTTTCGGACGACCAGAACCAGGGTATGTCTAGTACCCGGAGGTCGACCTGGGACAATCTCCCAGACGTTCTTGGCGTACACGGCAGTATGTCCGTTCGCTGGTAATGTACGCCACCACGCACCCCTGAATGCGTAGCTTGGGTCCCGATCCACTAGGGTTTCTTCGTTGACAGGAGACTATACTTAGAGGCGATGAAATAAAACACAATTTTTCCTTTTTTCTCTCTTGGTTTCGGTTCTTCCTTTTCCTTTTAGTTGTTGCCTCTTCGGTGGCTGTCTTGCGACTGACTCGAATCGAGAAATGGCTCGCCTTTTATTTGGCCCGTTAATACCTTACAGAGAGCCGCGTACTTTGAGCTCATTTTTCGAATAAAATTTCCCTAAACCGAAACCTTGAGAGTCCTTTTATTTTATGTTTTCAGTAAAACACCTTACACATATTTATTTATTTACATGCCTTACATACTATTATACAATATTAAAACATAATATTCAATATATAATAATTAATTAAAAAAGTCTTAAAACAAAAATATCTAAATTTCTAGGTTGCTACATTTTTACTATACATTTTCCCTTATAACTTTTGAACGGATAGTCCTATCGACCTAATTCTTGTTTTATTATAAGTTTTATAATAAAATCTATTATTTAAAACATAAACTATTATGCTATTGCAAGAAACAAAAAATCTCATTTTCAAGTTACGTAATTATATGCTAACATTTTACTTACGTACCTATTCCTTTCAAATTAATGTTAAATAGTCTTATATGATTCAAATAAGCAAAAAATACTCTAAACTAACCTTATTACACTAATTAGAACTTATTTTAACATAATAAATCTAATAAGAATGAGATTTCATATTTACAACAATTATTCATGATACGCTAAAATGACATTGTCCCTATATTAATACACACGTTACTCGAAGATAAGTTTTCCGTCGCCGACATTCTCCCCCTCGTGCTTTGCACCAACTCCTGGACTCGGCGACGCTCCCGGCACCAACAGCACCACTCTCGAACTGGGCCTCCGTAGAACACCTCCTCTGGTCTCGACGTCGACGACTCTGGTCCGGGATACACATGCAGGATTCTTCCGCGTGGCCAGATGCATCTTGGTAGGCTGTGATCGACGATCAGTACGATGTCTCCGACTTGCAAATCTGTGGCGCTGACTCTTTCTTTGGTCTTCCTTGGTAGTAGAGTGGGCAAATACTCTCTCAGCCAACGTTGCCAGAAGTGATCGGCAAGTCGCTGCGTAGCCTTCCAGGTGTGTCTGCCCACAAGCTCGTTGTCCTCGAAGCTGCCGATTCTTGCTGCGCCACATGATCGCCCGATGAGAAAGTGGTTCGGTGTAAGTGCTTCTTCTTCAGGGTTCTCGGAGAGGTGGGTGAGGGGCCGAGAGTTGACTATGTGCTCGGCCTCTAACAGGAGGGTATGAAGTACCTCCTCTCGTGGTTGCCTTTCGTTGAGCGTGGCGTCCAGTGCGGTTTTAATGGATCGCACCAGACGCTCCCATGCACCTCCCATGTTTGGTGCACCAGGAGGTATGAACTTCCACTGCACACCGATCTTCTCCGCTTCCGAGATAAGGTCTTCTTGCTTCATGGTGTCTAGTGCTTCTTTGAGTTCTTTGTTGGCGCCAACGAAGTTAGTACCATTGTCGGTGTAGATTATCTTTGGCATTCCCCTTCTCGCGGCGAATCGTCGTAGTGCCATGATCATGCTGTCAGTGGAGAGTGAAGGAGTGAGCTCAATGTGTACAGCTCGTGTTGTTAAGCATGTGAATAGAGCACCCCATCTCTTCTCATGGCGTCTTGCTACGGTGATCGTCATAGGGCCGAAGTAATCTATTCCCGTGCACGTAAATGGAGGGTTTCCGTGCATCAGCCTCTCAGCAGGTAAGTTGCCCACTGGTAGTTCTTGAGGTCTTGCCTTTCTTGTTTTGCACCACTGGCATTGATGTTGAATGGTCTTGATCGCTGACCTCAGTCCTAGCACCCAGAAGCGTTGTCTTACTTCGTTCATTACGGTCGCGTGATTCCCGTGATTGAAGCGGCAGTGAAATTCTTCTATGATGAGAAGTGTTGTCTTGTCCTTGCTGTCGAGTACGATGGGTCGTTTGTAGTCTCTGGTAACCCCTCGTATCGCGTCGATTCTTCCTTTCAGTCGCAGGAGACCTTCTTCTAGCACTACGTCGAGCCTTTTCAACTTGCTGCTGCCCTCTAATTG